CCTGAGAGAACAATGATATGAAGCAGCCTTGCTGTGTCTGAGAATACATAGCTCTCAGTGTAGCAGGCTATACACAAAGTTTAATGCAGTTTTATTCTGTGCCTCCCTCCCAATGCATGCAGGAATTAATATCTGCATAATGACCAGCTTTTTGATTCCTGGGATTCATGGTGCAATTAGCTTCCTTCTGTTCAAAAAGAATGGGTGTGACTTTGGCTCACAACATTTATTCTTTTGTACAAACAACAGTCATGACAGAGCATATCACTTCTCCTCTATGACCTCTTCCAAAGTGCTCTGTAAAAATTAAGGCTCACAGAGTGACAGCAGAGGGTGGATGTCACCAATCGTATTCTTCTTCAAACTTATCAAAGTCCCTGTCTGTAAATACAGAACCTTCCTCCTTTACCACGGGTTCTGGGGGTCTGTCTTTGGCTAGTTTGCCACGGTGCTGCTCCATTATCTGTAAATAATGAATTATAATCACTGCACAACAAACTGTGTCAATACCACTGATACTTTGAAAAACTTGGAGAAAAGAAAAAAACTTATTTTTGATTCCTACAGCCTCAAGAAATGAATTATAATTAGAAAAAAAAAAGCTTGGCAAAAAAAGGTTTCTATTCACCATCTTATTTATATTTCATTTAAGAAGATGTTTTGAAATAATAATTATGCAACTCGTGATGTTGGAATAATCTGGTTTAACAAGTATTTGGCAAAATAGAAGCAGAGTTTATTTTTCATGAATATTACTTCTTCATAACCTAAGATTATACATTTTTGTATGTAAAATGTTCCTGAAAAATTCCCATAGTGTCATTTTTGGGATGATCTGGTTTATTAAGCAGTTGGTTAAATATGAGAAGAGAAGTTTATTTTTCATTAATTAATATTTGTACCTGATTACCTGACATTTACAGACCTGTGACGGCAATTTTCCCCCAAAAATATATTCTCAGTGACAGTTTATATAGAGACATAAATAAAAATTTTGTTTACTGACCTTTTCCACCACAGATGAGTGAGGTTTGTGTGAGTTGGAGAGTAACTGTAGAAAATATAAATTGTCAGTGGTGTTGTCCTTTGGTTTGTTTTTCCTGTACTCTTCTGTAATACAAGAACACATTCATTTTATCAAAATTGTTGGCCACAAGAAAGATAAATGTAATGTGAATATGTCCTCTTTATACCTTAAGCATGAGAAAACTAATTGAATTCTAATAAAAAAGACCATTTATTGTGAAATATAAAACTTGATCAAAGGGAATCATACAAAGCATTAGAAATATTACATTCATATATAGATATTTGATTGGGTCAGTGTCATTCACAGTGAGCCAATCTAAAAAAATGGGATTGTTTCTTCATAAACTTGTTATAGATATGACCATAAATACTCACCAACTACAGACTTAAGTTTCTTTCCCTTAATGGTCACTTTGTTTTTATTTGGTTTTTGAGTCAATCGCTCTTTCTGCTTTTTGACACCTTTTTTATTAGTGCCCAGGAGGTTTCTAGAACTTGTGCTATCTGACTTCTCTGATTTTCCTTTCTTTGGGCTATTAGAGTCTGAAAAAATTGAACATATTCATTTACATGATTTTTAAACAATAGATTGAACTGATTTTAAACTACACCTCTATCTATTTAATTTCCACACAATGCACAAGAAAAAATACTGTCTGCATGTTTGCGGGCATCAAAAAGGATAACAGCATTTTGTGACTTAGAGCTGGGAGTTTGTGATTGTAATCACCAAATTAATCGTGCTAACTTTTTACATACATTTTACGTGAAATTATAATTTTGTGTTTGCAACGGAGATATAATTACGACTAATTAGATAAACAGATTGTACAATTACTTTCTGTACATGTTGGCAGTATCTGGCACTCCAGTTCTATACACAGTTGTAAGTGGGATCATTGTACGTTTACTTCTATCCCACTAATTAAATGGCAAGCAGTGTACAAAGTACAATACTATAATATGACTACCTACTCCGTCCAACTTGGGGGGGGGGGGGTCACTTTAACCTATTTGAGAACTCATATCCTTTTCTGAGTCAAAATGCGTTATGAAATTGCTTTATTACTTACCTTGAAGTGTTTCTAAGTCATCCTTAAATAGTTCTAATCCCTTTCTTACAAGAGATGCAGACATTTCCGCAAACTTTTCCAAGGATAACTAGGTTTTCACATGTGTACGTCCATTAGGTATTCTCCAAATTTCAATGTGCTTTTATAAAAAATATTCCCGTAGTTTCAAAACCATCCATTCATAAATTATTTCATTTTTTTTATTTTTATTTTATTTAGTGATTCTTTAAGATATGTACAGCAAACAAAAGTTTGAAATAGATTTAAATTCCACACGAGATTTGAGATTACTCGACCTCTGACCTTGACATGATTCTCGGCATCCATGTTTATTGAACCCGTTCAGGTTGAGAGAGGCGTGAAGAAGGTGAGTTCATCAATGGGCTGTCTTGCGTTATAAAATGAGTACAAATAGACAAAAACTTTGGATGTAACATAGTCTATGTATTATTTTCAACGGGGACGACAAGTAAGAAAGACGTGCTTAACCGACAAAATAAGGTGGGCAAGTTTAAAATCAAACAACAGAAGGTCATTTTAGCCGGACAACAATTTGTGTTGTTGAAATCTTTGAAAGAAACACTCATGTAAATTGAGTAATTAAAGTTTTGTAATATTGCTAGACCTCCTGTTGAGGTAACACATATATTTGAATTGCCACGATTCTATATCTAGATTTATGCTATTATAAATAATGGAGACCACGTTGCGTCTTTTTCTGCTAACTAAGTATTGGTAACTGATTTGAGCGAGAGACAAAAGCCGGATCTTTTTATTCCTGGAAAGGATGCAACCTTGTCTTGGTTTTAAAATTGTAAGTCCAGATATAGATTCAATAAAACTGGCGTGAGAACTTCTCGTTGGATGGTTCTTTAGTATACGTCACAATAATATTTTTGTGATACCCCCCCCCCCAAAAAAAAAAGCAATTTTGTCCTACTGTCTCATGCCACTGGTACAACCCTGTCCCAGGGCATGCCAGCCCTTTATAATTTGTACCTGCTGTTTCCCAACTTAGCACTCAGCACTTTGGTGACGGAGGAGGGAAAGTTCCTGGTGGACAAATGTTCTTTTGTGTGCTTTTTGTGCAGCAGATGGGCTAGGAAGGTGAGAGTGTCAACACCCTGTATCTATATATTATCAGTTACACTAATAAAAGAGCTGTGTGTCAACTATTAATCATGCTAGATATGCCAGACAACTAGCCTTTAAAACCAACATGAAACAGGGATGAGATTTTTCCTACTATCAACAGGTTTCTGACATTTTTGGAGTAAAAAATATCATCAACCTAGATGGCCCGCTTAACCCCACACCATATTTTGTTGCAAATTTTTTTTAAATATATGGCAGTCTTATCCCTGCTAGAAATGGTCATTAGATGACAGGGATTTACACTTGAGCTATGGTCCAGTGAAGGTGTCATATGCGAAATTTTGATGCAAAAATACTAGTAACATATTTTTTATAATGAAGTGGAGGTTGATTTAATATTCACAAGTTACATGAATTCTTGTCTTTTTTAGCAGAATTATTAAATTTATCATATTTATACCTTCATGTATACAACACTGTGGTTTGTTTAATCCTTTCACTTTAAAGAAATTAAGAGGTTTCTCTCTCTCTCTCTCTCTCTCTCTCTCTCTCTCTCTCTCTCTCTCTGATATCAAATGCTATTGGATGGAAGTTCAATAGACTGACATAAGTGTCAGTTTTACAGCCAGTCCTTATTGCCATTAAGAGGTATATCATCATTTTTACACCTAAGTTTATCAAGTAAGATTTTTTTTTTTGATTTATTGATCAATAAGGAGCGGTCTGCTGTACCTGTCCCCATTCCGCAAATGTTAGAGTGGAGATCTTGTTTTTAGTTCTGTGTCTGCTCACAACAAGTACTTATCAATATTGTACAGAAAACTTTCAGTCTTTGTCACTGCTGATGTGAGTTGATGAGCTTGTTTTTCTTGTCTTGGATAGTACTAGATAACTTGGCTTAGAGTTTACTGGATAAAGAACCTTTTTTTTACATATACAAAAAGTCATTGGCATTCATAACATTTGAAGGGTGATGTAGTGCAAATGTGAGCCTGTAAAATCCTGCTTTATGGTGGAAAGACAATCCAGCAAAGNCTACAGCCAGTCCTTATTGCCATTAAGAGGAATATCATCATTTTTATACCTAAGTTTATCAGGTAAGATTTTTTTTTTATTTATTGATCAATAAGGAGCGGTCTGCTGTACCTGTCCCCATTCCGCAAATGTTAGATTGGAGATCTTGTTTTTAGTTCTGTGTCTGCTCACAACAAGTACTTATCAATATTGAACAGAAAACTTTCAGTCTTTGTCACTGCTGATGTGAGTTGATGAGCTTGTTTTTCTTGTCTTGGATAGTACTAGATAACTCGGCTTAGAGTTTACTGGATAAAGAACCTTTTTTTTTTACATATACAAAAAGTCATTGGCATTCATAACATTTGAAGGGTGATGTAGTGCAAATGTGAGCCGGTAAAATCCTGCTTTATGGTGGAAAGACAATCCAGCAAAGTCAGCAGTTTACAGTAATAGTGATTTTTATCCATGAGCAGCCAAGAAACAAAAACAGTTATGAAGGGAATAGGCCACATAGTGATCTTTCCTGAATTGATTTGTGGTGGGTACATTGGGAGATGTACACATATATTGTGCATGCTGAATGTCAAATTGAAGAAAAAATATATGTTACATACAGTTTAAGAGTTCAGTACCATCTTTTTTCAGGGGATATATTTTGTCAAACAGGAATATGGAATGTGGATTTAGGTTTCAAATAGAAATGTCATATTATTTCGTTTTAAAACAAGGTTGTTTTGTCTGGAGTGTTGGAAAATGGGATGCTTTTGGGTAACAGCCATTTTGGTTGACATGGAATTTATCCGTTGGTTTCTTTGGAATGATGATTCATACATGATAATGGTGAAAGGGACACCTGACCACATGGAATTTTTTTTTGTTTTTAAAGAAATCTTCCTGGCTAGATAGCCTGTCATTTTGTTTCAATGCATGTTTTGTCTCTTTTGGGAAGTTTTGAATTATAAAGAAACATGCATCTCTGCTAAATGAAAATGTCAGGAATGAAGATGACAGTGGTTTCAAAAAAGTCCCTTTATTTTTCTTAGGAATAATGAAGTGAGATACAGTTGGTGCTAAAGAGACGTTGAAGAAACCAGCAAAATTTATTGATCCCGTTTATTAATTATTTTTTCATTTAAAATGTTGTCATAAGTATACTGTCCTGTTTAACATGTAGGCATACTGAGTGCCCCCCCCCCCCCTCCCCCAGCATTAATGTAGTTCTTTGTCTTCGTTTATATGATTTGGAACAAGGCATGATCATCCAAATTCATACTACCCAAATTAAAGCTAAATTCTTTATTTGCTTTTAAATTGTAAGGATATTAGTATATGTTATAATGAAAATAATTCATTCGGTAATAATGTTGTGTGTGTAGTTTGTCTTGGAGAGTTCCACTAAATGTTGTATATACGAAATGTATTGTGCACTTGATGTAGATTCATATTGTTTGAATACTGAGGTAGATAAAAAAAATGGAAGTCGGGCTCTGGCAGGAAATGGATAACATGTACAAGTGGTTTCACCAAAGATTCTTAGAAATGAAAATGGAATGAATGTAGTTATTTCTATCTATCACTGACAAATTTAACACATGAACAGTCAGTTGAATTTCACCATTTAGTTTTGATTTGTTTGTGGCATTTCTTTCCTAGATAATCAAGGGTGGTATTTCCAGAGTATCTTCTAAAGTTGGTTAGGAAGTTGGAAACAGATTGAATTATCATGTCTGTAGTATTGTTGCACTTTAATAGTGTCTCAGTAGATTGGATTCATCAGTAGATTATTTAAGGAGTGGAAAAATAACATCATATCTATTAAGCTAGTTGTACATGGGAATACATTTCAACTTATGCCACGAACTAGAGTTTCTCATGGTCAAAAAGTGCTAAATCTACTCAACTCACTTAAAACACTAGATGACATCAGCCTAGCCACACCAGACTCTTTTTCAAAGGCTTAACATCTGGCCTAAAAAGTTGATTTACCAAAATCGGCTTTAGTCACTACTGAATAGAAAACAGTGTTAAGACATTTTGTTCTTTGTGTTAAGGTTTGGACTGAAAAAAGAAAAAGACATGGATGTCTTATAAAAATTCTCTTGTAGTCTTATGTTAGCTGATATTGTTTCCCAACTTGTGTAGTTTTGTGAAATGGGCCCAGTTTTACATAAAGATTAAAGTCAAAAGTTGATCTCAATTTCAAGACTAAAATTTTTGGTCTGCTTTATATTTTGTGTAGTAGCAGGCCCATAGCCAGGGGGGTTCGGGGGGGGGGGGGGTTAGAAAGAACTACCCTTTTTGCTAGGAAAAGGTCCAATCTGAGTAAAATTTTATCTACGTACATGGAAGGTTTCATGGTAAAAGGTCCACTTTTCAGAGAAAGACCCCCCTTTGTAATTGCTGGGTACCGGCCTGATTACTCGTCTGTTTCACAAGAATTGTAAGAGGCTAATGTTTAAGACTGACAGCCTGGTAAACCACCCTTGATTTGTCTCGGGTCAAAGTAGACTTTAAATTCTTCAGTCTGGAGTTAGAACCCGACTTCCAACTTGAGGTGATGCGTGAAACAAGTCCATCCATGTCTAGGAAAATGTATTGGGAATGGCTTCAGGTTTCTGTTCAGACAGTGCTAGCTGTCTCTCTGGTAACTGGTCAGCTAATGACACAAGTCAGGCTCATTTTGCGATCTAAAATGATTCAGTCTAAACAGTGCACAGTGTTGGTGGTTAACATCAAAATCCGACAGTAATTGTCTTCTGGTTGTAAGACACCTGCGCCAACATTGCGATGGTGAAAACTCATCCAAAAGGGAATTTTCCCCCCTTTTCCATTGTTATTCAATCATTCTGAATAATAGCTACATTCAGATTGTATTATGTACAAATGCATTACATAGTATGATAAAATATTTATAAGTTGGTTTAAAGCAATTATCCATAAATACATATAAACCTATATTACCGTATCAACATGTGACAACATAAATTATGGGATAATTTTATGGTTGATCATCAGGTTCATTTAATGTAGAATTTAGAAAACATTCATTTAGTATATTTTGGTGAGGTCCATAACATATATTTCTCTTTTGGGGTTTAGTAATAAACAGTGATGTATAGATTCCAGATTAGATTGATCTTTAATAGTGCATGAAATGTGCTTTAACATTGATTGCTATCCTTTAAAAAAGGTAATGATGTAATAATGGCGTGTGTAATTAAAGATGGAATATATAAGGATAAAGGAGCAAAAACCCTCATTATCTCAGTATTTGGATCATAGATGATGATAATTAAGCATAAGCTACAAGTAACAACTCGCGCAAGTCTGATGGTTACAAGCTAATGGTAAGACAAAATTTTTCAGCTTGTACTTAATAATTATCATCTACTGTATGTGAGAATATTTTAACAGAATTTTCTGGAATATATCAGGAATGACCATTAAAGAAATGTAACCTTTCTTTTTTGATATCTGTTTGGTTTGTTAAAATATAGTTTAAAAAGATATATTTTAAAGAGATGCATAGTTGGAAAGAAAGGCTAACAGATCATGTTATTTCACTATGTCAATAGCCTGTGTAGTCAAGAGGTTGAATTTATCTATTTAATGAAATCATTATTCCCACTTTGAATAAAAATCATTAGTGAGCTGTTAAACTGCTGCTACAGTCCTGTTCTGAACACTTTTGTAAAACCTTTTGATTTTTGTGATCTTGACTGTCTGAAGCCTTTGTATATAGCATTAAATCCTTTTGTATGTCAGAGCAAAGAAGCTTCTTATGGCAGAATGAATGCGTGATGGATCCATCAATGCCTTGTGAAGCACTAGTACTAGCTAGTAATTAAGTTGTTACATATTCACATGGAGAAACATATGTTTTATAGGAAGTGAATGGTTGAGATATTGACTCCCATGGGTAAGATGATTAATGTGTGTAGAGATCTGCCATATTGCAGTTGAGCTGGAGGGGTAGTGGGGTCTGGGATGCTCATTATGGTGATCACTGATCTGAAATAACACTTTATTGCTGCTCACCTGTCTCACCTGTCAGGCATTTCTGTGTGTGGAATGTTTGCCTGGTTGAATCTGTTAGAAAAGTGCCAATGCAGTGTTTACATGTCAGCAATAATAGAGACCATTTCCACAGATATTTAGATCGATAAACCAGCTTTAATGTCTGTCCCACCTACTAAAAGCTGTAAGGGGATAATTAACTTTTGCTCGGCTCCCGGAAGCTGAGAGCAATTTAGCATGAACCCCCAGGGAGTTAGGTCGATCCAGATGGATCGATCTAAATCTGTGGAAACCTGGTCGCAGAGAACTGGGAACATTCCAGGAATGTGCCAGAGGTAGGACTTGGCTTGTGTTTAGGCTATGAAAAAGCAGGTATACTGCATTACCCCCATGTAGGCATTTCAAGGTATTTTAAATAATCTTAAAGCATAGAACACCTTCAGTAGAATGTTTGGCTTAAGGATGCCATTTTCTGGTGGATTTTGAAGTGTTGTAATGGTTGATTGGAGACTAGACGATTTGTCTTAGATTATTTCAGTTATATGTTTTAAAAGATGACTACCAATAAGGAGGGATGGAATGGGTTGAAATAATACAAAATCTTTCTGCAGAATCACAGAATTCTGAGATATTTGACTAAATTCTGGGCCTGACCTGTGGCTGAATTTGAAAATATTAAGTCCGAGATTTTTTTTTAAACTTAGGCCCGTGATTTGAAAATAGAATGTCTAAAATCCTTATGGGACTGTATATGAGATTAACAGGCTCTCAAGCTCTTAAGAAAACCTCATAGAGTATCTTTAAGTCTGACAACATATTCCATTTGGCTGTAATAACCCAAGAAATTACTTATAGAGGTGCTGATGATTTCTCTCTGTCTAATTGCCCTTGCCCTCCAGTTGTAGGTTTTGACGTAGTTTCGCACCTTATCCTGGAATAGATGACACCTGCCCCTGAGTACAGCACATTATACTGCTGCTGAACAGCAGCAACATGTCATGAGGGAACAGTTTTAATGGGCTATAATTGTTCAATTTATAATGCTGGGAGTGAATAAAGTGGAACATTTTTTGGTCAGGCTGATAATTACATTTAACAAATTGGTGGGGAAGAAAGTCAGTAGGAGAACAGCGGCAAAGCAGAAAATTGAGAATTGCATGTCAAGGTTTATTGCTTTTTTTTCACAAAGAGTGTGTTCCTGAGAATCCATTAGGTTTCAAAGAAGTTGTTGATTTCAATTATATTTCTGTATTGCGTCAGTTGGGGAAGTCACTCAGATTTCTGCACTTGGTAGATATTTGCCCTTACTGTGGCATTTAATGTGGAAATGCAATAGAAGATTCTGCTTCTAAGATAGATATGCTTTTTAACATGTTGTGTATCTATACCATGGGAAAGTCAGCAATCTTAAAATTCACAGTTTTCCCTGTTGAAAAGTTCAAGTCATCACTGCATGTGCCAGAAGTCAGCGCTGTCTAAATGAAAAGAGATTTTCAGCATTTTGCTCGGCTGACAGCAATTTAGCGTGAACCCCCAGGGAATTAGGTCGATCTAGATGGATCAATCTAAATCTGTGGGAATGCAGTCTATATGTCTAATGGCTGTTCTCCTCTATTTTGAATAAAGAGAAATAAATATCTTTGCTCAGCAAAAGAATGTCTGTCATGAATGCACATCAATGCTTAAGCCAAATGAAGAATCTAATGACTTTAAAAAGATATATGTCCATGTTTGTAGTTCACTAGATGAGTGGCAAGCTCTGTACAATATTGTAAAGATGCCTGAAGAACATTTTTAGACAAAATTTTCCATACAGTCCATTTAACATTATCTAAAAGGATTCCACAAAGAGTGATGATTCTGTAAATAATTGGATTCTGCATAACATATTGATGTTTCCGAGGATAAAGATGAAACCCTTGACTTGAAACAAGTATTTGTGACGTGATGATGCATGGTGTGATGCACTTGAGTCTGTTTTCCAGTATGAGTTAAGCGATGCATATAATATAGATGAATTCTTCCTTCCATTTCAGGTTCAGCTAAATCAGTCCATTACTGGCAGCATTTTGAATAGAATCCAATACTCGGCTTGTTATTGCGCAAGATGCAGTCTCCTAAAGATATTCCTCAGAAGCATTCAGTGAACGATTCCCCAGGAGGCCATCACCCAGGATCCCCTGTTCAACATGGCCATTTCCTCATCCCCAGCCCTATCATTACAAGGAGAATGAGGACAAATTCAGTGTAAGTAAATGTGATGATGATGACTTTGTCTTATTTAATTTGGCCCCAGCAATTTGATGTGTGTAAAAGCTGCTATAGTTTAACTTTTAGGAATAACTGGTGACAAGACATTTGGTCTAGTCACAGTATTTTGATAGAAGATATCCATAGTTTATATATGAATTAATAGAACATTCTTTGTATTTAATGTAGTTCTCTTGTGGATGAAGAGTTTGTGGCCTTCATGAAATGTAGATCTACCAATCAGAATGTTGTCATAGGAACAGCATATATTAATTTTTGTATTGAAAAAAATCCAGGACATGACTTTTTCTTGTCCCCTGGGCGAACAGCAGTGTGAAGCTACTGCTAGTAATCATATATTGATAACACCAGTCTTTTACCTGCTTACTAGTAAGCAGTATGTTTTACACAAAAACAAAGTCCAGAAATTTTATTTGGGATGAGTGTCATGGGGATATACTATATATCATAATATGTACCTACAGTTACCTGAAAGGTATACCAGATAAAATTCTTTTCTTTTTGCTCAATCAAACTGGACAATTTCAAGTGATTAGTGATATTTAAAGGTCAATTTTTCGGAAAAGTTAATGTATATGATGATAATGTATCTGCTTTTATAGTGATTCTATTCTAAGGGAATTGGATCTCATTGACTTGGAGAACAGGGATATTTACCTTTTAGCTTATGGCATTTCTGAACATAACTTTCCTTCTACACTTTTGCATATAATGTTTATAGTGGTCTGCGTTCTGGGATATTCTGCAAAAAAAAAAAATAAAATAATAAAAAAGGTGAAAAATAGTGATGTAGTCTCTATTTATTGATCACAATGATTCATTTTCTATGACCCGTGGTGTTAAAAAAAGGAAAAAAGCTATGATCACAATTTTATGGGTATATCATTTGATTGCTGTTCTTGGAACTGTGCTCTGGAAACTATCAAAACTGTACCGTGATTAAGTTGGTTCTGAAATCTTCCTCATTCCACCAAGGCACTACAGATTACTTTTATTCAAAGCTGAAATAAAAAATGACTTTGATTTATCAGAAATGAGAACATACCGGAAATGGGAGAAGTGTGTGTTTCAAGAAGATTGAGCTCGTTAATAAAATACAGATATGGATCAGACAATGGTGGGCAGAAAAACGGTGGGGAGAAGACAACAGTAATTCGAAGTTAAAAGTCTAAAACACTAGTTCATTGCTGAACACATTGGCAATGTGGATCATAAGCACCTAGTGACTTTCAACCCAAATTATGTCTTTGATCTTTTAATGACTATACTTGATGATAAATTAGATCTCAATCATTACACCTGGTAATCGTGGAACTGTGTTTAATCAAATATCAATTTTGTAACCGACCACTAGCAGACCCTGAGTTAAGAGTGTAACCAGTAAAAGAACTTGAATCAAAAGTTGGTCTTGAATAAAGACAGCCAAAGAATTTGGCCTGGGATAAATTGATAGTATTCCATGTAGATGAAAATGTGGGACTGGCTTTGTTAAAGGTAAGAAATGACTTGGGTTTTAGACCATTAGACACATTATTTTACTTCACAACTACATGTTTATCCTAGAATGAAGTAGGTACAGAATATTTAGTCTTCAACTTAAGATCAATGTTCAACCTAAGTTTGCTTGGGAAGTTGTCCTGACAGAAAGTGCTTGAAAAGTTGTTTTGCATTTTTTCTCGTTGTAAGTGCAGTGTTTCACTTCAGTCTCTGAAGTGGTTTTTTCATATTCTTTTCGTCATTACTAATGCATAACAATAATATGAGAGGAGCTAACCATTAGGCCAAACTTGACTAAATCAGATACATATTTTTTATCCATCTTTGCATCCCACCAAGGCCTTTGGCCTCCGGTTACAGTAATTATCACTATAGTTTAACTCCTTTACAATTTCATTTTAAAAATGTGTAGTACCAAATAATAGTTTACATTTATAAATATATCTCAGTTTTTAGTTTCTCTAATTGTCGCGTAGCAATTAAACGATTGAATTAAGTGAAAGTTCTCATTGACAGAAAGGAATATTAAACAAAAAAGCAGGGATGCTTTTGTCAATATAGGAGTGCCTCAAAATAATCAGCCAGTGCTGCAATAAAGACCAATCTGGTTATTAAGGCAGGAAGTATCATATCAGCCCTGTCTCTTGAGAAGATGTGAAGAATGAATAGCTCTGCGATTACAAACAGCTCAATATGTAGTCTGGCTGCTTACTGCATTTAAGCATATTTAGCCCTGGAAATAAAGGAAAGGGCACTTAGCAATTTCCATTGAATGTCAGTTAAAAGAATGGGATTTCAGTGTATGGCTTTACACGACTTGCTGTGCCTTGTGTGTTATAGTTTTAGATGGATCTTATTTTTACCCAGACATTTTTAGGAGGGAATGGGTAAAGAGCGATGTTGGCAATGGAAGTAGTCTGGCTGTTGCCATCAGTGTTGTTTGTGTTTTCTTGAGTGCCTAGCCCCTGGAGAACAAGTGTAGAAATAATTTCAAAGAATTTAAAATTTCAGAATTGTCATTAGACTCAATATCTTAAATGGTGTCAACAATATGACTTTGAAATTTTTATTTTAAGTAATGAAGCACATGTTGTGAATGGATGACTTCAGCAGCTGACTAGGTAATGTTTCTTAATACTCTGATGGAATTAAGGTGTGGTCTTAACAGTCTAATTGTGACAGCTTGATGTTGTAACAGATCACATTAAAAAAGGGATGAAAGAAGGGGATGGGTGCATGTCTGACCCAGAGTACTGAATGTTGACCAAAAAAAAAAATGAATGATGATGTCACACGATGAAGGGAAAGACCATATTTGTTTATCATTATGTAGTTATTTAAGATTGATACTTAAAAAATTAATGACATGTTAGGATGTTTAAAAATCCCACCTTCATAGTCTGTATGATTCTGAGTTAAGACCTAATATGTGGAACGAAAATGCACCCCTACTTACTGGGTGAGAGTTACAGGCATGTAAGAAAATTACGACAATTATCGTAGTTGCTGAAGATAAGTCCTTCAGGATTTTCTTAATGGTAAGGATGTTCTTTAATGGAATTGGTTGGTGCAATTACTTGATTACTTTTTGTGGTTTTCCCTGGATGAAGGAGTCATTTCCTTTAGCATATCTTACTCAAACATTTATGGCTATTTCTTTATTGACTTGTTGATTGGAATAGGCATCACATTTTACAGATGGTTTTAGAGTTAATATTTTTTTAATTGATCACCAAGTAAGGGAAGATAACTAATTGATGTTTAGAGATGAAGAAACACTTTATAGGTGTGGTACATATTGTACTTCCCTGAGAAGAAATATTGTACAGAAATAACTTGAAAGACAGTGCTTATATATACACCTTGCAACATTTGTCACAAAACATGAATTTGCATTTGAAAGCCATGTGAGAAATCAAAATTAATCACTCCATAAATTTGAGCAAAGGAACCACATGCACACAAGCATATGCATGCACACACGAATGAACAGTGGGAAATAGAAGATGTTATGTTGTTTTTCCAATATTTGCCTCAAGTTACTCCTTTTAAAATAACAGTATCACTAATTCATTAACTTATTCCCCTAAGCAATGCTGTACTCTTCATTTTGATGTTGTTTTGTTGAGTATAGAATTTTGAGACAGTAAAACAGCCCTTTACAAATAAAACAGCAGCACTGTACTGAACGTACTAAATCTTAGGAAGTTCTCACTCACTTACTAGTACGCTCACTTACACAAGTAACCTTTCACTCACAAGATCGATCCCAGATGCGTTGGTCTAAAACTTTACGTAAGTGTGTGTGACAGAAACCAAGTCAACCACAAGGATAAATCAACGTAACGCTGCTTTATTCAACAACTGACCAAGATTCATTACAAATTTTATACAACTTTCTTTTATCGCTACCATCTTATGCGGATTTTCTGCTGCAGGTCCGTGCCCAATCAGCGCGCCAAATGTTAATGGATTCTAATTACATAATTACATTGTCGGGAGCGTCTCTTGATCTCGCTCCCGACAACAGGCAGGGGTACCTGCTGGAAAGAACAGTGTTTAATAACTTGTTGTCAATAATAACCGCAATCCTGCAGTTTTTTCTCTTGGTAAAACTATATTTTGACTGTTTAAATATCTTTGTCACTGGAAAATAACAGCTAAAACGAGATGGTAGGATAGCTTGCATGTCACCAGTGTCCATATAATCATTTCAGCTATTCTGACAGAAACATACCAACAACACATTGCCCCAGGGCCAGGGGAGACAAAAGCACAGTCAGCAGGGCTCTGCTATGTAATTTACTATTGCGTGTTGCCATAAGACACCAGCCTTGGCTATGTAATTTAGTATTGCGTGTTGTAGTAAATGGAGGGGCCAAAAATCATGTTATAGACCAATTTTCTGTAGTTTTCTCACGCTATTTGGCACCATGTTTAAAAGGGTTAATGTACGTCAGACTGGGTGAAAGTTAAAATTGTATTTTTTTTTCTTTCTTTCTATCTTCTTTTTTTATTTTTTGTTTGAAATATTGCTGGATCTGAATGTTTGGGTATACCATTCAGGTTGATAATTTTTAATTGTAGCACAACTACTCATGAAAAATTACTCTCATTTAATATTTTAGTGAAAAGCTTATTACTCTTTTCAGATATGTGTACTTTATGCCTTTGATGATGACATTGATATGATTATTTTGTCCTCTCAGGTCAGAGAGAGCCAAACAGGGTCCAGTATTGAAAGGCAAAGTGAAAAGTTTCTGCAGAACCAAGGGCCATGGTTTTATCATTCCTGCCGCAGGTGGTGAACCATTATTTGTACATATATCAGAGTAAGTACCTTTGTTTCTGTATTATGTAAGTTTTGATTAGGGCATCCTACTTATTGATTTTTTCAAAGCATGTTTCTTCGTATTGCAGTAATGGGGTTTCAAAAATGAAAAGATTAATGGGATTCAAGGGATTGGCAGACCCAAATATTAGTATAAAAAGGATCACATAATGTAGGCATGACATGGAAAATAGCTGCACATTTTTAATTGGTAGCTGAAGAGGAAAAAAAATTATTCAAAGTAGCTGTGAAATTTTAATGAGAATGAGTGACAGATGCTTTCTAAATTTTTTTATCAAAAAGCTGATATATGTGGCTTTAATCTACTATGCCATGTTCATCAATTATACTTAAAAGTGTTTAACTTTTTGTATTATCTTTATAATGATTGCAAATCATTGTAATGATAGTAATAAACAATTTGTTCAACTGTTATCTCCTGTTTTTGATTAACGCTGTTATCATGCAATTTATCAACCCCACAGAATTTATTTATATGCAACTGATTGTCATAAAATCTTGGTCATGGCATAATTTATAAAATATTCTGTTATGCATTATTTGGAACACTGTTTTGTTTGCCTTGTCAATAAGCTGATTTAAAATAGCAAAATTTCATTGGGGTATACGTATAAAAGTCTTAATTGTCCAAGTATCTGTGATCCTGTATATTTTGTTGAGTCCTACATATTATAAATGGAATTTTGAATTGTTTGGGATAGAGGAGAAAAAATACAGTGATGGGTGGAAATTATCAATCTTTGAATTACATAATTTTGAAATCATTTAAAATATATTTCTATGTAGTATTTATGGTGCTTTAACTGTACAAAATAGAACTTGAAGGAACCATGCTTTTCAATTTTGCCACTGCCACTCAAAAAAAATCCTAATTTTAAGAATTTCTCTAAAACTCACATTTTCCCCATTATGTCGTGATTATTTCCAGTATTGAAGAAGAATATGTCCCAAAAGAGGGGGATGAGGTGACATACCAGGTTGTACACGTACCTCCAAAGAACGAGAAGTTCCAGGCTGTGCACGTACATATCACAAATCTAGTGCAAGGAGTTACACATGAAAAATGGGACACTCCGCCTGCCAGTCCACAGACTTCTCCCAATAAGTGACCACAGCTCTCCACAGACAGTGCAGCAAAACCATGCCCATAGGTGTGAATGGGGGTTGACATGCTTTATGTTTTCAAAGAAATATATATTAAGGACCATTTTTTGATATTGATCTTGATTTTTGTTAAATGAAAATCTCCACGTTTTCTATGATAAATGTAGATGACTGAAAGGTACTAGTAGTATTTCAGTGCAGATTTGTACTGTGGATGAACTGATTATCTGTGGATTCTGGCCCCAATATCTTCTTTGTGTCAGGCGTATTGCTCGGCAGTGATTTTTTAGTTAGGATATTTCAAATAAGGTTTTTGTCATAAATGATAAAATATGTGGTGATGGGGCTTATTATCTTATAGAAATAAAATTGAAGTTTATTTCATCTGTAGTCCTGTGAAACTTTCACTTATTTGGTGACTTGTTAGGATAAAGTGTTGAAACCATCATGAAGACTTGTTTTTAGACACTTGAATCAACACCCATTTTCCTTGGAAAAAAGCCTGAAAAAGTCATCCCATTCACATTTGATGCACATGTTATGTGACAATCTGCACTGAAAATATATCGGTGTAATTCCATAGCCTGACCATCTTAGTTTGTAGATTAGGATTTCCTGTAAAACTTTATGGAAAGGAAACCCTGTCTGCTCATGCATCTCTTGTCCCTCACTCCCCTTTCAACACGCACACACACTGTGGCTTCGTCTTTCCTTTGAATTTGTCTTTCTTCAAAAAGGTCCACTGGTGACATGGAATGCAGAAAAGGGATAATTACATAATTCCAAGTTTACATTTGAATAAAGACAAATTATATTTGTTTAATTTTTTTTTTTGCTTTGTAGTGCAATTGTGTTTGAAAGAAAACCTTTGAATCAAACTTAAAAGTGGAGTTACAGACTGAAGGGTGAATTTATGCACTTTATTAAGAAAGCAAATCACCTGTTTAGATGAAAAATAAGATGTGTGAAATGGAATATTTGGAATAAAGATTGCTTGATGGCAGTAATGAATTAGTTTGGCTTTTAGGACCTGAAGAGTCTTCAAACTCTTTGAATATGTTATTTGAAAATAACTATTCTTTCATGTTTGCTAGACTGTATTGATAAAACAAAGTTATTGTTGACTTACTGACTAGATAACAAGTGTCATTCACTGTTTCAATCACAAAGCTATGAACATCTGCAGTAAGTGACCAAGAATAACTTTCTTTTATCTTATCTAGAGACCATAAAAGACATTTTTCATTCTTTTGATATTCAATGTCATTTTATAACAAGTTAGACAGAAGTAACAATTGTAGGAGGTGTGGTACAAAGATCTCATGATTATGTAGAATAACAGCCTATAGGTTGGAACTAGGACCCAATTAAGTAGCGAGTCCTTGTTTGGAAGCAAAAGGCTATACGGTAATTACTCACAAAAGCCATGGCATGTATTCATTTTATTCTCCAAAAATTTACTTTGTCAGGTAATACTTACAATGTTGATTCAGAAGTTTTAAACAGTGTGTTGGTTTTGTGTCAGAAAGTGCCTATTTCTAAATCAGAAGTAAAATGATAGATTTTGACAAAGTAAATTATTGGAAAGAGTGAGATCTTTGGAAATTTCAAGTAAAAGCCATCCATTAGAGGGTATTATAGGTATCTTTTTGCTCTCAAGCTCTTGGTGAACCTCAACAAGATAATTGTTTATTAAAACTAATTAAGTCAGAGATTTGACTCTAGTGCAGAGACAGGATTTTTCATTCAGAATATGTGTAACAGGGGGACATTGTGCCATATTTACAAATTTCAATGTGAGAAAACACTGTAAGGGGTCTCCAACACAGATTATATAGCAACATGATGGGCAGTGTTGCCATTTCTGTTAAGTAAAGACTTTGAATTCCCCATCTTTATCTGTAATTAGCCAGTAATCATCCAAACTGACAGCTATTAATAATGAACTGTAGTAAATGATGCTGGATATTTTGGTTTACCAGTACTGTAATGTGTAAAAGTGTAAAAATATTCTTAAAGAGTGCTCTAAACTTTTTTCTTGAATTAAAGCTGAAGATATGCCATATATTCAAAAGTAATTGGTCTCCATCACTGAGCATGTAGAAGTACATTATTTTAGAATTTAAGCTTAAGATATGCCATATTTCTAAAATGAAATGTTGACAACCTGAATTTACACTAAACTGCTTTGTTTTGAGAAAGTGTTATTTATTCAAAACAAAGGAAGAATCACTGTCACATATGATTTGTTGGCCAGAACTTATAGTTTGGCACCAAGACCCCCCCCCCCCCCCTTACCCGACAGGTGTGCTATACCACAAGTACAAGACCCATTTCTTTACTTGAAACTTTATCTTTATCTGATTAATCTATAAGTAAAGACATTTTATTTGTAAAAGGCCTTGGTGAAACAGGATATCGCAATAATTCTTCTTGTCAGTGCTGATATTTTGTAGTAGAGATACTATAAGATACTCTCTCCATTACATCAACCTTTCAGTAAATATGTTTATATTTATTATAGTAGAATGAATAGTCTATAATGTGTGGTATATAAGTAAGTTATCCATGTAACATGATGTCAATATTCAAATATGGGATCAGACCTCTGTCGTTTGTATTGATACAAAGATGATTCGAATGACTAAAGTCAATTTAGGTAATATTCTTGGCTTCTGTCCACTTTGTATTGTACCAAACCTGTACATGTTGGAATCGTTAAAAAATCTGTAATTCTGTATATTCGTAGACTGTTATATAAATCAAAAAATTGATTTGGCTCATATGATTTTGTATTTGACAGTTTCCACTTGAATTACTGCAGTAGCTTTACTGCATATTTTTATAGAGATAACTTGTTAAGGAATGTATTAAACGGACAAGTTTAAGCCAATTAAGTTGTTACGTTTCTTTCTCAAGAAAAGGATAAACCTGCATCAAAGCATTTAGTGCTTTGCAACAAAACAGGAAAACATAAACATAATGCCCTAAAACCTGCTTATTAACTTATGAATGTATGAACTAAGTTATCACTTGCAAATGGAGATAGGAGAAAAAAAGGAAATTATGTTTGACAAATTTTATTATTATAGACTTCCAGCTCAGGAGTTGGTAAGGTATGATTGCAAGCAAAAAGGTTTTAAGACACCTAACACATTGGGGTGGGTATGCATGATGCAGTGTGATTCCATTAGTTGTGATAAGTAATATTTAACTCTCCTAACGCAATGAGGTTAGTTTCCATGGGAGTAGCATGCAGTGTTATTCTGTTAGTTGTGCTCAGTAATAGTTATCATGCCTTTAGCTACTTACTTGATCCTATGCTGAAGTATTCTACAAATACAGATCTGTTTAAAAGGCACTTTTCTATGCAGTCCTTATCAACAAATCATTGTTGATGTCCTAATTCTAGTAAAAAGTCTGGTGACGTGTACTTGCTCTTGTGATTGATTTCTTTATATTTTTTAGCACAGGGAACTTGTTTTGCATAACTGGACATCTCTTGGTGATTACATTCAGTATAATATAGCAATTTTACAGTGATTAATCTCATGTTGAAAGGTATTTGAACATTAATGAGAATTTGTTGATTAATCATTTCTGTGGTCTGGCAGTTGCAGATGCAAATTTTCAGCTACAGGTTAATAGCTATTTACTGCTTAACAACAAACAAATACAAAACAAAAAAGTAAAATACAGGTAAATGTTCTTTAAAACATAAAATGCCTTTCTTTTAAAAATAAGTTTATTATAAACCAAAGACCTCTCACATAGTTCGCTACACTTAGTCAAATGAGACAAAAACATACCACACTATACAAAATATTATAATATTTCTCTAAGCATTCCTTCAAAGACACAAAAACTTATCCCTCGTTTACAACAATGCTTTCTGACTACAAAAATCCCCAACTTTTGTCACTTTTGAATGTTAATTTGAATATCAGAGATGTAAGACAAATTCTACCAAAACCATTTATCCACATGTGCTGCATACATTTTGGTTGGTTAAGAAAATGAAGTATAATTCACAATTTTTCATGGAAAAACACTATGCACAAAACCTGAAATGTACCAGTTTGAGCATAAATTACCCCAAACAAATACCTACAGCTTATTGCACAGAGAGAAAAAAGTTCAGTAAAAATATGAGAAAGTCAAAAATACCAATATCTAATTTCATCTTTTGGATCATAGCAGGAATAAAGCTTTGTTTAAAGCAGCAAAAATAAGATTTTTCCTGAGTTGCCCACAATATATTGTTCTGCAAGATGTAAATGGAGTTTACAATTCCCTTTGAATATCACACCAATGTCTAGCCCTGAAAGAACAGTTCCATCAGCTGTTGTCTTGTATCCTCTGGACTTTTGACTGAATGTCCTACAGTGCGAGGATCCATGAAAATCTCATAGTCATTTTCACCCTTGAAAATAATAATAAACATCAAAAGAGTGTATAAATACTGACTCCTTGGATTTATTCTTTACAATAGAAGTAAAAACCACTCTCATAAAAAAAGAAAAAGATGGACCTCATGTGCCTCTTAATTTTTGGGACAGAAACATAATTATTTAAAAGCCATATCAAAAGAATCTTCCTTTCTTCCAGTGGCACCAGAGGAACATCAAGTCCTTACTTACTGGGTTAGTCTTGTCTCCAAAGAAGTGGATTACTTTAAAGTTATCCCCGGCAATATGGTTGAGGCAGTATCTCTTATCCCACCCTTCTGGGAAGACATCAAAGCTGATTTGACCACCTAAAAAATATTTATGCTTATAATAAATAAAATGTAAAAAATAAATATAAATAAATACATATACACAAAATGAACATTACGGCATTTAACTAGAGGATCAGAGAGGCGATACCGCCTCCGAATATTGTACCACCAGCTGGAGCAAGCGCATTCGTATAGACCCCCACATACACAAAATAAGGGACACAGCCCCCAGTCCTGNGGCGGAGCCGCAGGAGCCGCAGGAGCCGCAGGAGCCGGCGGAACATACGGGTCGGGACTAAAACCATGGGTACCGCCAGCGCCTACGCTGGTGGTACAATAATTGGCCATATATAAACAATTGTTTCATTTCAAAATAGAATTATGAAGCACAGGCACATATGCTTTCAAAATATTTTTTGTGACATGAAATACAAAATACAGCTCTGTCTCCTTACCTATAGAATAAACTAATCCATTATCTGGAAACTGTTTTCGAAGATCTTCAACAAATTGTTTTCGTATATTGTGTACCTAAAATGGATAGAACTCTGATACATAGAGAAGATTGTGAATGACAAAAACTGGCTAGAAAGAAAGAAAGAAAGAAAGGGTAAGGCAGTATCAGCACAATCAAACTTAATTGGAAAGCTATGCATGTCATACATAACATTGATCTCTAATAAAATCAAAATTAAGTTTGGAGGAGAACTTTTTCAGTTGTGTTATGCATCAAGAATAAAGCTTAAGTAATTCTTCCTCAAATTTCAATGAACAACCATTCACCTAGACAGTAGACTCAATATCTGAGGAAGATCCTCTAGAGAGAATCAAAAAATACTGTGGGTGCACAACATAAAATTACTGCCTTGTTCTTTAAAAGAGGGTTACCTTATCATATTCCCCAAACTGGTCCCTCTCAGCCTGAGAGCAGCTTCTTCCCACTGGACATACGTTGATAAGACCACTGCGGAACTCGATAAACGTGCCCCTTCAAATATTAATGATCTTCATTAAATTTTCAGTAGCTGTGCATTTTCTTTCTCTCAATAGCTTCAAATGACTGTTTTGAAGTATTTGAAAATTAAATACAACTGGAGTAATTCAGACTAATAAAACCACTTAAACAGAATTATTCAATATATCATACAGACTCTAGTAACTAAAAACCAAAATATTCCATATAACCTTTTAGCTGGAAGTTCAATTTTAGACATGTATCCTAGTGCATAGTTGATGAATTTCTGTAATTTTTCCTCTCCCATGTAATTCTGTATACTCTATAAAATACAAAACAAAAAGGATTTCAAACCTAGAGTTTTTTTCACAGAATTTTCATAAACATGTACTCCATCCTATACATCCTAATACAAATTTCAAATTAAAACACAACATCCTCTCTGAGGTAATTAAACATTCAAGCAAATTCAGCAAATATTTCCAATTGGAAACTCTCTGAGCTAATCACATGTGCATACAGTTGCTTGGCTTTGGTAACTTAAGGTCAAATGTTTGTCAGAATATTTTCAATAGCACAAAAAATATCAAAATATTCTGATACTTGCCTCTTTTGCAATAAGCTGCCCGTTCTTATGAGCCACAAGTCCATTTTCAGAGAAAACATATTCAAACTTCTTGATTACTACAAAAGAAGAAATAAACATTTGCTAATCAGTTATAATTAAAGCTTTTTATTGCACTGCTTAAAAGCAGTACAATATATATAAAACTTTACCCTTTTCCCCCATATGCAGATTCCTACACATTTTATATTAAAGGTGGGCAGGCATTAAGTCAGCTGAACAATCAGTTGTACAGGTGGTACAAACAGGTGGCAGTGAGCAAGTTGATGTCTATATAAATAATTGATATATAATGCATATACCTTCAAATACCCATACATAATTCACATAGTACTACTGCCTACAGTCTGTAGAAATTCAGAAATGAGAAACAAATCTATTTGATTAAGCTTAATTTGCATACTCCAAAATGTTATTCATTTGATCAATACATCTACAATGACTTTAATGGAACTGAAGGTATAGACCTATTTGGATTTGCCAATATTACATATTCACGATAACAAAAGTGTGGGCTATCAAAAATTAGAAGTGGCATTATGAAAAGGAACAGGAAAAAAGAATAACATTTTGAAATCATAATGTTCATGAAGTAAAAACTGACAACATTTTCAACCCTTTGTATCCCAAAAAACTTAATTAATTAACTGTATATTAACCTGACTCCCTTACTTCACAATCAAAATGAACAAATAAGCCTTTTACTGTTCATCAAGATTAATTTTTTAAAAAGTTAATGTATTTACCATCTTCCTCTGATTTCCCCAGTTGTTCTGATATTTTACTAAGGTCCGATCCACCAACTAACCCAACAACCACCTTCTTATCCAGCTGTTCCATGAAAGTTTCCATCTCAGGGGTAATTTTCTGAAAGGAAATAATAATAATAATAATAATAATAATATGCTGAGGGGCTAAAACTAAGAAATTACCAAGCATGTGATAGGAATTATGCTGATGGCATAATGTATAACATACTGTTTACTTGTCATTAATATCAAATTTTAATTTAAAATAAGAATTTTGGACATTAAACAGTGGCCCACATTGAAAGGTAGCTAGGGGCCAAAACATGCAGTGGGCGTGGCAAGGCAGTGTAATTAACGTTACTCAATATCTATCAATATTCCGGTGCGAGAGGAATGATAGTCCGGGAATGGAAGTCCGGGGACCCATATGATTAGTACAGGGTAGGGTTAGTCGAAGTATTAGGGTTAGTATATGGGACAAATGCCACGCACCTGTATAAAGAAATGGGGAACGGCCTACAGCACATTACTGTTTCTGGCGGACTACCATTCCTGTCAAACTGACCATTAAAAAATCGCATTGCTTAATTTTAACAAGATTATGATTGCGTAGCAGGGTTTAATTGTAACTTTTGCATCTGTTCGAATTTTTTATCATTTCCTTAAGTGGTCACTGCTTTTTTTTACAGTTAGTCTTTATAAATGTTACGTAATTTTCTTCACGGATCTTTCTGATGAAACCTTTAGGCTTTATTACATTTGTACCTACTGACTCAGCATGTCAACCATGTTTTAACTTGCAGATCTAAATGAAAACAAAAATGAAAATGGGCACTAAATTACATGTTGATTTACCTGAACATAAAGTTATTATACACCTTAATTTTACCTTTCTGGGAGCTGTAAGTGTCCCATCTACATCGAATAAACAAAGCGTGGACGTGTCACGGGCCGCCATCCTGTTGAATGTAAACAATCCGTCAGATGTCTCCAGTATCGAGGAGTTAGCATTCTGTACTCCTTGTAGTAAAGAGTTTTGTTCAGCTCGGTGCCAGCTTTCGCAGTTACACGGTTTTCACATTTCAGCACATAGTTTGATTAACTATTCAAGCACATTAGATTGCGGAAATACAATCCACATATGAAGAAGATGTCTGAAAAAGAAAGGGACACTGTGAGAGATTTGAAACATTAGCGAAAGGGGGATCCCTAGGACTATGTCAAAATGAAGGGGGAGGTGGTCGCTCTTGCCAGGCGACATGTCAGGTTTACTACGACAGCTGGTCTGTTGCTGGTCGCCTCTGTCTGCCTGTACAGGTAAATTGTACTGATCACTAAGAAGTGACTATTTTAAAATACTAGTCAAGTAGGAGGCAGATATTTAGGCTGGTTTGGGTGGGAAATAGTACTGGTGTTTGCACTCGGCCTCAACAAAAGAGTCAATTTCCTGAACGTTATGATACCGTTATATAATTAATATTGATTAATTTTAAGTATGTTCAAATGTTATTGGTAAATGTGCGTTTTCAGTAGCTGCTCTATTCTCTTTTCTTAATCATTTCATTTCTGTAAAAAGAAAGATACTGTTTTATCTTTTAGGTTGATTTTTATAGCCTGGAGTTTTATAATCCCCTAAAATATAATGATGAAATTATTATACATGTATTAACTCCAGTATTCAATTTAACAAAATAAACTGACATGAATTAGTATTGAAGTCTAAAGACAATATCATTTCAGAATAAGATGAAGACTTAAATTATAATTTAAGCTACAGGTTGCATGTACTGTTGAAATTAAATTACCAATGTATCTGATATTTCTTACCCATAATGACCTATGTGTAAATTCCTTAACCCATAATTGCTGAGTATTAAATCTTTTGTAATAAGACTGTGTAAAAGTAATTATAGGGTTGAATAGAAAATGAGTATGATTTTCATCTCTTTGGTGTGCTCTGTGTAGTTTTCAAAGATCCACTGTGTATTATGAAACATAAAGAACATTAAGGTACATGTATGTCACTATAACAAGAGTCAAACATTGGGAGCTTATATCCCAGATCTGGTGGAATAAAACTCTTTGGGAAAACTGTAAAATACAAAGATGTTAAGAGACACTAGCCATCTTGAGCAGAAGCTATTATATGTAATTTATATTTATGTGAAATAAAATCTGTGACTGAATTAAAGTGTGTAGATAATGGTTTTTAGTAGTATATATATGTGTTGATATGCTTATAAAAATGTGCCTGATTACTGTCACTGTGACAGTGGTGTATTTGTTTGCAGTTAAGTGTCTTGTATCATGTTTTAGGTATATACACTGGATGATCATCCCCTGGTGCTTTATAGCAGGAATTATACCAATGTATTTTATACTGAGGTAAGTACCTGACTCTGTGGTAAGGATTGTCAAGTACGTATTACAAAGAGGAGACATGCTTCAAACAAAATAAATTATCATAGGCTCATTGGTTTTGTATCAGAATTCACACTGTCCATTCCAGTGTCAGGTTTTTATGTTTCTCTTTGAGCTCACTTTCGCTTGGTCGATTTTAGCCAAGTATAATTATATATTCTCATTTGGCAAGCAAAATGAAAGAATATTTAAGTTTTTTAAAAACTAAATAATCAGTGATGTACTGGCACTTGATATTTTGCATTTGGCTAAGATTAAGCAGCTCTTCGTTTTAAGGAATTATTAAATATATAGATATATACAGATAGATACAGTCATAAGTAACCCCCCCCCCCCAACCCTCTGCCCTCTGTATGACACAATCATCTTGGTGCCATGCACATGTTACATAGATCATCCTGCCAGACATCTGGCCAATGTATCTCAAAGGTATTTTTCTTAGAATTATAAGAAATATTGCACTAAAACATTTTGTAACTAAATAACAATTGGTCCTTACATGTTCTGCTGTGTTGTACAGCACTCAATCAAATATGAGTCATTTACAAAGTAAACTATAATACTGTGTAATGAAGGTGTTCTTTGTGCAGATTTAACATGTTTTGAACCATTTTTTCTTCTGTAATCTCACATGACTTGAGTATTAACATCATTTCCTAGGATTAACTCTATCTACAGCCACTTCAAACAATTACATGGAAAACATTACCTCTGGCATTTCTCAGTTTTTTGCATAGATTTGAATTTAGTTGGTTTTTGATATCTTCTGTTTGATATATTTTGTCTCATTACTTTAGTATTTATAAGTAGAACTCTGAATATATTATTAGCAAAATTATTTCCGTAGTAACTTCAATAAAATTGCTTCATATTTAAATGACCATGGTGAAATCTTCATGTTTTAAGTCAAAATTACAATTCTGCAAGCTTACATTTAGTTCCTATGATGAAGACACATATTTGATGGGTGAATGAGATGAACATGTCTACAAAAACTGAGAGCCTTTGAATGATCACCCAGCCCATGATACTAGAGTGTAGCACTCCCCATGGCAAGTAGTCACATGCAGTGTGTTTCATTTTTTTTTAAATTTAAAATGCCCTTGGACGTTATGTATGCCCCTTTTAACAGCACTAGCTGTGCTCCTAAATAACCACATAAGAAATGGATGACTTAACTACTCAATCTCTCTGTCACCACAAATTAAGAATAATAGGGCAATGTTTTTGAGTTAATTGACCCATTCAGGCTAGAATTTTTTACACAGGATGGCATACTATACAGTCTGGTAGTGCCTTTTGGCTACAGATTTAATTCTTGGTTTTAAATGTAGTTTATGCAGCAATAATTTGATATAAATTGCTTTTGTACAAAAATTGAAATCAAAATGTGAATAAATTCCCTGCTTTATTGAAAGTACTTCAAGATTGCCTGTAGGGTGGCCTGCATTCTCACAGTTGATATTAAAATATTGATCAAGGTTCAAAGGCACCTGAGTGTGCAGTTGGTCAAAAGCTTGTGTTCAGACTGGTTTCCTACTTCAGTCTTGTTTCAGGATATTAAAGTTCTAGGGTATTTTAACCCGCAAGTGTTATTAGTGCAGTTGTAGAAACTGTATAATGATGAACAAAATAAAAAGATCGCTGGTACAATCAAGTTGTGACATTTTCAAAGCAAGAGGTTAAATGTTAACTGTTACCACACAATCACACATGCAGCAGACTTTAAATAAAAAAACTGTTTCCTTAGCCCCCCCCTCCCCCTTAGAAAACAAAAAAGTATTTGTTATGGAAAAATGGAGAAGTTAGCCATAAGTATCTTCTAATATATAATGTACGTATATAGTTAGGGTGCTGCACCAAACAAAATTGTACTAGTTTGAATGTTTTTTGATAAACAACTATATTATCAGGATTGCCAAACACATAGTATGTGTTCATACTGTAAGAAGAAATAGACAAATAAAATAAATAATTGAATAAAAGGATGATAAAGACAGGCATTCTTATGAGCATAGGCATTTCAACAGTTAGTAGTTACCAAGGCTTTTAAAGCTCAAAGAATAATTCAATTTGCAGTACTTCATTGTAGATCAATTTTCATTACCCTAGTTCTATCAATATCACCAAGTTGACATAGAAGTGGATGAATTATCTTCCAATTAAGTTTCAAGTACTGGGATCACAGGAAACACTCAGTCTTCACTGGTATTGAATATGTGTCATCAGAATTTAAAGCTAACACGTTATCTATATATTTTATTGACACGTACTGAATAATGAAGTGGTGGAAACATTGGCCTCATTTATATGCTGCTTGTGTCCCAACAGAGCAAGTACCTTAGGTGTAAAATTTTTCACTCATTTTTTTTTATCGCGTCTTCATCAGCTTCCCATCATCACCATCAATCTTTCAATAAAGCCAAAAAGTTGAAAAAGTCTGAAAAGTGTCACTGAACCTATGAGAGGTTCCTGCTGAGCATTGGGTAAATGAAGCAGACCATCAGTTCACTGTATAATTATTACACTTATATAAATTTAAGTAGATAAATGGAGAGTTTGGAGAACACAGAGTTTGTGAATACCCACAGTTTGTTAGTATCATGGACTCCGACTCTGTTTAGGACAAACAGGATTGATGATTAAACCAGTTTTCTGCATGGCCCACTTTTTCATATTGATCTTTTGGTGAATGCTGTATAGCTAGGTCTGCTAGTTCAGTTGAGAATTTTTTTTTAAAATCTAATAAGTACTACAAGAGTGTTATGCCAAAGATGTGCCTGAATTTACTTTGTGCATGATGGCCTTAGACTTAAAGACAGAAAATTTTAGTCTGTTTGGTCCTGGATTAATTATTAATAGCTTATTAGTATATTATCAGGGATTGCCAAGCACATTGTATGTATTCATACTAAAGAATACTTCAATATGCAGTAGACTGAATGATAATGTAAGGCCCATTTCACAAAGTTAAAAAAATAACTAATACTTTAGATTGATAGTAAATAAACGTAAGTGGAATACTGCAGGAGTTTGACTTAAATATTTTTGTGAAACTGGACACAGTTACTCCCATAATTACTACAAGAACTACCTGCACGTCTTGCTGTAATTTATTTTGTGCGTGTTGGCTCCTGGTGCACTTTCTACTGAAATATTCACTGAATGAATTATATGCCATGTATTTGAAATGTGTTGTTCTATAAAGCCTGGCCCAGTTTAAAAAACAAAAGATGAACTGATGAACATGTATTTGAAATGTGTTGTTCTACAAAACCTGGGCCATTAAAAAAAACAACAACAAAAGATGAACTGGAATTGGCATTGTAATAGCTAATGCAAGGCATTGTTGCATTTTATATTGGATATTTGATTAATCTGTACAACATAGCTGTGTCTTTCTTTAGCTTAACTCTTATTTCTTTGGAGTATAATTGTGTATTGAACAACTTGGCCTTTGTAACCTACCTACAGATAAAAGACAGGACATGCATATGTAGAAACCTATGCACTGGTACTAAAAAAGACTGCAGTACACTGCCGTTGATGATCTTTGGATTCAATCCTTACATTTCTGTTCAGCTGTATATATTTATGTAGTGATACAAGTGAGAGCATTGCTCATTGTTGACACTGATAGCCTATGAAATTTTTATCTCATTTCACATTTGTATAAGGACAAAGTGAAAGAAATTCTATGAACACACTTAGTTTTGTTGATGATGAACCATAGTATAATCTCTTGATGATTACAGTTTGTGTATAGAGATTGAGTTTAAATGGACTGATTCATATGAATGAGGTTGTAAAAGTGTAACATAAGTGTATATCTTTTGAATCACAGTTCTTATTATTTTCATTTTTTTTATTATTTGTATTTTTGTGGAAAATGTTAGTAATAAAGAACAGATTCTAAAACATTTTTATTGTTACTCTTGTATTCCCTAACATTACAGATGATATCTACCAACAAAGTGATTGATAAATGTAATGATTGTCTGAATTTGTGATTGATTGATTGATTGATTGATTGATTGATTGACATCTTAGTCATTTTGACATGCATGCGCACACACATACGCACACACACACGCACACACACACACACACACACATAGAGAGAGAGAGAGAAATTATCATAGATCTAAAAATGTCACTCTATTCTGTTCTAGCCCTGGTGCTCTGCTGCCAAATTTGATGTATTTTCACACAAGGAAAAAGGTAAGTCACTGACAGTGTGACATGATGTCAATTCAAAATATTTTGTATTTTCACACAAGGAAAAGGCACTGACAGTGTGGCATGCTGTCAATACATAACATTGCTGTAGTAAACACCACCTTTGTTCCCCAGTCCAGTTGTCTGCAGACAGATATGGTCAAGTTACTTAATAAGTGCACTGATTTTTCAGTGAACCATGTTGTAAATATACTATCATAGCCTCTCACTGAGCCTCCAAGATTTAACTTCTGTGAAGTAAATTATTTAAAAAAATTCCTAGAAACATACTAACTCCTGTCAACATATTGTCACACATTATTATTGAAGTCAAAAGTTCAGTTTTACTTCCTGAATGAAAAATTTCCCAGTTGAATATATCTTGCAGTGATCTGGGCCACAAGGTGATTAGATAAAACATGTCATCATGCTGTTAGCTTTGATCAGTATTAATATTAGGTAGACCTAAGCTAAGGCTGGACTAAGATCACTATTATTCCTATTATCAGAGATGAAAAGTGTGAATGTTGGTGTTATGGTGTAATCCTTAAATATTGCTAGAATATGTGTGGATGATTAAAACTCATAACAGTTGTGCTTGAGCAGTATCAACTTATTTCTCTTCTTGTCTTTCATTTAAAAATTGAATATTAAAAATAGTTTGGATTTAGATACGGTGTATATGAAAGGGATTAAAATGACTTTCGCAAGTAGTGCCGGTAGCATGTGATTTTCAACAGTTTTGCCCTACATTTCCATTCTTCAGAGGTTTTGGATGCGACTTTTGCTGGCATTAGATCATAAGAAGAAATAAGTAGAATAAGTAGAATAAGTTAAAAAGACTAATTTGGATCTTGTAATTTATGGTACAAGTGCACCAGTCATAAAATATTTTAAGCACAAATATATATATTTTTAATCATTATTCCAGAAAGAGCCAGAGGTGATAAAAATGCACAAGGCATGTCCAGTTTGTGGTGAGGACACATGTGAAAGACACAGGTAAGGTGAAACATCAGGGTACAGTATGGCTTTCAACACAAAACAATTCAAATTAGCAATAAAATAGGAATAATGAAGTTTCATGTACAAGTGATCAGTGCTTTAGTATTTTGAAAGCCTCCAAAGAATCATTCAGAAAATCTGAAATATGTGTATCTCTAACCTAGATTGTTTATATAATGTAATTCGAATCATATTTTTACTTTATGGTGTTTATATGTCATCATATTGGAAATGGTTATATCAGTTATTAAGATAATTTATTTCTTATATTACCTAGGCCAGAGTTAAATATAGTAGTTAACCAGCCATGGACAGAGCTCAAAATACCACGCAAAGTGGACAGTGCAATAGAACAGGTAGGTAGAATTCAGTGGTCGCAGAATTCTAAAGATAATAAAGACATCATTAGATTATTAAGCATATTTTCCTAGTGGTAAGGGACTAGATTTACTTCTGCTTTTACTCATTTAAGACATTGTATTAGCTGGTTGAAAGGAATCTCACATATAATATAAGGAATATATTCTTTGCTCCTTTCAGACTAACCTTTATAAACATAACAGTTTTGTTTCAATGTCTAATACTTTAAAAACCTTTCTTTTCAGTTTCTAAATTTGGTGTTGGAGAATTTTGTATATACATGGTACAGGTACGTAAATAATGTGAATGTTGAAAATAAAAAAAGATGGCAGTGATAATAAGCTGTTTATATGTATTTTTTATAAAGTAGAAAGGAAAAAGAGTGTGGAATATAAAGAAGACTTAAATATTTTAAAAGTTCTTATGGCTATTTGCAGGGATTTGAGTCAAGATGAAGCATTTGTGGATGAACTACGAACCAGCCTCCGATTCATAGTTGCAGTATTTTTAAGGAGGTTAAAAAAGGTAAGGGGATAATTCCTTACATTTTCTTTCCTTATGATCAGTTATTGGCTTTCTTATATTTTGATTAAGCTAAGAATTGTGATATTTTGCAGCTTGTTTTTCATTATTTTTCAAGTTAACAATTAAAAAAAAATGAACTTTTCACTGAAAAGTAGGGATTGGTTACTTTGTTTCAGGTGAATATGTGGGTAGACTTGCATATAAAATGCACATTTTAGTAATACAGACTGTATGTACACAAATACACTATTTGAGTATGCATTTAAGAATAATCCTCTTTGAAAACAGGTTCCTTTTGAAATTTGACATGATAAGATTAATTATGCAAAAATTCTCTACTGGAATATGTCTGTTTTTGTTAAAAATTGAGCATAACTTATTTTTTTGTTTTAACAAAAACACTTAAAAGTGTTTGTATATTTACCAGTTTTGCTGTCTAGTTTCTGATAGTGATGTTGGCTCATATTTTCAGGTTGATTTACCTTCCATTATAACAGACAAACTTATTAAGGCAGGGATGAGGCATCTTCAGATTTGTATGGCAGTAAAAGACACTGGTATGTACAATGTTTAACAGCCATGAATGAGGACAGGGATGAAAAAAGAGAATGAAAGAAGATAAACATTGGAATTAATACTTGAGTTTTGCATAGAATGATTATTCCATTTTAAAATTCAATGCTAAGGCATTAAAAAAAACAAATGCAAAATTGTTATAAGATTTACATTTAAAGGATGATTGGCCATTCCTGTAAAGAATGGTGTGTAAAGGTTAAAGTATTTGGTTTCGCACAAATTAGGTCTTGCAAAAGATGATGGATCATTTCAAAGAGCTGTGCTCAGTTATTATGGCCCCTATCTCCACTGTGCCATGGTCAGCAGAAACCAGGAGTTACAATATCTCAGAAAAGTAACAGAGAACCTGTTTCCTCATATTCTGTCGGAGAGGGCTTTGCAGAGCAAGTGAGTTAATTTTGTCTTTGTTTTAGTCAAATACTTAGATATTTCTTACCAAATCCTTGCTATATTGGCTGAATGATTGTAGATGTAATTATTTTAAGCATTTGGTAAAAAATATTATGTATTAGGATGCGTCTAAATATTTCAGTTGGTTTTTTTAATTTAATCAGCTAAGTTGTTGCTTCTTAGGTTAAGAATATCTTGGAATACCTTGTTTTTGATGATATTAACTGATCTGAAAGTATATTTGTTTCACTTTGTCTTTTATATTTTAACATATAAGAATATCATTTTGGAACTTGATCTTATTAGATGCTCAAAAAGAAGCAATTTATGTTTCAGAAGTCTTCATTTAGACCTAGATTTTGGTCATTTTATTTTCCTTAAATTTTCCATTATGGTGAATAACTGATGGCTTCTTGTATAAAATCATATTTCCAGAAGCCTATGTTCATTACTGCGAGAGGTCTTAGCAGGTTCTGTATTGCTACCAGGAATGGATAAAATAGCAGAGCCGGTAAGCTCATTTACTTCTTCTTACTATTATGGTAATAACAATATTTAAAAGTGGCTTATGTTGTAGAATGACTTATTATTGAGATGGTATTGATGAACATAATTATTGATTTGCTCTTTGTGCTATCTTGACATGCACTTAATGTTTAGTACAATCAGGACTTCCTGATCTTAAAACATGAATTAACGTAGTTGCTATCCCTCGATAGAACATAGGGCTCTTTACAAGTAAACAGTGAGCACAATCTTTTGCAAGGTGTTCTCCCCCTCTTTTAGTTAAGGCTGAAGTATTTCAACTATTGTATACAGTTTTATGACTGAATAATCTTGGTTATTTTATATCTGACTCAGTTGGGTCAGCAAAAATTTTTTTCTAATATAACCTCAACCAGTGCATGCTAACACATAAGAATCCCAAGATAATACTACCCAATGAACAGCAATATTAACTTGGAGAAAAAATCAATTTCTATTACATTTCTGTCCATTGGGAGTTTGAGGCTTATACATTTGAAGAACTATTAAGCTGGCTTATTTGATTTGTTCAGTACTTTAAAACCATTCACTCAGTCTGTAACACATGTTGCTTTAGATTACTGTGAAATATAAAAAATAATTTGAACTATAAACGCTCTCAGAGAGCCCCTACCAAGGCTCATTATTGTTATTTAATCAATAAATTAGCAGCATAATCACTAATTGATTCTAAGTAAGCTCATTTTTGACTTTTCCAGAATTTTTTCCAGAACTTTTTGAGTTGGGCTGTGAACTAAAAAGAAACCAATGCTGGAAAAATCTTATTTTCTAATCTGATGCCAGTGTGATTTTATATCATTTTTTATGACAGGATTTTGTCAACAACCTTTTGTTGGTGTTTGTGGACCCCGAGCCTCCGCCTGAAAACCCAGACCTACCCACTGATCTCGTCTGTATTCTAGCCAACTTCAGCAAAGTAAAAAGTAAAAACCAGTCAGTAAGTATATTTAAATGGAGAAAAAAATTGAATAAAAATGCCTTTTGTTTTTATAAAAACAGTCTTTTAAATTGGGAAAAACAGTTTTTGACTTAGCTTTAATATGAAGGTGAATTTACCTGGCATTTGCATTGTTTTAGTGTTTCCTGTTCTGTAACTTCTAGTATTTGTGTTTTTCTACCAAGTATTGGGGCACTTCGCTGAAATGGGCATTTTATTGTTTTATTCAGTTGTCTGCAGCTTGAATGAATTATTTTTTCAGAGGGAGAGGGGCACTATTGATAGAGATTTTGGGGAGAGGGACTCATCATATTTGCAGATTATTCTAGAATATTTCTAGATTTCTAGAATTATTCTAGATTATTCTATACTTAGAAGTATTCCACCACATTTACAAGATTCTGCACGTTTTTAAAATGAAAGCAAAGCATGCCAGAAAATTGAGAATAATGAACTTATTTGTCAGTAAAGTCAAAGTTTTGAAACCATTCCCATTAAATAGGTATCAATATTTTGTTTTTTTAGGCACTACGACCTGAGCTGAAGGAAATTTTAGACAATACTGAATTATTATTTCCCTTTATGCAGTTCCTCAAGGCAGAGGGTGCTGTAAATGTACTACAGTTTTATTTTGCTCTTGGTGAGTGTTTTGGGAGGTGCTTTAAAGATTTCATGATAGAGAGTGTGAAATACTTTCACCTTTTGAAAATATTTAGATGGATTCATGCAATTTTTGACACTGATATTTTGTAAAGTTTTACCAGTCTAAAAAATGATACAAAAAAGTTTGAAACCATTATTACCTTTCAGATGTGGATGTATTAGACCAAATATAAATCTTACAATGAAAATGTTTTATTTTTCAGAGGATTTTAACAAAAAATTGATTAGGCCAGAGCTGAGTGATGCAGATGTATGTCTTCTACACAAGGATATTTTACATATATACAACAGCTATTGTGCAGAGGGGGCCTTTGATAAAATACAGCTAGCCCCAGATATTGTCAGCGAGATTAAAGAAGGTAACGCTTATATACCCATTGAGTAAGGCTTTTGAAATCAAAATTCACTGAAACTTTTAATGATACTTGAAGTCTGTTGTTGGATTGATTTTGTGGCCTTCAGGCTGAGTTCATCATTTTTTCTTTCTTTTTGTGATATTCATATTTTGATGATGTTAGACACAATTCAAACTGTTTTCATTCCATTTTCACATTTTCAGTTGTTGAAAGTCCACCAGATCAAGTGAAAAGATTACAACGGTCAAGCTCCATGTTCAGGTATTGTGACTGTTGGAGTTTTGTGTATTAAGCAGAAAACATTATCTTTGTCTATGCAGGTTTTACGTGTTCTCCCCACTGCTCAAACCATAATATGCACCAGGAAAAAGTTTCTCTTTAGTAAATTGATGCTACATTTCTGTATTGCTTTTTGCTAACCAAAGTAGATATTTGACCATGCTATGATGATATTATTGTATTTTATTTACGTTTGCTGTTATTCTTACAGGGCCTTTGATCATGCCTATGATTTATTAGAAGAAACATTCCTTCCATTATTTTTGCAGAGCAATGATGTGAGTGGATGTATTGCATTTGCAATATGTTGGCAACTTTATTATCTTTGCCAACTTGGAATTATAATCTTAGTAAAATTTCTATTTCAAAGTGTTTTCTTATTAATGGTGCATGAAACACCTAGAGATATACTTGTGAATTTTTAATTATTTGTATGTTGTCTTTCATTCTATAAACCTTAATAAAGTATTCTGTGTTACAAGGATTCTGTAAAATGTATGTTGTTCTACAAACCTAGTTTTTTTGTATGTAGGGATATTTGGACATTTTAAATGAACATTTTGGAAAGTAAGACTGTAGATCGACTCCACAAAATGAAAAGAGATATTTGCCCATTTCACTTTCAGTATTATACTTCACTATGTGGTGAGAGGTTGCAGAATAAGTTACAGCGCAGCAACAATCGTCAGTCAAAGAGAAAACAGGAGTTTCTGGGCAAGTTTGGTCACAGGCTAAAGGGTGTCTTTAAGAATGATACAAGTAAGTAGTTGGAAAGAACAAATATTTAAAGACAAACACTGAAGTGTAATAAATTTGGTAGATTTATTAATACACTTAGATGTCTTATTTAATACCTTTATTTTAGACAGACCTATATCTGTTTTATATTCAGCAATACTGTTTGTAATTTCTTTTATTTTCAAGTTTCTGAACTTGGATCTTTTAGTTGAACTAAAACTAACATAAGGCTGTTGTCCTTAATGTAACTGGTAGTTGTAATACATTACAGGGCACCCAGTTAAACTACAAGGTAGAGAAATAACTTAGGTTATAATACAGGGTGTAGTAAAAGCACTGGCACACTAGCTGGTGCAGGTGTGTTACTGCTCAGTAGGAAGACTCACAAAATGTGGCATATTTTAAAATCTTTTTCTTTATCCACTGTAACATAAGTTGATGATTTTCTTTCCAAGACCAGCTGGGTGAGTGGCAAAACAGTGCTTTGCTGCACCTTGATAGATATATGGCTTTGGGTTCCAATTTCCCTCCTGTAACTATCCCATTCTTTACGTCCAGCTCATCTGACTTGATCTAGTAATAGTGTGTGTCTTTATGCCTTAGTACATTTCTGGCCTCTGTGTTCCAGAACATCTCTGCCTTTTCTCTTACTGTTAATTTTATCATTTAATTTGTATTAAATATTATAGAAATAAATTTCATTTATTTTCACACTCAGATTTTATATGATTAATTATGTTGATCTATGTTGTTAATTTTCTTCCCTCATCAGTTTTCTTAAGATGATATTCTTTCCATGTTAATATTGCTGTTTTGATATGATATTGATTATTGTTGAAATGATACAATTTTCTTGGTTCCATATGGAAGAATTTGAATAAACTTTTAAATATTTTAAGATGGGTTTCTGTGAAAGAAACACATGACTAGTTGCTAAACTTTAGGAAACACTTAATAAATGTTGACCTTGAATAATTTTTAGTTGATGGAAAGATGCCAGACGAAATGCAAGTAGCAGAATCAGTGGATGAAGTTGACCCTGTTTTGGTAAGAAATTTTCTCCTGTTTGACAAGGTTTGCATTCAGCCACAACAAAAATAAAATGATAATAAATAAAAGTTGAATAATGATTATTGATGTGGAAATATTTTTATTTTCTTCAGGATATTTTCTTCTCAGATTAATGCTCAAATACATATTTATGCCACAGTTTCTTTAAACTGTTTTATTCTCAAAAATCCTTTGTTTTATCATGAATTTTTTTGCAAACTTTTTTACCATAGGCTGCAGGAGATGAGGAAGGTCTTGACATTCCAGACAGTTATGTCGACTACCAGTTAGAGTTGGATGGTGGTGCCGCCGTTAGAGATCTCAGTGCATGGAGGGTCACAATCCCCTCTGTAGCTGTGATCCCTGATTCTGAAAACTCCAAGAAACAGAGTCACGCCTTCAAAATTCATATCAATAGGATTGACATACCGGATGGTAAAATTTCATCACAACTCTTTTAATCGCTTTGATATGTTTTGTTATGAGGTTAAATGATGCCAATGTGATAATTATAATGCTATCTTTGTTTTATTTGTACCCTGTGTGTGTGTGTGTGTGTGTGTGTGTGTGTGTGTGTGTGTGTGTGTGTGTGTGTGTGTAGACATGCCCGTGTGGGCACTTTCATGCTTACACACTAAATGCTGGAATAATTTTGTTGACTTCTTTCAGGTGGTCAAGATACGTCCAGTTGGTCAGTTTATAGGTAAGATTTTATCTTATTACCTCTGTATTGTCAAGTTTGTAACATGTTTGTAAAGTGAATATTTTAAGTGATGATTTTTAACTACTTTGATCTTTGCATATTCAATTTTTATCAGAGGCAAAGCTTTTTTAGTTCTAGTTTTTAATATTTTTTTTGTTATAATTACAGAAAGTACAATGACTTCTATATGCTGGAACAGAAACTAAGAGAATTCCATGGTAAGAGTATCATTTATATGCTGTTTGTAATAATTATGACACTGGAGTTTCATAATCTGTTTCATACTAATTACTTGGATATGCTAGTTTATTGGGGAGTTCATTGGTTTATAAACATTGTCTTTCCTATTATTACTATTAGAAGTCTCTTCAATTCATCAGAGAAGATAAACATTGCTTCACTATTTCAACATTTGAAATTCGAACCTAATTTAGCTTTGTAGGTAAAAACTTTTACCAATTGTCAACACAACATTGATATTTTTAGGAGTCAATCTGAAAGCTCAGCTTCCTCAGAAGAAGTCCTTTGGGCTAAAAGGGTTGGAGTATTTGGATAGCAAGAGACAATCATTTGAGGAATATGTGCAGGTACAAAATGCAATTGACTATTTGAACATTTTTTTTCCTTCAGTGCATAATATTTTCATTTTTTGTTGTTCTTCTTTTTGTAAAGTAGTCACCTCAGTCTTTTAGTAAAAACAAATGCACATGCTCAGAATTTGATAATGTCATGGCAAGCAACAAGTGGCTGAAATATTGACCTACATTTGATTAGTATAAAGCACAAATTGGTTTTTGGTAAAAGGCACTGGTAATGTTATCCCATATTGCCTTTATAACACTTCAGAATGCTCTGAAATATTGTGAATATCATTATGTTTTGTTTGTTTTCCAGGAGTTACTACAGTCTCCTCATTTAAAGGGAAGTGAACTCCTGTGCAACTTCTTGGAATCAAAAGGCAGCTTCAAAAGCCAAAATGATTTAAGTATAGGTAAACTGTTATAATACAGATTGGTACATGGTTATGCACATGCTTATTTGCATGTTTGTGTAAATCATGAATATTTCTCCTATGAAAATGAAACAAAAATTTTGTGTATCATTCACAGTGATGAAAACCAAAATTTTGGTTTATTAATTTTTTACATTTTGGGCCCTTTTTATGTAATCACTCAAGCATATTTTCAGTTTTAGTCAAATTACTAATTATTTAGCAAACCAATGATAGATATGCAATAAAGAAGGTAGCAGAAAATAACAATCTTTAGAATTTTGTATGATGGTGAAAAGTAGAGTGAGTTCTGCTTTCACCTATCAAACAATATATATATATATATATATATATATATATATATATATATATATATATATATATATATATATATATATATATATCTTTAAGACAAATATTGTTGTCACTGTTCCAGGAAAAGTATTCAAGTCTGTTCCTATGAAGTTGACCATTGAGGTATGTAAGAGCTCCAGTTTGTTCATTTGCCACCATTTTCACTTGACACACATGATACTGAATGTTTATGATTATAATTTGTTCACCAAACCTTTATATTTATCAATTATATCTAGGCTTGAGGTTGTAGAAGTGACTATTTAGGCATAATACATCTAACATTAATTTTATCACTATTATTGGTTACCACACTATTTTTTTTCTGATTTAAATCAGAAATCCTATATTTTGGGGCAGTTTTCTGACCTAAGATACCCCCCAAACACCCTGTGGTAAGACCACAGAGCTATTTCCTCGTAGTTTTCTATTGTTACTCAAAATGTATAGGTTATTTATGTGTTATAACATGTTGGCTATTACTTTTAAAGTGGATTTTGATTAATTTTGTTTAAGTGATGTTTATTGTTATCTTTATTGTTTTGAAGAGGGGACAGCACTTGGATCCTTTTCTCCAGTCTCTGTATGCATCCACAGAAGCACCCAAACCAAAACCATCCAGGTGAAGAACTTCTAGACATCATACACCTGACACTTGTTCTTTGTTCAAGTAGTGTTTCGTGAAATTTTCTACAATATTCAGAATTCAGGTTATAAGCATTAAACAACTTTTTGGCAAAAATTGTGTAGTTGTTATGGTTAAGATGATCAGACAACAGGAACAGTTTTTTTTTTTTTTTTTTTTTTTTGTAGAGAAAATATTACTATAAAATTTGATCCAATTTACCGTGCTTGTATATATTTCAGTGTGCCAACTGATCCTGAGACTGCGTCTGTTACTTCAATATCCAGTGAAAGGGTAAAAAGATTAAAAAATTATAATAATAATAGATTAACAAAATGACCTTATTAATAAGAAAAAAAAACACAGTATGTTCAGTTCATGTTTTTAATTTTGTACCATTCTGAAGCCATCGACTCGGGATTCACACTTCTAGTGGAATAATTCATGAATAAATCCTTTTCTTATGTTTGCTAATTTATGTCCAGTGTCTTGCAAATATTCATTAATTACACATTATTAGAAACCATGTTGAGGCAAAAATCATCACATATAAGGTTATATTCCAATCATTTTGATCATTATTTATAGTTATATGTGAGGTGGGGAGGGGGGGGGAGATATTCTTATTTGATGTCATAGAACTTACCCAGTCTTAATGGTCACATTTCTCCCATCTGATACATTGTAAGTCACAATGGGGTAATAGTGCATATCCAGGCCGTTCTTACCATATTGATAAAAAAATCTTGTACAATATCAGTCTAATGTAGGGGACACATATGCAGAAGTGGGCAAAGTGGTTTGTAAACTAGGTCATCCCACCCTGGATTACAAAAGTTGCTGTTATCCAACCTCCATACTCGGCTAGCACCTGCTGAAATAAATATGACTGCAATATGACAGGGACCTGCTGCTAATTGAGTCAATTTGCAGTGGTTGCTGAATCTTAGGGTGGGTCATTCTAAAATTAGATAAATATCCAGTTGAGTATGATGATGAAAATACCAAAATGTTTATAACGTGCTTTTTTAATTGTTTTTTAGCTGTCAAATCCATTGTATGAAAACAATGCAAACCTCACTACAGTTGAAGACTTGGAGTGTCTTGATCAAAGTATTATGGAGGATGCTGGGGCAGAGGTGACGGGAGTATTCGACTCCATTCTTTATGTTGGTATGTAGACATCACTGTATTCTAGCTTTGAGTGACTTGGCTGAAGTGAAAAAATGTGTTCTGGAGAGAAGTTTTGTGTCTGAATGTACATGGTTGTGTGTGTGTGTGTGTGTGTGTGTGTGTGTGTGTGTGTGTGTGTGTGTGTGTGTGTGTGTGTGTGAGAGAGAGAGAGAGAGAGAGAGGGAGAAAAAAAAAGGGAGTTAAATCATTTTCTTTTATCTCAAAATGCCTTTTGAATCATGACCGATGAATCAAACCTTGTGAAACATAACAAATATTATCTTTTATTGGATACTGTCTTGTCTTTGCCAACTATGTGCATGAATGCCCCTGTTTGTCCGTTTTGCAGCCAAGTATGTGTACCATGCCCCAGAGTGGTTCCATCATGTTCTCATCACAGCCAGAATTCTGGGGAAGAATTCCCTGGAGACCTTTGTAGACTGGTTCATTGGAAAGAAACTGTGGCAGGTCTCACAGGAGCACCGTATAGAAAGTCTTGTTCACTTACTGCAGGGTGAGCAGAATACATTTAATTCATCTTGATTCATGTAATTTCTACAAGACATAGAGCTTTTTTATCTGTGATCTTCTGTAAAATTTTTATGTCAAAAACACATTATACTGTTAATATTTCACAGCCATGAATTCTTCAATAATTTATTTTCATTACTAAAAAGACTGATAAGTTTCCTTATATTTTTCAGATGCTCTCTTTTTCGATAATGATCCACCTAGGTAAGTTGAATATTGGCATTGCTATAGTTGCTTTACTGCAAAAATGCCATTAACTTTATAGGATAAAAACCTGAAAAAAAATATGGTATACATATAGGCTTTTTATATTTTTCCGTCCTTTTTTCCAACATCATCAGCTTTTGTTTTCAGAACTGATGAGCAGAAGGCAGAAAGAAGAGATCAGGCACTTAAGGAGCTCAATGAATTCTTCCCAGGTTTGTACTTTAATGAAAACAATTAATTTAAACTATTACAGTAACCTAGCAATGATTACAATAAATATAAATATTTAATATGAACAAGTGTTTGACTTTCGTTGTAATATTTATTTCAGAGTTTTTAAAGAAGGCGGTTGGATCTGAAAATTTTCATCATGGCACCTATACAATATTTCATATATTACAGCAGCCATTACTAAATAAACAGGTAAATTACAACTAAATTCTTCTTGTCTTTTATTTCCTTCGCAATTTTTAGGCAAAAGAATTTGAGCTGAGAAGGTGGGGTTGTTTTTTTCTTTGGATGAAAAAATTACCCTAATTCACATTAACCTAGGAACAAATAGAACTGAAATTTCTATGCAATTCTGTCTCAGGAAAAGGAGATTTAATGCTGCATTCTTCTTATTTCAGCTGTCATATGTGATGTTAGACATTGTGTTACAAGAATTGTTCCCAGAAATTGAGAAAGCTGAAGACTTTGAACAATGACTGTGATAATCATTCAACGGCCACATCAATTTTATCATCTTCATAAACAGTCTGGGGGATGGATAGGAAATCATTTTGAATGGTTTTAAAGCACTAAATGGCATTTTTAATCATCAGAAATAATCATTTTCATGTGTTGAATAGTCTTGTAACATCTCAGATGCATTTGTGCTATATCTCAGTATAAATGCATGGTGGAAATATGTTTAGGCAATCATAGTGTAGGGTCCAAGTAAATCCAAGAGTATTTTGTATTTTACAAAGAAAAATCATTTGACAATAATACAATTATTACACATATTTTAGGGAGGAAACACCACTCTGTATTTGAAAACCTATTTCTGTGAAGTGCCATGAAAAAAGTGAGGAATAATTTCAAGTGATAGCTCTGGCATATTTGAGTAATAGGTACTGCTGGTTGGATTGGCAGGACCTTTCAACATGGGAGTAGTACTTATTAATTAAAAAACATGGAGCTTTCTTTCTGCTATATTTATAAATATAAGCACTTATTATGTTTTCTTTTATCAATTTGACAGTGTTGCATTGGCCTTTGTGCTATCTTTGATGGTTTGTGTTTTGTTTTTCATTAATGTGGACTTAAGCATGAAAACAAAAATTCCTGTTAAGTTTGTGAACGTGTGCTACATACTAATAGACCTTTTGGTGTTGTTATCGTTATCTTCATTTATGAAAAGACTTGGAAGCAGCTGTTGGAGTGTGCATACTATATCCTAGAGGTTGTTGTCTCCTGTTGAAAATTTAAGACGGGGCATTCTCAGCATTCTGACATATACTACACGTGTTGCACCTGATCTCAAGTGGGAAAAAAATGAAAACTTTTTTTCATAACCTATTGCAATGAAACAGTTATCTCTATAGGCCAATTTAGATAATGCAAGAGGTATCTATAGCTTGTTGTCATTGGTTAATTCACTACATGATCACAAAATGACCATTATCTGTACTTTCTACCTTATATTACAATATCTGATGTATGAAAAGTTGTTAATGATAATTTCATTTTTGTGTGTATGTGTACTTCTGGTTTTCTCTACTTCTGTGAAAATACTCACTAGAAATATGGCTGTTGTTTGCACCACTGTGTAATTTTAAATACGATCTCGTCCGTGCAGCACAGTGCATAAACTTTCAATGTTGTAATCAATATTTTTCTAGTGGGAAGTCTTTCAAATGAGAAACAAACACAGAGAATAGGATCTACCTGATGTAAATAGTCAGTTGCATTGTTATTTTGGCTTCAAATGGTTGTTCCAAAGCTGTCTTATCATAGGTATTTGCACTGCTGCCATTAGTTTGTTTGCTGTGCAAAATGTGATATGTTGCTACCTAGAGTTCAAGTAAAAGTTTTCAAGAATTTCCCTACAGCATCAGAAATGTTGTGTAATTATATTGAATTCTATTTTTGCTTTGCCTTAGTTTCAATGGATAAAATTCTTAAAATCCAAGGTTAAATATTTCTTGTTCTTCTATTGCTGTAAGATTTGGAAGGTCAGCTATTTATTGAAAAGGACTTACTATGTGCAATTTTTAAGTGTATTCACATCTTAAGACATGGAAATTATATAAATCATTGTTATACATATTATAAAACTAAAAACACCAAGCATCATCAGCAGAATAAAGTATGTAAAGAAATATTTCACAAGTGAATACATTGTACAGGTGGCCATTTCAAATGTATTGATGTTAGGTCAGAATGTGAGTTCTCCACCTTCACCAATATTAGGGCACCGATCTTTTTTCCTGGTCAACTCTACTAAAATGCACCATCTGGCCTGCATGTAGGTGCAAGTCAAGTGTTAACTTTGGGTTATTATGAAGACTTTTCTGTAAAACCAATCCTCCAGACGTAAGGACATACTTGATAAATGGAAAATATTTATTTCTGACACTTTAAAATGATTAATGTTCAGATGTAAGGCCTACACGTAATATCTATTACTGCTTCTTGACGGTTGTGGTCCCACGTGGACAAATGCGATAAATATTGGAAGCATCAGCAGATATTTAATTTATGACTTGGATCACAATTTCAACACAAGATGTTGCAGACGTGAAGTCTGAGGTATATTATGTACATATTGATGTGTCAAAACCAGGTGAAATAAACATTGCAAGGATCACATAGTCTTGTTATTGATGATTTCTCATCACATTTTGTACCCAATACAAGCTTTTGTTATAGATTGTCTATAAATAAGAAAATAGTCAAAGTTTGCTGGTTATCTTGAAAAGTGCTGCCATCTTTTTTAAGGTGTATTCTCACAGGGACTACCACACCAGACACCCAAAGTTCTTAGATGTGATCAGTCTTTGAGTGAAGAGTCCTTCTGGTGACATGTAAAATGATGTGGTTCTCAACGAGCCATCTTAAGTATTTTATCCCTTTTTAAAAGATATTTGGCCTTAGATACCAAATGTTGGAGAGCACTGATGATGGCTAAATGTCGTCACATACCGTCATTTTTCCTGAAGAGAGTCCGACTCTTTTGAACTCCTTTTCTGTATTTTTATGGTCAATTAGTCTTGCTGCACTTAAGCACCAGTTTATTCACAGATAATGTACAAAAAAAGGATTCATACACATCTATTTTTATCTGACTCTTTCCACTGTCTCTTTAACATTAAATTTAAAATAATCTATCCAACTGTTTATCATTTTCTTCCTCTTCTCTTTCCCTTTCCACCGCCACCACGTTTGGTATCTTTGCCTTGTTTTCTCTTGATGCTTTTCTTTATGCTTTTTGCTTTCTTGGGTCTTTCTGAATTTGTTTTTTGCCTGAAATATGCAATCCATACAATGTGAACACGCTCTGACTGAGCACAAAGCAGATGAATAAGGAATTAACAAACTTACAAGTGAGCAATTATCCCTCCCCTTTGAGGGGTAAAAAAACTTTCTAAAAATGTTTCCAAAGAGTCTAAGTTTTACTTCTACTTAACATAAGATATTAACAATAATTTTCAAACAAAAATTAAAGTAACAAAGTCCCACACTATGTAATCAAACATTCGTCCCCAGATGGACAAGCACAGTTTCAGCACAGTAGAAGACACTAAATACCAATAAATTTATGCAGATGACTGCCTCACCTCTGTTGCTCTTCCTCCAACATATGCTGTTTCATGGCTTTTGTAACATTGACTGTGGGACCTGCCTTTGCCATCTTGCTGAGAATATCGAGCTGTGCAGATTTTTCTTTTGACATATCACCCACATTTGGTTCAAACTGAAATCAAAAGAGGAGAAAAAAGAAGCTAAATGTTAACCCTTTACACATGACATTTAACATTTTCTGCAACATGTTTCTAATCCTCCTGAAGTAATCAAACATTTCAATTAGCTAACATATTTGAAAAAATTACATTGCAGGTTTTATCTATAAGATTTCCCCCCAAAAGTTATATAAAAACAGAATATTAAAAAATATATCAAACATCAATTAAAGCTATTAAAGAATTTACCTTTCTCTTTTTGCCTGTATTTTTGACAGGTTTTTCTTTCGGTAATGAGTCTGTAAACTTTCCTACTGATGCAGTGGACTTCTTGGCTAGCGTCAAAGCTTTTGACAAATGATCTTTGCTGGGGGTATCAGTGGGAGTGAGTCCAACTCCTGGAACTGCAATAACAAAATGTCTGGTGACTTTACATACAACACATTTTTATATTTCTGCTGAGAAAAAAAAAAAAAGAAGCAAAATCAAGTGTAACAATCCAACACTATGAATTATGATGATCCATTCCCAATAGGTAGATCAAATCATCAGAGTGTCAGAAAGGCCACAGTTTGTAATTATCAAACAAAGATCTAGGAGTTAACGTAACAGATCTTCTCTTTGTTTTTCTTTGAACTAACCTTTTAATTTACTAGCTCGTGCAATATTCCTCATCCTCTGCAACTCATTCTTGGCAACTCTCTCAGTTTTGGCTTTCTTTGCCTTTCCAAACTGATCTTCATAAGGATCTGCAATCAGCAAACAGTGGTATTTTTTAAGGCAATGGCTAAAATAATTCATCAAATATTTTACTTCTCTGGCAGAAGTACCGCACAAGTTGTGCCATTCTTTATGCTGTGAATTTCCATTTTCCATTCGCAAAATTTTCTAATGCAAATTTGAATATGATTTAAAAATGATGATATAGATACCAGTTACATTTACATTTACTTCTAAAGAAGTAACATTTATGATCAAGTCCCCCCAGCAGGGGTTTTCCCAGGATTTGGAGTACAGGGAGTCCAAAATGATGGTCTGTAATTTGTAATCCAGTCTTCTTTGAAAATACAGGTCATCTTTTGAGGCCGGAGGCTGTCCAAATGATGGCTGGACGGCTCTTTGTGAAAAGCCTTGCTCTCCAGACTTGCCTTACCTGCATTGGCTGGCACCTCTAGGACCCATTCGTTTAGTTCATCATTGACACGACTCTGATAACCCCATGTCGGCCTCCAGTCCTGACAATGAGGAATTAACATTCATGTAGTAAACACATAAAAGGTAGGGAAATGAGTGCTAATTATTATTTAAAGTTCCTACAAAATGAATGGCAATTGAACTATATAAAAACAGATACCACAACAAATTGAGTGACAGCTTTACTTAATATGAAAACATTCTATAGAGCTATAAGGTATATCTTTCTCACCTTTATCTCGTCATCCCATACTTTGCGTGCTTTCTTTTTGTTCTGGATACCTTTAAGTTTAGCATACTGTTGCCACTTTGTTTCTGGTTTAGGTTTTGGAATCTGGAAAATTGAAATTAAAATAATAAATTACAAATTACTCACACATCTTACTGTACCAATCTTGATTTTTTAATCTAAAAATTGTTTGAATAAAAATGAAAAATAATTCTCATATCCTTATGACTGAACTTGTTTTAATGTTGGACAGAGTGTCATACGCAATTTAAACAAGTTAAAATGACAACATGATGCATAGTTGCTCACTCGATTTGCAGAAAAGAACCAAGTGTAAAAGGTAATCTCTCTGTGTGTGTGTGTGTGTGTGTGTGTGTGTGTGAGAGAGAGAGAGAGAGAGAGTTTACTCACTGGTTTTTCTCTGGGTAATATTGTCTTGGGGGCAGGAAGTTTAGCCACTATAGTGCCTTCCACCCTTTCCACAGGAAGCTAAGAAATTAAGATATTTAAATCAACTGAACAAGTGACTCATTGCATACTTTTACAATATAAATATAAATTAAAAATAATAAAGTTACCATTATGATACATAAAATATTTCTTTGCCTGAAATAAAAATCTAAAACTGAAGATATTTTACACATTTTCATGAGTTCTTTTTGAAAAGATTTGAATATATATCAAGTACTGTAGAAATCGGTGCTATCATCACACAGTATATACCAATACACACCTCCCATATTCTGTTTATCAATAATTGAGTGTTGTCTCTTGCAAGGCTTATCAAATACTCATCTCTCTTTTCCCTGAATTAAAATATTATACTGATTAATACAATATTATTATAATTGATACAATCAAAAATCTTGTCAATTAATTCAATTATCAATCATAATCTAATGTAAAATTCATGAGATTTTTCTCCGTTAAGTAATTTTAACTGACCAAAATTAAACATATTCATCCATAATTGTGTAAAACAGCTATGGACAGTTCTAGAGAGAGAAACACAAGACCCACGTCTCTCTTTAGATACTAGTTAGGATATTTTAGATCCCAATCAAGAAGTCAACGAGTCAATCATGCTTGACATAAGGTGATGAAACTTTACGTGATAGCGGGTGTGAGGAAGAGGTGGGGTAGAGGAGGGGGGGTGCATCTTTGCATGTAAATGACTTTACAACTTACAGCACGTTCACCCAGGCCACGGGAGGGGGACTGGCATCTTTAGTTATAGAATGCGCTAGCTCAGGGCAACTGCCCACCTAAATAGACACTGGGTTGGTAAAGAAGTTTAAATCTAGCCCACTTTTAGACCCTGAACTGAGGCCTGCAAGTCTAGTGAAATGTTAGTTGCAGCCCAAAAAATTTTGGGCACAGATTGTTTGTGTCATATTCCTTACCGTAATTTCTTAGCATCTAGGGGATTTGGGTCGACTGCCAATAGGTTCCCCGCATCTATGTCCAAATCAATGTCTTTATGAACCTCTATGCTCTTATATTTTGATTCTTTCTCAGCAGCCTTCTGTAACACGCTTTCCACGAGGTCTGCCATGTTGATATTGTCGTGCAACTGTTATGATGGCTGTGATTGGTCAATCCATTTGCATCACCAATAGCCAGTCTTGAAACAAAACGAAACAAGGAAGTGAAAATCTGTCTGTGTGTACCTCCTTCCTGGTTTGGCAGAAGCAGACAAAATGTTGGGAATTTATAAGTTGTCACTGAGACCCAAGCACACATAATGCTAAAAAAGGATTACTTTAGAAAAAATCTGCTTCGTGTGAAGCAGCTGGCAGATCAGGGGCTAGGAAGGTAAGTAGTTTATTCAAAATTGAAACAAATCAAACTTTGCTTTACCTGGAAAATTTTGGAGAAAACTTCGGGGATCGTCGAGTGGATCGTGATCGCCATATGATGCATGAGTCATCGTGAAGCATTTCCAAACGGGCGGCTGTGCAGAGTTCTACTGAGAGACACACCTAAGCGGCATGCCGTCGCCAGTTATTCAGAGCATAAATAAGAATTAAAATTATTTGCTTTTGTTAAAAAGTTTTAAGGGGCGTGGCGTATAGTAGGCCTGTGGTAAAGATTATTACTAGTAGTATTTACTTCATAATCTCTCATAACTCCCCCTCGTTTATCTAGGTCGGGTCTATTGATTGTATCTAGGCTCGGCCTAGTCATCACCCAGCAAGTTGTTTGAGTTTCTTTAAGATTAGCTTTCTTGTAACTGTGAAACTGTTTGCCGAGTTTTGTAAAAGATGGGCGGATTAATGGCACAAATTGCAATGGAGTGTATAAGCATGAGTTTGTATGGTGTACAGTACTTGATCACCAAATGTTAGAAATTGACTGTTTTTCTTTAAATTGCTAACAGTGAATTGAAATTTTAACTGTTGAAACAATACACAATGTTTACACATGTATTGTTGATTTAATTGCCAAAATGAAATCTGCTATGAATAGTTTGTTTTTGATATCACACAAATACACCATGTAAACAAGGGGAGTTTGAGGGCTGTGATATATTACCTTATCAGGATATACAATATTACAGTATTCCTTTCTCCTGATGTAATCATCTTAGGAATCCACAGAAACCACATTGTGCATTAGTGATAGACATATATAATATATCACTACATGCATGTTACATAAATCATTCAAATCATGCTTTAAGTGGTCACTAATGAACAGGAGGTTCATTTAGTGAATATATAGAATTTCCTCTTATCTAATGGGATTATTTGATTTACTCCTATACCAGATGATATTTAGTGACTTAAGTACAGAAATTGAGGTATTAGCATTGTATCTAGATCCATATGCCAAAATTTTTTTGTTGTAGGTAAAACCATTTCTATATGCACTAAACAATAACCAGAAAATATGCACTTTGTGTTTTCAAAGATTTATGATTATTAAGACTTGACATAACAGTCAGGCTGTGAACATAAACAAGAATGTCTTCATGCCAACACCAGGATCTCATGCATCACCTGTGGTAAACACTCATCCACAAGACTTTATCAGATGCCCTCTTTGTTCATATTATACATACATGTACATACCCTTGTCAAAGATAATTTTATTTCACATTCAGTAGCTTTCATTTTATAAAATCTAAAAATATATTCATGGGTTTGATTAAGTGATTATAACTGTCCTGATACGGATAGCCAGACAAAGCAGAAATTGCCAGATTAGAAAAATCATTGTAGATTAAAATCTGGTCACATCCTCATGAAACCTCAGTGACGTCACTTTGGTATCAAAATGGAAATATTGTAGTAAATATACTTTAAGCATGTGACATTTTGCTTTTATTCTGAAATGAAGTCCAGAAATAGAAGTCTGTGTCAGGTGATGACTAAATTTATACTCTTATTTCTGAGTGAACTTGCCTTGGGATGGTATTTTTAGCCATATTCTACAACTAAATTCTACACTTGTTTAGTTGTACAAAATGTAGATTAATATATTGTTTGTGTTATTTTGAAATGTAGCATCGATTTTTGTCTGACATTTTGATTTGGGTAAATTCAGCACTTTTATGAAAAACCTTGTGGACAAGAGAGAGTTCTGCCTGATTGGTCCCAGATGTACATCAGATTGCTGTTAAAATGGGTGGGTTTTAGCCTTAGAGATACAATATATTGTCAAAACATGGTACATTATATCCTGGCTCTTTTCGTTAATGTTGTATCAAGACTGTGGATGTGATTCTTGTATTTTAAAAAATGTGAAAATTGTAGTGTTAGTAAATTATTCTAGTAGGATATGAAGTTGATGATTAAACTGACTCGTCTGTCTGTATGTGATTCATCAGTGAAATCTTTCTATGTTTGGATCTCGGCAGCAATGAAATAATTTACATTGGAACAGTTACAAGTTGTTTGACTGAAAACTCTTATATACAGGTCAGATATACACAGCCCTAACTGTGAGAAATTAGGGATGGCCTAGGAGTGCTTGTCCAGCTGCAGTAATGACTTCAGGTCTGACAGGCCAGCTCAAACCACTCAGCTCAATATTACAGTGACTAACAGAATAACTAATTACTGCACTTGTGAAGTGTATGTTATGTTTACATGTGTGTGTATGCTTCTACGATTGTGCTTGCGATTGTGCTTGCATGTGTGAGTACCATGGGGTAATGAATGCATCAGCGCTAATAGCCCATGCCTGGCTCTATTCAGCAGTGTTAAATTGTAGTTAGATGCTGTCCCATCCACCATTTTTCAATAAAATTCTAAGCTTTTTGACCGTCATTGAAAATATAGGCTGTCCAGTGTTGCCAGCGGCCGTCCAAATGACTGCTGGACGGTTCGCTGGGAAAACCCTTGGTTACTAGTAATATCATCATGAAAAGTATACGTAGAAACTGTTGTTTGAAAGAAAGTCCAACTGTGAATTAAAAAATTGCAATTAACCCAATTAAAAGAAAACTGGAGCTAAGTCTCATTTGAGGAATAGAAATTTACCTCCACTGATACATTTTTCTATCCATAATGTCAATAATACATACCATTACTGACATTATGGATAAAAAAATGTATCTTTTAGAATAACAACAGACTTATGAGGTGTTTTGTAATTTTTTTTTCTATACATGTATCAAAATACTCCATGGTGCAGTGGCAATAGGGAGAGCCAAGTCTGAACTGGAAATTAGAAACTGCTTTCATGTCCATCAGTATCTTTGATGCAGGGTATACTATTATGAAATCATACAAGCTTACAAATCCAAAAATAGCATGGAAAATAACCAGTTGGCTGTTACACTTAATGTCAGAGAAGTTTAATCCACAAAGAAAAAGTTTTGACGTGTATTATAAAAATCTGAGTAAAATGTCTTTGATCAATGACAGCACTTTCAGTCACATTGACCTGGATATTATAACAGTATATAAACAACTGTTCTGTTGATATGATATATTTTCTATACTAGTTATATGTTTATTTCTTTTCCTAGCTGTCCAAACCACATGCTTCATGATATCAATCAAACGGTAGTAAGGCCAGACAAAATGAATTATAAGTTGGTTTTAAATGAACAGTAAATGGAGTGGGTAGATGAAAAAATTTCTTTGCTTTTTTCTAGTGGGGAAGGGAATGTCAGATTCACTGTGTGGGTGATTTTAGAACATAAAAACAACAGCAGTAAGGTTTTTCCTAGGGTTAATTGTATAATTCTGCTTAAAAAAAAGCAAATGCATGTTTTTCCATTTGGAAAAAAATATGTGCAAAGAAAAATTAGATTTGCACTCCTTTTAAAACCAACTTATCAAATTGTTTAGCCTAAATGGCTTATTGGTATTCCTGTCAGCTGGGGTAAAAACTGGAGTACTGTACTTGTGCATAGAATAATGTTATCTGCTAATACATAAAGTGGTTCAATGTTATAAAAAAAAAGCCAGTTTGCAACTGAACTCTCTTCTTTTCCCTTCTCATGAAAGAGCCATGATAAACTTTATCATGCATTATTGATGAAAAACTTGTTTGTCTGTGTGTGCCTGTATGCATATTGAAGCAGTAATAATATTTACTTTCTCTTCATGAGTTTATCATTAATAAATAGTATAAACTAATTATATTAGAATTTAAGAGATTGTTGGCTAAATGTAAGCTGTTTTATGAAATGTAGCCTAATGGAGCCCTTACCATCATCACAAAGAGAATCGTTTATACTTATAAATTTCGCTGGCAGTTCTGTGCACATTTCTATACCATTGAAAGTGATAAAATTCGCTGGCAGTTCTGTGCACATTTCTATACCATTGAAAGTGAGAAATTTTTAAACAAAAAAAAAGTTGCTATCACCCAGCTGTGCTCTGGTTGAGAACATACCTGTAGATACCATCTGATGAGATGTACATTAGTATGCCTCTGGGAAGTGGTGTTTCATGGTGTGCTTTGGTCAATTCCCATTTACTTTTTTATGGGAATTTATAAAAATGATTGGTATGATTGCTTCTGCACCATTAATACATGATGTCATCTGTGTAATAGAAATCACACAGCGTCCTGTCAATGATAGGGTGCACCAATGTTTGATTTTACCATTTAACCCTCTAAAATCACAGAACTCGGTGTATATTTGGAGATGGCAGTTCAAACTTCCATCTTTGTATGTGTACACACAATGAAAGACTGAAAATAAAGTATGAAAAAAATGTAATCCTTTGGTTGTCTTCATATTGAGTTTTCTTGCTCTTTATATGCCAACTACTTTCCACCCACATGTATGCACATTGCATATTGCAATTAAGCCATTATAAAGACATAAGCCCAGCTAAACAGTTACAGACTTGGTTTCTCTCTTCCTGATGTGTCAGGAGAGGATACAGAGCAGAGAGAAAGAACAGCTGGGGATGTCCTTGGGGAATGTGATTCAGACCATTATCACCAGACTGATCAATGTAATGGGCCCATATGCTACACACCCTGAGTTTCAGATGGCTGTGAAAACTCTTCTAGTTATGCCTTAGGCTCTATTCCCATAGATTTTAGATCGATCTATCCCCGCGGGGAGTCTCACTAGATTACTTTCAGATAATCCGACTTAAATGCCCGTCCCGCCTACCACAAGCTGTAAGGGGATAATTAACTTTCGTGTCCGCCCGGCTGACGGCTATTTAGCGTGAACCCCCAGGGAGTTAGGTCGATCTAAAGAAGGTCGATCTAATCTATGGAAATGGGGTGTTAGGCTGTTATTTCCCATTATACATTCTAAAGGGAAAAAGTATTCTGTCATAGTACTACATATATGCTAAATTAGAGTGGAGAGCCAACAGTAAGTAACCCTTGCAACTCAGGGTATATGTCCCAGGCTTCACTGCAGTCTTGCTGCCAGAGTTTCAGGGATATCCTGAGTTTCAGAGGTCACTGGAAACTATTAGAGGCATGCTGGTTTACAAGAAGTGAGTTCTCAGTGACCTGGGACTCGGGGTGGTATGAAAAGTTAGAGCCAAGTGATGCAGCTGGCACATTGGATGGAATATCTGTTGTTTTTGGTGATGCTTAACCTGATAGTATGAAAAGCTCAAGTCCTTCCATTGAACATATCAAACACTTTAAGCTGATCAGAAGCAGTATTGGGGTGGGGGCATGGTAGCAAAGTAAATGGTGCTGAATGCATTACATATATTTCTAAGTTGTCTCGTGGGAAATTTAAAGATCCTTAGTCCCAGAAGTATATCAGAATGCAGGTTGTCTGTAATTTTTCTGGATAAGTATTGCATATTATTCTTTCATACTGTCGAAGAATCACCTCTCAGGTTATTTACATGCTGTAGATTTGGTATCTAGGGTTGCATTCCCAGAGATTTAGATCGATCCAGAGATTTAGATTTAGATTGACCAAACTCCCCGGGGGTTCACGCTAAATTGCAGTCAGCCAAGTGCACACCATAGTTAATTACCCCCTTACAGCTTTAAGTAGGCAGGACAGACGCTTAAGCCAGCTAAGCTGACAGTAATCTAGTGAGACAGACTCCCCCTGGGATAGATTGAACTAAAATCTATGGGAATGGTGTCTAGGCCGTAGAGCAGTGTTTTATCAACAAACACTCTTCTGTAATTCACCCCATCCAGGTAAATACTACTTATCACTGGTAAATACATATCACTGGTGTGATGTAGTCTGGATATCATGGAAATGCCCACTTTGTAGCTGTTAAGCCTGTACAAGTGGAAATATGGTAATAATTTATGTTTATGGTCCTTACCTGATAAGGTTTGTTCTAGGCAATAAGAGTTTGCTGTGTCCATCTGGTAAGGTGAAATGCCTTCATATTAAGAAGTTTTGGTCATAAATCAAATTGTTTTTTTTTATGTAAAAATGTCATTGAGAAGTTAGGACTTGATGGTTCTCCTGTACTAGTACTTTCATAGGACTGTCACTGAACAAAATACAGACCATCTGTGAATTCCAGTGTGTAACAGGTTTTATGTGAAATGCACCCATTATTTATGCCCATCCTTGAGCTCTGATTTATTTTATGATAAACCAATATTTTGTATATAGTAGTTAAAATATTTGATGTCACAAGAATTCACAAGAATATTTGATGTCAAGAATTTTTAAAACAAATTAAACATTTCTTTTATCTATTGAAAATTTTAATGTTTTCATTATCATTCCAGAGCTTATAAAACTGCTGTCCTCACAGATGACCTGCTGACATGTGAAAAAAGAGTTGAGATTTTCAAGCAAGTATGCCAGGTTACAGTGAAGAAGTTCTCTGCCTGTATGCAGGGGGAGGGGAAAGACCTGGACAAGAGATTGGTATGTGTTATTGAGTAATAATAATAATAATAATAATTATTATTATTATTATTAGTATTATTATTATACTTTCTTTAGCTTTTGATGTTACACTTTAACATTGTCAAGTATCTATACTACAGCACTTCTAATGCTAGTACTATTTGTTGACATTTTCTTCACCAGTGGTACAAGTATACTACTGGTTAACAAAATTCTCATTGTATACTCATTTGAAAGATTGACTATTTTGGCTAGAAATTGCTAACATCTTATTACAATTCACCAATTGGATTGATTGCTTGTTGGTAATATATAAGCATGCTTTCAGTGGCTTAACTGTAAACTTCTGTTTTAATAGAATTAAATATTTAAAAATTCAATAAGGCAAGCTGATTGTCTGTTTAAGAAGGAACATCTAGTGATCTCTTTTGTGGCTCTCAGATGTTTTGTTTCAATAAAACAATACCACAGCAGATAATTCCAAACATGTTTTATCAGGTCAGGCCAACACAACTCGCTCTGTCATGACTGCTGCCTCTGCCAGCTTCCCAATACAACTGCTGTATACCTACAGTCCCTGACCCAGACCTAGACACATTAAAACAATAAATCAGAATTATTTATATAGCTCTGTATACTGTTATGTATCTGTGGTGGAGAGGTTACGCAGTCTATGGTAGCTGTATCTCAGACCAGGCACCTGTACTCCTCACTTTTATCATCATGTTAATCTTATGGGGAGGTCTCCTCTCCGTTAACTGGCCTCAGTATCCACCCATTTATGTTGTATTAATGGCCCCAGCAAAATGAGGGAAGTAAGAGTACACGGCTTGAAAATAAAGAGTCTGATCCAACCCTTGTTAACACATCTGGAAGGCATGTAGAGTAATGCCCATTGGCAAGACTAAAAACTATAAAGAATAGCAAATAATTTGGGTGTTTTATGTCATTATTCTGACATTTTGGGGACAAGTTTTGATTTCTGTGAAGGGAACAAATCCAAATATCCATGGAGCACAGGTCAAATGATGTTGTCATTAACATGATTATATAACAAACAAACCCACTCATCAGGACCTCAAGCAGGGATTTCTTTAGAATAGTTCAATACTGTGAAAATATTAAACAAAATGAATATGTTGGTTTACACATATAGAGTATGGATCTTGGCAGTGATCATATCACTAGTGGATGGAAGTTCTGTGTTTTGGCAACTCTCTTGTCATAACAGTGCCCCAGAGGCATGCATCCACTAGAGGTCTGCATGCTTTACAAGTCACACCAAGGCTTGATAAGAGGCTTGAAGGGCAGCGTAAGGTTGTGTATGGAAGTCCTGAAATGTTACAAGCTGTGCTGCTCTACCTGGTTTTGAATGTCTTAGTTACTGTAACATTATAATGTCACAATCAGTGGAAAATTAAAGAGGAACAAAAACAAAATGAACCTTACCAATAAAAATGTTCTGAATGTTTTGCAAAACAAAGAAAGAAAAAGAAAAAAAAACAAATGAATGAATGAATGAAAAAGATGTGTAACATGGCATGCATATTTGCATATTGATATTTATATTATATATTTTCAGAAAAAGATTCCCGAGTCTCAGTTGGGGACCAGTATGGCAGAATCTGCTGCAGCTCTGGGAGAAGAGACTCTGATGGGGTAGGGGAAAATATTGACATATTTACCAAGTCTATTCCACAATTTGAAAATATTATAAATTCTATTGAAATCATGTTTTGTCAAGGATTGTCTCTTCACTTCACACTCAAGATGATGAATCTGGACATTTTCCAAGAGTACTCAGGTTAAATAGCTGCTTAACAAATGCTTATGCCTACTCTTTGGTATTTATCTATTAAGACTGAGGACTTTTTTCTCGTGCAAAAACATATATAGTTCAGGATGCCATGTTCTTGAGATTTCCCAGATATCTACATCTTCTTGTATTCACATATCCAAGTAAACAACAAGAAGCAGGATTACACATGCTGTTTAGTGTTCTTATCTTGTTGTTGTGAACTTAATGGATTAAACACTTACTTATTTATTTATTTATTTATTTATTTATTTATTTATTTATTTATTTATTTATTTATGTGAGATATTTAAGTGTAATAAAAGAATACATAATCTTTGTTTAATATATGTTATATGTTAATTCTTTGTCTCATATTTTAGGAGTGTATTTGCAATGTGTGGGGAAGGGGAAGGAAAAATCAGCCAAGCATTACTAGACTACGAGATGAATGTAGAGCAAGATGTGATCTCACCATTTCAGTCTTTGCTGGAGGTATGTGACCAGTCTATCTCCTTATGTAAACACTTTATTGCAGTAGTGCTTATGTATTACCAGAATCAGGAATATATAAATAATTTATTAGGATACAAAGCCAACCAAAGCTGATAAGTTGGTTAATGAGCAGTGACAAAGTAAACAGGGTCAGAATTTTATTATTATTATTTTTTATATGTAGGATATAAACCAAACAAGACAGCTATATATTAAGTTCTATTTTATGTTGTCGTTAAATATTATTATAATTTTTAAATGTCAAATCCACTGTGTGGGTGATTAATAAAAGGTGCAAAAAAAATCTTATTTCTTCAAAATTGGATGTGGTAGGCTTGTTTACCAACTAATCAGCTTTGTCTGTCCTAATTGAGACTAGGTAATTTTCCATCAATGAAACTAAGAAATATCAAACTGATAACAGTTGCCTGTTATAATCATGTAAGTCATTCAATTTAACTTTTATTTGATTATTTAGCTGAAGAAGAAATCTGCAATGTTTTGGTTATATTTAAAGTAATTTCATAATTGTCTCAAAACAATTTGCAGACTTAATCAAAAAAAATTTTTTTTTGTCTTTAGNAAAAAAAAATTATTTTTGTCTTTAGTGCTTGTACAGGTCCAAAGGTAGGTGGGTTGGTTAAAAAGTACTGCCATTTTGGCTAGAAAAGATCCACTATGAATCAAAATTTGATCTAGGTCCACTTTTTTAAAAAAGACCCCCCCCCCTTTCCTTTGAAATTGCTGGCCACATGCCCCATGTATTGCATAAAGTACTGTGTTATTACTTTTAGAATGAGATTCCTAGTATCACTAAGACAAGGAAACAGCTGGCCAAGTTGACACTTGATATGGACTCTGCCAGTAACAGGTGAGGAATTAGCAAACAAAGAAGTACTGATTGCCACAGTGACATCCAGGATGTGGTTCTAATATTGTATCTTCACATTTTTGTCTTTGTTATTTACTTTGATGTTGATACATTTTTTGCTTATGTCAAAGGTAGTTATTGTCATTCATGATTTCTTTTTCATTAATATTATATATTTTTTTCTTTCTTATTTTTAATCCACCACCCCAAATAACACCAGCAACAACAACAACAAAAATACAACTTTCCTTCTTCCCCCTTCAAAAAAAATTTTTTTTCTGTTTTTATAGTTTGATCTTAAACCTTTCATTCTCATAACAAACTTGTGCCACAATGTCAGACCATGACATAAGGTCACAGTTTCATACAGTTTCACACGTTTTCACCATCCTATAGTATAATGTGTGGTGAACACACTGGTGACTTATTTTCCACTTCCTCCCACCAGGTGGCAGACTGCAGTGCGCCAGTCCCATGCCACAGGTACAAACATGGCTCATGCGGCGGCCAAAGCCGAAACAATCAAAGACGAAATGGAGGAAGCTTCACAACGAGTAGAACAGTGCAGAGACGCTTTAGCAACAGAAATGTTCACTTTTATTTCAAGAGAGGCTGAATACTGCCAAAGACTACTAACCGTGAGTATCATATAACATCAGTCTAGATAAAATAATGCAAATTAAAAGATGAAAATATAACTTTTTGTATTTCTAGTATGAAAAAGAAATGTGAGTTAATACTAAAATTTCTATTATAACAATAACAGTGTTTGTACATATTAACCCAGCCTTTCTATTTCTCACAAAGAGATATCGATTCAGTGAAAAGCAAAATTTCCTGTTCTGATAAACCTAATCCTCTCAAACCAAGTGATCTGTCCTTTATAACACTGATATTTTCATATCTTCATTGTTTTTCCTAGTTTATTGAAAACCAGGCTCAGTATCACAGGAATGCACTGGAGTCTTTAGAGAGAATAATACCTGAACTTCAGGGACAAATAGGTAAACTGACAGTAGTCTCAGCTCTAACAGAATTTACCTTCTTTAATTATGATTCTTGAATGATGAATATCTTGTAAAATGCATGCATTCATTTATAATAGTTGAGCGTTATATTGATAGTAATGTAAAGAACATTACTGATAGAAGTAACAGTTCGATACGTATTGTAACTCCTTTGCCATTCTCACTTAAAAAATGAAAATAAATTGACGAAAAGATTAAGATGATGGTAAATGAATGAATGAATGAATGAATGAATGAATGAAGAAATAAAGAAGAAAAAATGAATATTTGATATTTCAGACCAACATCCTCTTAAACCTGTCTATGGCTGTCCACTGGCTGAGCATCTGCATGTGACAGAGAGAGACATTGCTTCAGTTATAGAAGACTGTGTGTGTACACTACTAGAGATTGGGATGGAGGAAGAAGTGAGTTCTTTATTCAAATGTAAAGCGGAGAACATTTGACTGTAACTGTTATAGTAATTTATATCCTGTTCCACTGAAAATAAAGGATAAACAGATTTGATTGTTATCTTATCCCTTCCTGTTGTTCAAAGTGCAAGGTAATTCTTTTTTTTCTGTTTCAAATATGAAAAAAGACATCTGGATGTTATTTAATCTCTTCCTCTTTCACTTTAAAAAGTGCAGTTGACAAAATAATGATTTCAGAAAAAAAAACTTAGTCACATTTAGTCAAATTAAGATATGTAAAACAGCCACTGTTTAGCATATTTGTTAACCAATGGCATAACTGTCTATTTGTTTGCAGGGGTTATTTAGGGTTGCAGGTGGAGCTGCAAAAGTGAAAAAATTAAAGGTATTTATTTATATATTTGCACCACCAGTTTTGTGTGGTAGTGAGTACATTCAATTTTATCAGTCTTTGTTATAATTCTATTCCTCGTCCAGCATACTAATACTGAGTCACTAAGGTTGAAGTAAGAGAGCAGTTCTGCCTTGATCTGTATTTGATAGTAATGAACAAAGGGATACCATAACTTCAGAATTTTTCACAAACTGCAAACATTTGCATTGTTATTGTATAATTTTAAGGAATTGGAGATAACTGTGGCCATAGTAATATGTCAGTGCACAAATTTGTTGTTCTTGTTTTTGTGGTGGTGATGGTTCTTCTTCTTTTTATTCTTCTTTTTATTCATTTATGTATTCATTTTTGTCATCTTCAGGCAGCTTTTGATGCTGGCATAGTAGATATGAGTGATTATGTTCGCGACATCCACTGTATTGCTGGTGCTTTAAAACTTTACCTTCGGGAACTCCCCGAGCCTCTCTTAACATATGACTTATACGACGAGTGGATGGCAGCGGCACAAATGTAAGTCACAAATATTTTATTTATATACTAGATAAAAGCCTGTACATAACCTGATAGTATGTCTGTAAAGAAATGTACATAAGGACTTGAATAGGCAAAAAAATTATATCTTAAACAAGTTTAATGAAGAGTAGAGAAGTGGAAGGTGTTCTTTGTATATGCACACACCCTTTCTATTAAGAAATATGCTAATCCAGACTGTTTTATAGGAATAATAAAATTGTTATGATTTCTCCCATATGTTTTAGACAAGATCCAGATCAGAGGCTACAAGCTTTATGGATGACGGCAAATAAATTACCAAAACCAAACTACGATAATTTAAAGTAAGTAATAGTAACACCACTATTCAGTGACAAACCTGAGTGAAAAGTATGTCACACACATTGCTGACAAGAAGTGTACCTGACTTCTACTTTGGCATATGTCAAGAACAGGGGCAGTGTTACTCACTGTCATGCATGACGTGCATGTTTGCGAAATAGCCTGTATCTTTTGTACTCGACATTTGCCAAGGTATAAGTGCATATTACCAAGGATCAATATAATTGATAGTTCATATTATCATCAAATGTATATTCCATAGTAAATCAGATTTAACAAATATACACTGTAGAGTTTTATGTTTAAGTTTTCTGACACAGTAAGATAAAAGTACAGCCAAATCTTTCAGTGCTTTTTGACAAATCATATTATTTATCTGTGACATTTTATAATTCCTTGGAATTTTGTTTCAGATATCTCATAAAATTCTTGGCCAAATTGGCAGAATCTTCAGAGGTGAATAAAATGAATGCTAGCAATATAGCTATTGTGATAGGACCAAATTTGATATGGCCCAGTAATGATACAGGGTGAGTGAAATATGAACAAGAACTCATTATTTTTCTAGCATTGCATAAAATGAGATGAGTGAAAATAATGAAAAGGGTAGGTATGAGCATGTAAACATATTATATTTAAAAATATCGTAGCAGGCTGTATGAAATCAGAGAAGTTATTTATGTTTCCTTGTTATACCACATAGTGTTGAAGTGACTGCTGTTGGGAAACATTTGAGCCTAAAATCCTTAAAAGCAGTGCAAATTGAAGAGCATTCCATCTATTCAGATAATTTCATCTTTACCCTTTTAAAGCTATTTTTTTTTTCACTAGATGTCTCTTAGTGTCTGTCATAAAAAAAAAAAAACAGACATGCTGGAAGGCCTATCACTTTAAAAAGGATTATTTTGTCCTTTTCAGGCCCAGTGTTCTCACTGCTTCCACACAATCCTCTATCACAGAATCTTTTGTGACCCATGCTGAGTGGTTCTTTCCTGGAGGTGAGTGGGGTTAACATCAATCATCTATAATCTGATTTATACGTAGGATTGACTTGTGATATAATTGACCAATGATAACAAAAATCAGGCATGTCTTTTGGAAGAGGATCACCAAAACCTTGTGAAGGCACAACTTTTAATCATGAAGTGTACAGGAAAGAATCGATTTTTTTTTTTTTTAATTTTTTTTTTTGGTAATTGGACTGTTTCGAAATTCCAAAAAAAAAACCCTGTCTGAATGCTGCTGTTACAATGTAGGTCACAGATGGCATGTTGGCCAATCATGATGCCAGTGGCCTTAGGTCACAGATGGCATATTTGCTGATGATGCCAGTGGCCCATGGTCACAGATAGCTGGTTGACAAATGATGCCAGTGACCCCATTTTACAGATGGCATGTTTGCCAATGATTTCAGTGGCCCAAGGTCACAGATGGTCTCCCCTGCATTGCCATTAGTACAGTTTAGGTATGAGATTTTCTTCTCTCCAAAACACCACAGAAGGCATTTGAATGGATGCACATAGGAAACTATATGTGAATTGTACTACTAGTAATTCAGTAACAGTTTTATAGTTATCCTGGTAATATTTGTAGTTTAGAAGCACCTTTGAAGCTAGTTAACCACATACGTATATATTATAGTATTTTGCCCATAATCTTCCTGCACCAAATAATATATCTCACTACTTAGTTTTTCAACACTTTTCTCACTCTTGTACTCTTATTAAGATGTCTTTTAATGAAGAATTATTTTAAAACAAAGTGGTTCAAAGAACAATATATTATAGGGAATTGTACTTTTAGTGGAGAGTAATGTTAGGTGTAATAATTTGTGCTAGCATCCTGGTATGTCTTGTTATTAATGTGACCATCAGTAGTATATGTTGATATAACAAAAGTATTGCTGACAGGCTTCCTTGGTTCTCTCATTTTTACAAAGGTTATGAAAGTAGAATTGTTCTAGAGAGCCGCATATTCACCATTGAACTCTTTTATTATATTGTTGATATGAAAGCATTTTACTTTTTAGTTGAACATACTGCATTGTTAAAAGCCAACAAATTATAATTAATTTTTCAACTTTATAGTTAGCATACATGAGACTGCATTTTTGATTGACATGATACATTTGGTATCTTATACTTTTTAGTCCGGTTGCTTAGGGCAAAAAAATGGCCAAATCGTGACACAGCGGATAAAAGCACCAAATTTTGCATGTGGGTACCTTTTGACAAACTAAACCAAATTAGAGCCGTAGCCCACGGAAAAAATTTACCGTTTGGCCAAAAATCCAAAATGGCCGCCAATTTGTGAAATTTTGTAGAAATATATACATATCTATGTTGATTTTTATCAAATTAAGTATTTTCTCAATGTTTTCCACATCCTTATTACCCATATTATGCATATGTGTCAGATAACAAACTAATGTCCTTGGACTTATTGAAAAATCCAAGATGGCCGCCGTGTGACATAGGAATACTAGAACATGTATAAGGGTTTCAACTAACTAATGCCAACTAGGAAGATGCATTGCCCACTATCTAATTAATTTTGTTTCTTATTACAAAATTATATATTTGTGGTGAGTAACTAACCTTTATTCACAGGCAATTCGAGAAAAATCCAAGATGGCCCCCATATCAAAGGAATACGAGTATACACATAGGGCTTCTTCTGCCATGGAGATATAATATTAATTGATAAATTAGGTTTGTTTCTGAGTATTTTCACATCTTTTTAATTTACATAATACACATTTACATTTACATATTTGATGAGAATGTTATGTGTATCCTTTTTGAAAACAAAACAAAACAAAATGGCTGCCATTAGCCATAGAAGGTGGGGTTCAGTTAATACCTGCTAGAGATAGGCTTACAAATAAAATGAAGCTGAATTCAGTTGTTATTCTGTTTTTTATTTTTGTATTATTATCCCATGATACATATCTGCTAGGTTATTAATGTCCATATTTTATCATTTTGGGGAAATCCAAGTTGGCCTTCTTTTCCCCATAGGAAAACTGGTGCATTAGATTTTATAGGCAATTCTAAGGCAAATGAGGGTAATCATGATATTTTTTCAAAATACTTAAGGGCATGCACTTGTTACCCACCAGATAGATATCTAAAAGTCCAAAAGGAATGTGGGAAATACCGAGAAACAAAATTCATTTTATATAGAACCCAATGTCTCTCTGGCTGTAGTTGACTGTACTATTCCTATTGTGAATTGCAGCAATCTTGAATTTTCTCAAATACGCAAGATGCACACTTGCTACACACCAGATTTTTAAAGAGTAAGGCTAATAAGGATGTCAACATGTTTAAACATCAAACGGCTTTATTTCATGTTGGAATCAATGTCTGAACTGTTCTATTAATTGACACCTATGTGCATTTGAATGATATATTCCTATTACAACTGGCAGCATTCTTGGGTTTTCTGCGAATAATACTCAAGGATACATACACTTTCAAAACACACAGAGTCTTTCATAAGGATAAATAGGATATAAAAAACATTTAAAAACGACCCAAAGTTAAAGACATTTAAATCGTACTCAGTGTATCTCTAGCATTATTTGATTATGTGTTCGAATATTCTAATGACAAAAGGCAGACATCTTGAATTTTTTCAGAATACCCAAAGATACACACATGCTACAGACCAGGTATATATCATAGGGGTAATAATAAATGGAATGAATATCATAGATTATTTTTAAAACAAACCCATGGAAATGTAATTGTATAATGAACCATATGCCTCTCTAGCAGCAATTGAAACCCACCCATTAGTATTCCTATGTTAAATTGTAGGTATCTTTTTCTCAGAATATCCAAGGATGCACACTTTTTACCCACCAGATATATATCATAGGACTAATAAGGATGGGCAAAACTTGATAAGCAAACACAAATTCACCCTGGTAGTAGATGAAAAGCCATGGATGTGCATTAGTTCCAACCCTTTGTAATACTAGAAGTATTCCTATTACATATGACGGCCATCTTGGATTTTCTCAAAATGCCCAAGAATACTGTTAGTTACTCACCACATACATACATATTGTGTGGGTAGAAAGGATGTGGAAAACACTCAGAAACCAGCTTAATTTGATAGTGAAAAACTAATCTTTCCAGTTGCCATTAGTTGAATCCCCCGTATACTAGAATTCCTGTGGCACATGGCAGCCATCTTGGATTTTCCAAAATGCCCAAGAACACTTTGTAGTTACTCACCACAAACATATTATGTGGGTAACAAAGATCTGAGAAACAGACTTAATTTGATAATGGACAACGTATCGTTCTAGCTGGTAATAGTTGTGCACTAGTATTCCTATGGCTGTTTCTATGGCAAATGACAGCCATCTTGGATTTTTTTAAAAAGTCCAAGGGAACTTGTTTGCTATCTGGCATATATTAATAAAATAAGTAATAAGGGTGTGGAAAGCTCTGAGAAAATAATTTATTTGATAAAAATCAACATAGGTATGTACATAATTCTAAAGAATTCAATAAATTGGCGGCCATTTTGGATTTTTTGGCCAAACGGTAAATTTTTGCTGTGGGCTACGGCTCTAATTTGATTTAGAATGTCAAAAGGTACCCACATGCAGAATTTGGTGCTTTTATCCGCCGTGTCACGATTTTTTCCTTAAGCCACCGGACTATTTGTTTTATAGTGGATGTTTGTTTATTTTCTACTTATGTCCTGTTTTGTTCCATGTATGTATTCCCATCTAATAGCTGTAACATGTGCCTCTTCCATAAGAGCCTTTTATATTTAGCCATAGCCAAATCCTTGAACTGGTGGTGGAAAGAAAGTTGTAGGTGATGGTCACTAAATGTTTTGCCTTGTTTCCTGCTATGAAACTGAAATCTTGCAGAAGTCCACTTGATTATAAAAAATCCAGAATGACAATGTGATACAACCAAAAAATAAATTGGGAGATTTGGTCAAATATGAAGTGGTTGTGTGTGTGTGTGTGTGTGTGTGTGTGTGTCAGTGTGTGTGTGTGTGTGTGTGTGTGTGCCTATGTGTATTTCAGGATTATTTGAATATACCAGTATGCTGAATAATTGCATATAATAACATTGTCATTGTAGTTGCTACTGTTAGTTACTAGTAATTTATAAAGTGTAAGAAGTCCTCAGGAGTTCACTGAAAGAGGCAGAAAACATAATTTTTCTTGGGACAATTTCTCTAAAGAAAATGATCATAAATTACCAGTATTATTCACCCCTTATCTGGTACAGCACTAATAAAAATACTTTCAGTATATTTGGCATTACTGATGATAAAAAACATTAGAAACTTAATTATATTGATATCTCTATTATATGATGTTGTGATGTTGCTTTATTCCAGATTAGAGCCTGAACACAGGGGGGTGTGGCTGGTGGCTCCTCTGATAGCCAAACTTCCCAGCTCAGTCCAGGGGCGCGTGCTCAGATCTGCAGGACAGGTGTTAGAGAGCGGAAACAACTTCTGGTCTTCTAAGAATAAGTCTGAAAAGGACAGAAGTCTACAGAAAAGGTATGCTCAGTAGAAAGAAGTCATGTCCCATTATTTCTTCTTTCAGCTTTGAAACTTTTTTTTTTCAGATCCCAGTAGCCTGTGGAAAAACGGCAATATTTGGATTAAATTGTTTATGTATTTATTTACTTATTTATTTTTATCACAGATCCTCTCAGAGTACTCAGTCAACCCACAATGTTGTGAAATAATATCAAATTTAAAAGAACCGAGAAAAAGTCAAAATTTAAATTGAATGTCATGAGAATTTAGACTCCTCCATATTTACATTGAATGTATTTATTCCAGCACTTCCTTACTAAGTCACCAGCCGTTCCTGTCCCTGGTGTTATCATGTCTGAAAGGCCAAGATGAGCAGAGAGAAGGTTTACTGACCTCACTTCATAGTCAGCTGGAGAAGTTTGTCAATAATGCTAAAGAGGTGGGAAATCCAGCAGTTTTGATGTGTTGTATTACAGCCAAGGTGGTGTTAAAGACATGACAATGGGTTATAATGCTAGAAAAAAATTAAAAATTTCTGTTCTGATAGAAGACATGTCATTGATGGGAGGTGATTATAGAGGAGTCAGTTTTGCATCAATTTTGCTTTTATATTTGAATTATTTTTCCAATTTGAAATCCCCTGACGCACCGTTTAAACCACAAGTTATTCTAGTTGACAACTCTCTCGGCTGAAGTTAGATTAAGAATTAAATGTGGTAATTGAGTGTTTTTTTTTTTTTTTTCTAAAACCAATGCCAAGGCATATTTGACTCAACCACATCTTGAAATTTTATTTGATTGACTCTGGTTAAAATTTGATTCATTTATTGATTTGTTTATTTTATTCTTGGTTTTTGTGGTACAATTTTGTCTTAATAAGTAATTTTAAATTGAACTTTCAGGGTAAATTTCCAGAGGATAGCAAGACTCAGCAGATTGTAGAGGAGGCTCTTCAACTGAGACTGAGCTTGGTGAGTAATCTATTCTGATATCCATGTANTTGTAGGTGATGGTCACTAAATGTTTTGCCTTGTTTCCTGCTATGAAACTGAAATCTTGCAGAAGTCCACTTGATTATAAAAAATCCAGAATGACAATGTGATACAACCAAAAAAAAATTGGGAGATTTGGTCAAATATGAAGTGGTTGTGTGTGTGTGTGTGTGTGTGTCAGTGTGTGTGTGTGTGTGTGTGTGTGTGTGTGTGTGTGGGTGGGTGGGTGGTAGGGGGGTAACTTCTTTCAATTTATTTTTACACAACTTAAAACTTTCTTAATAAAGATGCAAAATTTTATCATCCTTATAGATGCAAGGTATGTAAGTTGAATGAAATACATAGAAAAAGACAAAAAGTTTTTTCAAAGATGGAATATTTCAATTTTCATGTACATGAGCAAGGCAGGATCAAAGGTGCCATCACAGTTATAACCAAACCCCTGGGTTAACATTGACCAGGAGTGGGTAAATAGGCTATGTAGATATTAGTTTTAATGCCTGTACTAAACAAAATGGGCTGTATATTCATAAAAAGAAAAAAACTTGAAAATCATGAAAAGTTCAATCTTATTGATGCCAGTACATAATCATTTGTTTTACTCTGAGAATATGGTTTCAAAAAATCCAGAAGAACTATAAACCACTGAAATTATGATGAAAAAGTTTACATTTTAGACACATTTTGGGTTAAAATATCCGGAAAGTATCATAGTGTACTTGGTGGTGGTTTTCTTCTTACAGTGTGTGTTCTCCCTGCTGTGCTGTTCTTCATGAAGAAATAATGTTCTTTTAGGCCAGACAAAATTGATAATTCACCTAATTAGTGCAACTTACCCTAATTTCAAAGAAATCAGAATTCTTTGTGACACCTATAAATGCATTCATTCGGTGATTAGTTGACTGTTTTAAGAGAGTTGCCTCTCCCATGAACCAATCTATATTCTTCTGACCTTACTAAAAACTGTTCACCAGAGATAGCACACCAGTTGCTGGCTTTTTACAAAGTTAACACAGTCTGTGACAAAAAACCACCTCCATCCCCCCCCTTCAATGCCAAAGGCCAGTTAAATTTTTATAAATTTGTTCAAATACTAGCCACTATGTTTCTACTTTAGATAGATTCCTAGACCCTTATGATCCCTTTGGTTATTAACCTAAAAAGGTTTTTGGCACAGGCTGGGCATATATCTATTGTTTATTAACCTGTTAGGCTTATAATTAGGAATTCATGTTTCTAAAAAGTTGGACATTGACAAGTTCTGGATCATAATAGGCAGGTTGAGATAATTGACACATAACCTTGGCTTTCTGTGCTTAGAAGCTTGCTTACAAGTTTCTTCCTATAAAATATAAAATATCATATTTTTACCTAATGAAATATTAAAAAAAAACTCGCAATCTGTATTTTAATATACTAGTTTCAGGCTGCAGGTTGCTAGAGCATGATTGTTTCCTTCAAGTACACACAGAAATGTGTTGTGCAGCTTGTGCTCTTCTGTAACCTTTCTTGCTGTTCTCTTTCTTAATCCAGAGGTGGCATTTCAAAAGAGTGCTACCCGGGAATCCTCGCCTATTATATCAGGGCAGTCTGAGCATGCTCAAAAAGGTGGAGGGAAAGTGGCTGGCAAACATGGTGTTCTGGATTCGGCTATAGGCATGATTCATAAGACGCTAGTTGTTCCTATTAAAACCTCTGCCAGTTTACCAGAACTTGCACACTACAGAGCCTCTGAATTTCCAAATGCAGAGATCGCTGATATAGAACTGGCTTCACCCACCAATGAGCGCAGCAGAAGCCTGGGGTTCCAGTCAAGACAGGCCGAGAAGAGTGAGGTGCCCCCTGGTGGAGACGAAGAAGAACAGTATGGTTCAGCAACTAAGGGGACTTTTCATCGCCAGGATTCCTTGAAGGGTTTCCAGCCCTCTATGGAGACCCTGCCAGAAGACCACACAGCGGAGGAAGGTGAAGGTGAACATAAACTCCCCACCACAGCCTCTGACAATCAGTTACTCTTGGCCCAGTCAAATAAGTCCCAACAGGGCCACTCTGATGTGGAGGCCATGGATCTTGCTGATCACACCATCAGAGAAAATCTGCCTTACATTCCTGCCCCGCCTCCCCCGCGAGGATTTCACTCTGACATCTATGACACAGTGTTTACGTTACAGTTATTGGGTGCTGGTGGTTGCTCAGATTATCTAACCAAGATGCGCTCCATATGGGATGGGAAAAATAAGCGCAATTCATTTGCAGGAATGCCGTCTTCAGGTAAAGGTAACCAAGTGATTCTAGTGGTGGATGGCTATTTTTTTTAACACGACCAGTTTAACATGCATGGCCCGATACTCCCGGCATGGATTCACTCATTTGTTGTGTTACATCATCCTCATTGTCGTCATCTTTGTGTTATAACTAATACCATCCACGCCAGGTATGGCTACTACCCACCTGAAGTACCTTGGAATGATAAACATTTATATCAAGCTTGAGTTTAATACTATGAACAAGTAAAATAATTATACTCAGGCCTACCCAACTACCAGACTCGGCACCTAGGGATCCAGAATAAACCGGTATATCAGACCACACTACCCGTTTTCAAGGTGTGTGTCAGATCTGGTAGTTGGGTAGGCCTGATACTGTTGGTTTGCATTGTGGCATCAGAGAAAACTCCTGCTTGTAATCATGCCACCTGTATTTTATACACCAATTTGAACCATATGATATGCTCGCCCTGAGGTATGCCAAGTAGAAAGTAAGTCCCTTTTCAAAATGAGCAATACAGTTTTCTGTACCACTCTTTTTTGAGAGATTGTCAAGTTTGTTGCTTTTACTTAAAAGAGCCACGTAAACTGAACTCCTGCTCTCAACAATTTTGTACATAGGAGGTTATGAAAGCAAGCACGGTAATGGTTTGATCATTTCAACTGGAAAAATTGTGAATTTTACGTACAGATTATATTTTTAAGTAGTAAATTCTTAAAATTAAAGCATTCCTTTTGAGTGGCAGCAACACAGTTGAAGGGCAGACTACCCACTAGTCCTATTCTATGCAGTAAAAGCACCAAAATACATAGAAGAATATTTTTTTATAATTCCAAAATTATGCATCTGAAAAATCAATAATTTTCCAAGGTTGAAATGATCAAACCCGTACCCCCCCTTCCCCAAGACCAGTCAAACTGGTGCAGAACAGAAAACTGTACTTCTCAATGTGAAAAGGACATACCATGCTTGTACAGCATGTCCATGAAGTACCATGTAATAAAGTACTGATATTGCATATATAAGCTCATAAACTTATCATGATGTATGATATACACATATAACAGCATATAAATGTATGAACATATATAGTAATATGCATGTAAAGGTGCAGTCAAAATAGTACCAGCTTTGACATGACGTCATCTGACCTTACTTAAGGATCAGTTCAGGAAGTGAGCCCAGACAGAAGCTATCGTAGCCAACAATTTCAAGGGGGGGGGGGTCCTTTTTACCCCCATAGTTTAACCAAATTGATAAAATGGCATAGAACCTACCAGTAGATCTAATTTGATTTATACTATCAAAGTGGATCTTTCCCCCACCCCCCACCCCCACCCCCCATGGCCATACACCTGTGGCCCAGAGTTTGATCATGTGGCAAGAAATGCAAGTAGAATATTCAGGTTTCAGTTGGTACAAGTCTGAATGCACCTTAAATTGCACACAGCTTCCACTAAGTTTGATATCGTGGGATAGATGTATTAATTAATTATGTACGAAAGGTTTATTATAGTGCATTATTATTGGTCTTGGCTTCATGTGGTTGATGAGGACAGGTTTGGAGAAATGACATATGGAACATGGCGCAAGAATGTGTTTGTTTTTCATCCATGTAACTGTGTTGGACATTTCCAAGATTTCCTTGCAACTCCATGTATGGTGCATCTTGATTGGTGCAGACTTGTTGAACTTTGAGCATGCTCAGAATGCCTCCTCCTGGGCACTTGTTACGTCTATAAAATGACAAGCTCTAATATAAAATAAAGAAACAAAAATTAAAAAGTGAAGAGTCAGAATTAACCTACCATTTAGTGAGTCTTACCTACTAGTGTATTCAAATAGCTTAAACTTTGTATAACATAAAAGAAAACTAATCACTGATGTTTTTCACATATATCATTAAAAAAGACATTATATTTCTGTGTATGCATTGATAAGTTTCCTATTATTTTAGAGTCTAGGAGTATTTTTTTTTGTTTTATGGCCTGTGTGAGTTGATATGTCCCATTAGTAACCCTTTGCTTCTTTGCTTTCACCACTAATCAGGAGTGAAATATTTAGATGGCCCCCATCCCCATCACTTGCTTATTTGCTCTAGTTCCCAGTTGTGATTTCCATGGCATGCATTAGTCCCATGATAAGATGTGATATTATGCTTTTGTGAGTAAATTGTAGAAAGTATAGAATTTTTTTTTTTTTTTTTGTAATTTAATAGATGTTAAATTCTGTTCTAGTACTGCATTTATTTGACCTCCTTTCACAACTAATTCTATGTAAGATATTTCTATGAACTATGAATATATTCTTTTCTTTGGGGGGGGGGGGGGGGGGGGGGNTTTTTTTTTTTTTTTTAACACGACCAGTTTAACATGCATGGCCAGATACTCCCGGCATGGATTCACTCATTTGTTGTGTTACATCATCCTCATTGTCGTCATCTTTGTGTTATAACTAATACCATCCACGTCGGGTATGGCTACTACTCACCTGAAGTACTTTGGAATGATTAACATTTATATCAAGCTTGAGTTCAATACTATGAACAAGTTAAATAATTATACTGTTGGTTTGCATTGTGGCATCAGAGAAAACTCCTGCTTGTATTCATGCCACCTGTATTTTATACACCAGTTTGAACCATATGATATGCTCGCCCTGAGGTATGGCAAGTAGAAAGTAAGTACCTTTTCAAAATGAGCAGTACAGATTTCTGGACTACTCTTCTTTGAGAGATTGTCAAGTCAATTGCTTTTACTTAAAAGAGCCACATAAACTGATTTTCTGCTGTCAACAATAGGAGGTTCTGAAAGCAAGTATGGTAATGGTTTGATCATTTCAACTGGGAAAATTGTGAATTTTACAGATAATATTTTCAGTGATAAATTCTTAAAATTAGAACATTCCTATTGAGTGGTACCAACACAATTTAAGGGCAGACTACCCACTAGTCCTTTTCTATACAGTAAAAGCACCAAAATACATAGAAATATATTTTTTAATAATTCCAGAATTATGCATCTGAAAAATTGATTATATTCACGGGTTGAAATGATCAAACCTGTAACTCCCCTTCCCCAAGACCAGCCAAACTGTTGCAGTACAGAAAACTGTACTTCTCAATGTGAAAAGGACATACCATGCTTGTACAGCATGTCCATGAAGTACCATGTAATAAAGTACTGATATTGTATGTATAAGCTCATAAACTTATCATGATGTATGATATACACATATAACAGCATATAAATGTATGATCATAGTAATATGCATGTAAAGGTGCAGTCAAAATAGTACCAGCTTTGACATGACATCATCTGACCTTACCTAAGCAGACATGCTGAAAACTTTTCAGAATGGCCGGACGTTTGGACCGGCAATAATGAAAAATTTGCCGGACCTAATGGATTTTTGTTGGACTGAAAATGACTCGTTTGAGACAGATACTACCAGTACGATTAGGGAAGCTTACTTTGTTTGTGAATGTGATATAGTTTTGAAATGGAAGGGAAAAAACGCTTTGGGTTTTATATAGTTTTATTAGTGAAGTATGTTGAAAGATGACTGTAAATTCAAAATTGCTATTCTTAAAACTCTTGTCTGGTCCAGACAAATTTTCCCGGTCAAGACCGATCGGACCGACAGTTTCAGCATGTCTGCCTAAGGATCAGTTCAGGAAGTGAGCCCAGCCAAAAGCTATCGTAGCCAACAATTTCAAGGGGGGGGGGGGTCCTTTTTACCCCCATAGTTTAACCAAATTGATAAAATGGCATAGAACCTACCTACCAGTAGATTTAATTTGATTTATACTATTATTGTGGATCTTTTCCCCCACCCCCACCCCCCATGGCCATACACCTGTGGCCCAGAGTTTGATCATGTGGCAAGAAATGCAAGTAGAATATTCAGGTTTCAGTTGGTACAAGTCTGAATGCACCTTAAATTGCACACAGCTTCCACTAAGTTTGATATCGTGGGATAGATGTATTAATTAATTATGTACAAAAGGTTTATTATAGTGCATTATTATTGGTCTTGGCTTCATGTGGTTGATGAGGACAGGTTTGGAGAAATGACATATGGAACATGGTGCAAGAATGTGTTTGTTTTTCATCCATGTAACTGTGTTGGACATTTCCAAGATTTCCTTGCAACTCCATGTATGGTGCATCTTGATTGGTGCAGACTTGTTGAACTTTGAGCATGCTCAGAATGCCTCCTCCTGGGCAGTTGTTACGTCTATAAAATGACAAGCTCTAATATAAAATAAAGAAACAAAAATTAAAAAGTGAAGAGTCAGAATTAACCTACCATTTAGTGAGCCTTACCTACTAGTGTATTCAAATAGCTTAAACTTTGTATAACATTAAAGAAAACTAATGACTGATGTTTTTCACATATATCATCAAAAAGACATATTTCTGTGTATGCATTGATAAGTTTCCTATTATTTTAGAGTCTAGGAGTATTTTTTGACTGTTTTATGGCCTGTGTGAGTTGATATGTCCCATTAGTAACCCTTTGCTTCTTTGCTTTCACCACTAATCAGGAGTGAAATATTTAGATGGCCCCCATCCCCATCACTTGCTTATTTGCTCTAGTTCCCAGTTGTGATTTCCATGGCATGCATTAGTCCCATGATAAGATGTGATATTATGCTTTTGTGAGTAAATTGTAGAAAGTATAGTTTTTTTTTTGTTTTTTGTTTTTGTAATTTAATAGATGTTAAATTCTGTTCTAGTACTGCATTTATTTTACCTCCTTTCACAACTAATTCTATGTAAGATATTTCCATGAATATATTCTTTTCTTTGGGGCGGGGGGATGAGGGGGTTAGTGTGTTCATTTTTATTTTGCAATGAGTGCCATGAAGTATTAACCATCTACATTGAATTGAACCATTTTCACGATTGATACTTCACCAGTGTGAATTTCAAGTAGATCAAAATCATCATCATTATGAATGTTTTTACTTGTTATTATTTCTAGAAATGGACTTTAATGTCTCAGGAAGTGGGTCAGATTCCTCCTCCACGCACAATCAAGGGTTACCATACGCTGTTCTGCCGCCAAGTCCAAAGTTGGAGCAAGACTCCCAGGCTACGGCGATGGCAGCGTCACCACCACCATTTAACCAATCACCAGGGGCTGGAATGGGACAGTTAAATGTGACGCCTCCACAAAGTGAAACCAGTATGAGCTCCAGCCTTGAAGTGTATGTATATCTCCATCTATAATATGGTTTTGTTCTTTGATATTTTTCTGATTTTAAAACTAGTGACTTATTTTTAGCATCTAATTACATTGTACTTTTTTAAGACAGACAAAATAAGGAAATGTGCAATTCATGTGAGCCTTTCAAATGTAGGGATTTAAAGCAATTTCTTTCCATATCAGGTCTCCCAGTCCTAAAATATCTAGACGAACAACAAAGAAGCATGCTCCAGCACCTCCATCTGACAAGACACACAAAAGACAATATTCAGACTCAAAACCATATGGACAACATGTTGAACAATCTCCTCCAAACCAGTCAACAGCCACTGGCAACCAGGAGGTGCCTCAAATCCAGGTGCCATCTCCAGAAACTTCTCCACACCAGACAGGATCACTAGAAAGGCCAAAGGTGGCGCCACCTGACAGACCAACAGGGAAACCTCCAGAGAGACCAGAAAGGCCACATGCACCTTCAGAGAAAAAGAATGCAGCAGTTTTAGAGAGACCATCAGGGACGTTAAATGAGCCCCCTAGGGCACAGGGGGATACCGTAGATGCATCACCCTTTAGCCAGCCACCCCCTTCTCCTCCCGAGCGCCCCAAAGTTCCACCCCCTGACAGGCCTCATTTACCACCCCCAGAGAGGCCTCATCCACCAGCAAAACCAGGCTCTATGAAACCAGCCCGCCCTCAGCCTCCACCCCCACCCCCTCCTGCAAAAGGGAGACAAAATAGTGAATCGGATTCTACAAAACTCTGACCTGTGACAGGAATTTTTTGAGATCTCTGAATGAATTGTATGTCAACTAGACCAGCTCTGTCCCACTGCTGCTGCACCCTTGTGTGGATTTTCCAGTGAATATGTGTATGAAGACACATGCAGGACCGGTCTAGTTCCGAGGTGGTTAACTCTCCTCTCATTCACTGAAATTTCATAGTACGTAAAAATCCAGGATCATTTTGCCTGTGTCAGTTATAGAGGGAGCACTGTGTACTGGTATTAATGCAACTGCTGAAGATTGCAGAGATCCAACTTTTTAGTACAGGAGAATATTCCTTTTAACACTACAGATATTGGATATGATACAAGGCAATATGCTAGGAAATTGTTTCATAGCAGATCTTAAACAGGGTGAAGCCCACAGAAGCAAGTTATTTTTTTCCAAAGCTAATTGCTGCAAGGTGGGAAGTGACGTTGCAGTAGATCAATACAACTTGTAAGAAAGTGATGACGATAATGATATTATCACCAACACCATAAAAGACTTAAAACTGGATCATTAAAAACATGACAAATAAGTTTTGAAGATGTTTATAATTGTATGCAGTAAAGGCACATTTTACATGCTTGGAATTTCACCTTTTCAAAAGTATGCTGCGGGTTGCTACATTTGTGATGGTTATTATCCCTATAAAAAAGAAATAGAAAATTATAATTATAATAGTTTTGGCAATATGACCGTGCTGCAGCTTGTGTAAAGAACACTCCTGGCCATTGTTTATTTTATAAACTAAATGAAATCCATGAGTTAACTTTATTTGTACAAGGTCAGATGACGTCCCTAACAACAGACTTTATTAAAGAATCGACAAATAATATACAATCCATTACTGGATATTCATATATGTGATGCTGTGAAGAGTTTGCTCATGAATATTATGATATTTTGAAGCTGTGTTTGTTGAAGATAAGCAAATTAGATACTGGTGTGCAATTAGTTAAGGCAAGGTGTGATAAATAAGAGCAGAGCAGCTTTTTGATGTCTTTTCAGTTAACCAGTTCTGTATGAAATTTTCCTTTCTGCTTAGGTATGAAAACAAAAATTAAAAAAAAAAAAAATAGCAAGGAGAATATTTCTACACCACATTGAAAATCAGTTTTTTTTTTTCATATTTTCCACAGGGTTGTCACTCATGTACTTTAATCTGCAATATCAGGAGCTTCCAGTGTTTATCTCTACCTAAATGCATCCAGAAGTTGCACCCAAAGCCATTTCTCTTTGTTTGGGTGTGAACCTCTTCCTGATTACTATGGTGTTTGTGTCCCATTACACAGCACTTTATTTAAGAAGATAGCATGCACGTTCAGATTCTGGTGTATATTCACTGCTAATGGGCAACTTTTTCTCAATCAGATATCTAATTGTTTGATAGATATGAAAGATCATGATAAACAGAAAAATTAGTTTTTTTTTCTTTTTTTATAAGAGATCCTTGTGTTGTCATAACAATTTATCATTCAGAACAATTGAGCATTATCAGTTAATTTAAAATTGTTAAAACTTTAAAATATGTGCATGCTTTCATTACATATTAAATATTAGCATAAACTATTTTTGCAATATCCTGTCCCCATTGTACAGGCTTTTTCCATTTGTTATATCACATATTTACCAACAGTTTATGAGTTGATACTGCTCTTTATGTATACACCCTATTTGTCTTATTTTCTACAAATGGTGTACAAGGTGTGTACAATATTGATAAATCAGAAAGGAATGGAGCAATCTATGTGAGAGCAACTCTCAGTTACGACTTTGAGAGAAATAGTTGGAGGGTTCCTTGATTGAATGAGACGTTTTTATCACAAGGTTTTGTGCATTAGTATATGGTTCACTTGTAAAGATATGTATGGACTGAATTAAATGATTTATGTTAAATTACATCTTGATTCATGTTAATGAATATGTATACAAGTTGCTACAGAACTTTTTTTTCATGGTACTTTATAATTGAAAGAGACAAAGACAAAATTGACTTGCAAGCTTTATTATTGAAGAGTGAAATGCACTACCTACATATCATGTGCATATTTCTAATATAAAATGTCCTAGTAATTCTTTTAATTCTTTTGGCAATATAAGTAAGATATTCTTCAATTTTACTTTTTTCCTGTGTAACAATGAAATATTGGGTTAATTATCTTCTGTTGACAAACCAAATTTTTTTTATCTTCACTGGACTTTCATGTCTTCACTGACTTCTTTCCCATGTATTCGGCTCTTATCAATACTGCCTGATGCCCTTCTGTGTTGGCTCTCCTTGTTTTTTAAGCTCAATACACAACTCTTTGTAAAATTACCCTTATGTATGGTAAAAAAGGATGAGTTTGTGTCAAATGCTCCAAGAACTAGGCAGTATGCCTACAGCACAGAACTGACACTCACTGAAACACACTATATTCAAACAGGCCCCGTGGCTGTTACAACTGTCCTGTATTAGACATATTCAGCAGTGCCGTCTCTGAATTCATCTGATCTGTTCCAGTCACTGACATTTCTTTATTGATCCAATTCTCAGTGTCTATACAACTAACTTACTCTTGCTAAATCGTACCACAAAATGCTGTTGGAAATAAAAATCCTATCCCCTCCACAAAAACATGAATTAACATCTGCAATGTAATTTCCTACCCATTTCACGCATCATAATAGAAAAATAATTTATCACTTCGATAGATTTTCTAACATTCTCTTCTTAAGTGTAGGTAAAAGATCTAAATACTTATTGACACATTTTCCACCACAATCTTTAAGAAACTTTTGAGTTAAAGTAGTGTTGTCTCCCTTGTTTCCAGCCTGGTCATTGGCCATGTCATGACAGTCCATAAAACATCTCTTTAATCGGTTCTGTAAAATATACATTTATGGTAAATACATAAATATCCTGGACAACAGAGGTTTAAGTACATGAGTATTTTTTCCTAATTAAATATTCAAAATGAAAAAAATTAAACCTTAAATATGAATAAATATGTGTGGGTGATTGATTAATACAACCTAAAAGATGTTAGTTCCTAGGAATCTAAAAATTAAAACTTAAAAAACCTTTCAATGAAATCACATCATCTTAAGTGATTATTATGAAATTCTCTAAAATGTATTTAAAGGGATAACAACTAATCATATAAGATTCAAAATTTCCCACTGGAAACAAAACAAATATAATAAATTCAAATTTAGCACCAATCCGTGCCTGCTTTCCGACCATGTAGACCTTCATAGATGACTACCTATCTAATTTTGTCTGAAGAGATTATTACACAAACCACTTTAAAACATTGCCTGTTCTGAATGTTTAACCAGATTCATTAAATATTGTTAGTATGAGAAAATCATCGTTTACCTCAAGAAAACGGGGCCATAGCAATAGTCTGAAGGTTCAATAGTCCGAAGGTTCATTGGTCAGAATATTCAGTATAGAACCTTTGGACCAATGAACCCTTGATTAAAAAATCGATGAAAATGTTACCATTTTTCGGACCAATGAACCTTCGGACTATCGAGACGCCCCAATGAAAACCATTTTATGGCACTCATCTTTGAGCTTGGTTTTACTATCACTAATACTTACCTAAAAATATTTTATTGTATTGTATCTACGACAATTGTACTATGGATTCTTTGATTAAAATTTGGAACTTTGAACATGCCCCCACATCCAAAATAAAAATCTGAGTTACCTGAAAGTTTCCAACCTCTTGTTCCACGTAAGCACTGGCTTTGTCAAATACTTCACCACACTTCTGGTTACACGACTGTCTTTCCTGGAAATCTAAATCCTTATTTTCACAGCACTTCGTAGCACACTTAAAGAAGTCAATCTGAAACAGAGAACACATGTCCTAAGAAAGAAATCATAATACCAACAACAATACAAGTCGAACTCAAACACTTTAAGGTATGCCGACTTTCCTGCTAAATTGAATTTTTACTCAGAAATAAAGTTTTCTCCTACTAAAGAATCCATTCCTTGGCCTTCCCCTGTGTATGGGATTTAATGTTTTATAACATTTATTATTGAATAATTTTACATGTAGTTAAAATCAAATGAGCAATTTAATATGCAGTTTTAAAACCACTGAATAATTTTACATGTAGTTTTTACTGTGTCTCGTTACACTTAGACCACCATGTGTTCTTGTATATGTCACCAAATACTTTTATGGGGGGGGGGGGGGGGGGTCAACAAATTTTAAGGCAAAAATTGGAAAAGACTGATTGCTTTGCAGGATACGAACTCGTAGACCCAGCAAACGACAAACATTTTCAAACATGGACAGAATACCTTACCATTAATAATTTCTTCAAAATCCAACATTACATATCAACGGTCATAAGTATAATAGATAACTTAATTTGTTAAAATGCAACAAGTAAGTGCGATAGCAGTGTAGGCAGTGTTGATCCCCACCCCCCACCAATCCCCTTACACACACAGCGGCCACTCTCAATCACTGCATCTCGTGTAACACGTGCTGAGGTTGCACAATTAAATAACTAGATAAAACCTATGTATATTTCCCCATAGTTTTAAATAACAAAATCAGATGTATTGAAATATTTACTTGAATAAATCTAAGGCGCTCCTTGTCAACTTCATCTATTGTCTTTTTTAAACTGTTTTCAAGGTGCGTTACAGGATTTTCAGCCATGGTGCTAATGTGACCTTGAACTTTGTTATGCCATCGAAGACAAGCTACGTGTGTGTGCTTTTCATTTTAACAAAGATAATACGTATCGATATCTTATTTGCATTCTTAAGTATTTTGCACAATAAATATACAATATCAATATCAATTTCACTGAGACCTGTTGGCAACAGCCAGGAAACATACAGTAAACCAACCGGCTACTCGATCTTAAACGCCCTCTTGCGGGTAAAGGCCGTCATCCAAAATGGAAAATCAAGTTAAAAAGGCGAAGATGGAAATATCGTGAGTATCAAGACTTTTCAACCAGAATTCGAGTATATGTAATAAAAGACTATAGATCTACGATAACGTTGATTGACTGCGACACTTCGAAAGAGAAAAATTCATATTTTATTTTATTTTTTTTTTAATTATTTCGTTTGCCGGTGTCTCACACCTTCATCAACCACGTGTTGTGATCGTAAACTGAACTTATCTCTAGCAAATGAGTAAGTACATTCACACAAGTTATCAAACGGCAGGTGTCTTATCTTTAACTGGTCACCAGAACTTTAACGACACTGATTAACTTCGTCTACACTGAAGCTTTATGCAACTTCACACTTCGTGCTTCAGTGACCTAGTAGATTTCCATCCAATCACTTGTTTGCTCAGATGGAATAGTCGAATACGAGGTCGACAGGCTCATGCCGTTTAAAGGAAAAGCATTACTTAAAACTCAACTATGTACCAGTTGTACCTTTAAATATTCCAATACTAATTTTGTGTAGAAAGCATTCTAATTAAATCATGATTCAATTGATCACTAATCGATCTGTATAGCGTTTTGTAGTCTGCACCCCTACTGGTTGTATCTGGTCCATCCAGCTTAGTATATAGTATCAGCTGAGATAGTACACTGTCTCTTTGCTTGTTGTTCCCTTGAGTAAACATACAGTTATCTGTGCAGCTTTCTTGCACAAGTCGTTGTAGCCTGCTTTTTGAAATGGCCAGGTCAGTTTTTCGGGGAGGTTTGGATCAAATGCAAGTAGAATGCATCGTCAGGGTTTTTTTTTATTATTTGATATAATAAGGCTTTTTTAATAGGTGGGTCTGGGTCCCCTGGATGGGGATGGGGGGTGGGGTGACAAACCTGTGCCCCCACCCCTCTTTTCCTATGGCAACTGATCTCATACTACATGCTTCAGACAAAAATGTTTATATGTTAATGTGCATGGTGTTTTTTGTTGATGAGCTCTTGCTCTTATGGTGATTCACTGGATAAGAACAATTTACTTTCAAAATAGAAAATTACACATGTGCCTAGAAATGATAATGAGTTTTCTAGTCACATGAATCTTTTTGAAATGATGAATCACATGGAACTGACATAGGGCACTGAGGGAAACATTTTTTTTTTAATGTGATGTATCAAACCCTTTAATGAAATACTTTTTGATAAAGAAATTAATTGGCATGTCCTGTTCCTAGTGTTTGTGATTTGTTTACATTTTTGTTTTCATTTCAGAGAAGGAGTTTTATTTGGTATGGGAAATCCCCTGTTGGATATTTGTGCAACAGTTGATGATGATTTTCTGAAGAAGTAAGCTGATTTAAAACGTTTAAGTAAAAAAAACAACTGAAAATTGTGATTTCAATAATGTTAGTAAATTGTTACATTTCTATATTTAGAAATAAATTTGTATTTCAGCTTCAGATATATGTCACGTTTTGTTATGTGGGGTTTAAGAGACCTAGTCACCAAAATTTCATTTGTAATTTTAATTATGATTGTAAACAGTTACAGTTCTATAATTCTATTTTTAGAAATACATTTGTATTTCAGCTTCAGATATATGTCACGTTTTGTAATGTGGGATTTAAGAGATCAAGTCACCAAAATTTCATTTCTTGTAATTTCCGTCTCTATTTCTCCTCCAGGTATGATCTCAAGGCCAATGATGCAATTCTAGCAGAAGACAAACACAAACCTCTGTACGTATAAAAGGAATTAATATTTGCAACATTAATAAAACTCTGACCTCTTAATCAAAACTTTGTCCCATATCCTGATAATGCATAGAATGAGGAATATCCACTGTTGGTTTAACACATGATCAAGGCCTGGTGAACATTGTATTTAATATCTCGAATAATCAAGCTCTGTAGTGCTGTGATGAAAAAATAACTCAGTCATATATGTTTGTTTATTTATTATTATTTTATATTTTATGTGAAAAATTATTGTTTATTATATATATAATGTGCCCTGATGCCCTGCATAATTCGTAGGTACCAAGATATGCTGGATACATACAAGTCTGTGGATTACATTGCTGGTGGGGCCACACAGAATGCAATCAGGGTGGCAACTGTGAGTGGGGTTCAGAGAGATCACCTTCTTTTAATGAAGATAATGCAAACAGTTTCTGAATAGATTTATTATTAATTTTTATTTTTACCCTGATTTTGGAACTTATATTTAATGTAATTTCGGCCAAAGTATTAGCTGGTAATTGTGATAAAATAGTTGAGAGTAGCTTAAAATAAAATCTGCTTAAAAGACATTCAGTTCTTTTTATATTGAAAAATAATCTACCCTTAAAAAAATTTTTTGTAGAATGTAATGCCATTAAATAGGTTCGTTTTAAACCATTTTGAATGGTTGACAGTGATGTTACAAATAATTGTTTTGTAATTATCATACATGTAGCTTTTAGCAAAATGATGCTGGTTACCTATAATGGAGGTACCTGCACCATCATTCCAGCTTTTGATTTCCTGTTGTGTCTAATATTTTTTCACCTTTCTTTGCTTGGTTGTCATGGCAGTGGTTGCTAGGGACCCCACAGTCTACAACCTTCATGGGGTGTGTTGGCAAGGACAAGTTTGGGGAGATTCTCAAATCCAAGGCTGAGGGAGATGGTGTTAATGTCAAATACCAGTACAATGAGAAAGAATCCACTGGTACATGCGGGGTGTTGTTGACTGGAGAGAACAGGTGAGTTTTTATTAGATTGCTAGATATGCACAAGCACGCACGCACTCACACACATATGTCATAGGGGAGATTGCGATTCAGATCAATTGCTGATTTTCCTAGGACAGTTTTCAATTGGCAGTGTCTTAGGTGAAACGGCACTTTTACTGAATTGCTATTTCCCGTGTGACGTATATGAAGTGGTAACAATGAGAATCGTCCAAGATAGCCTAATATGAGGCCTTAGCCTAAAATGGTGTTGTATGCAACTAGAAAGATGTTTGACAATCACGTAATGTGGGTTATACTTTTCAGCAATTAAGTTGAATGGATTTTCAAAAAGGAACACAAAAGTGTCACCCAAAACTTGTTGAATTTGGACTGTTGTGCAATGCACTGCAATCCAACAAAAGGGTCAGTTGTGTGTTGCCCCTGCTTTGGTATATATTTTACACTTGTCGGCAAAGGTTCACAAGTTCAAGTCTTTCAAGACAAAAATATTTAAAAGACATCTAGCTATAAATTAAAAATAGGCAGAACTCTGTTTGAACAGGTCATCCAAATGATAGCTGGATGGTTTACTAACTAACTCATAGAGTAAGCTATTAATAACTTATATAGAAGCAGTCACCAGCTTTCTGTGATAGTAATGTTATTTTATCCTTGCTATGTGCTAGCTTATATAGAAGCTGTCACCGGCCTAATGTATTAGTTATGATTTTTTTTTCAGGTCTCTGTGTGCTAATTAATATACAAATAGTCACCAGTCTAATGTGAAAATTACAATTCTTTTTCAGATCCCTATGTGCTAACTTGGCCGCAGCTAACTGCTTCACCGTGGACCATCTAGATGTTCCTGACAACTGGGCCTTGGTGGAAAAGGCAAACTACTATTATATTGCTGTAAGTGTCAGACCTGTTTTTTTTTTTTTTTTTAATCTCAATAGCTGAATTTTTTCTTGGCGGTATCAAGATTTTAAGTTGTCCCCAGACCCCTGGTTGCAAGCCTAGGTCACTGAGCCATTTCTTCCTACTTTTTCTTACAACCCAAAATCATTTCTGAAGTTTTATACACAAGTCCGGAGTCTTTTTATTGCCCAGGTCTTCAATTGCAAATTTGTAATTACTGTTACTATGAAGTTGGTTTGTGCTGCTGTGCATAGGAGTTTAAGAAAAATTAATATGTACTTGTTATTACTGTTATTTCAAAAGTGGTCATTGCTTTAGGTTGGTGTTGTCAATACGGCACTGGCAATCTATTGTATTTGTTGTATAGATATAGGATTGCAGCTGGAACCTCTAACACATTTTACATATCAAAAATAATTGTGATCATTGGGTTTTTTAATCTTGCAGTGTTACTCTTTGATAGAACTTTTTAATATGTTAGTTGTGTTATTTATCTTCATCTGAGAATTTTATAATTTAATGTGGACACCCCAGATAAGTCAGTTCATAGAATGTCCCCAAGTCCTCAGGTCAGTGTAATTATGTTGCGTTTTTGGACAATTTATATACTACCTGCTTTGAGGTTGTGTGTATTTACGGGCTGACAGGCAATAGCTTAGGTCAGGCCATTGACATTTGAGCACCAGAATTTCAGTCTCTGGGGTGATACTTTCCAGCTGTCGAGCAAGAAAGAACCAGAGCAAAAAAAATAAACATATTTCCAAAGCAGAGAGCTACACAGATACAAGAAAGATGGAATATAGTATTAGGACTTGATTTCTGTGAAAAGTGTGTTTTATAAATATTTTTGATTTTTTATTGTAGGAAAATGGTCATCCTTTTACTTTTCCCATAGATGTTTGACTTAAAGTCTCTTGAATTACTCACTGCATGATCAGCATAATCAATTGTTGGGGGGGGGGGGGGCTTATTTGGTCACTTACTTTTGACATTGACTGACCTAGATGGACATGGGGAAATAAATCCTTTTAAACGCTGATGAGTAACAACTTTATCTTCTGACATGCCTGTCTTTGATAGGAATTACGCTGTAGTTTATTAATACAGTATAGTACTGAAGGGGGGTGCAATTTGGAATGACTGGTATTTCAAAGTTTTCTCTTTTAAAGTTGAAGATAACAAATATGAATGAGTCCACAATTATACAGGTTTTAGGTGTTATTTTGTTACCTTAATGTTTTTTCTTTCTTTTTAAGTTTAACTATTAGAAAGGGCGGGTAAATGGGTTTGATGTTAGGATTTGATTCAAAATGACTGAATGCATGAAGCAAGCAGTTTGTTGAGATAAAATGTTTTGATCAAATCACATAATGTTCATAAAGAGTCCATGAAGACAAGTATATATGTTATATAAATATTCCAGGGTTTTTTCCTCACTGTGTGTCCCCCAGCCATCCAGAAGGTAGCTAAGCATGCCTGTGAGAAGAACAAGACATTTATGATGAATTTATCTGCACCGTTCCTCTGCCAGTTCTTCAAAGAGCCTATGATGGCTGCTCTTCCCTATGTAGATATTCTATTTGGAAATGAAACAGTGAGTATGATGATTTGATATATTTTGGTTTCGTAATCATTGGTTTTAAATTGATAATCGTTTAAGAAATAAAAAGGGGGTGGCACTGAATATTGCTCAGCTTTAATAGCATCATTAAATTATGACAAAAAATATTAAGTAATGTGTAGATATATCAAATCTGCGGAAAGAACTTTATCTGTATAAAAAATATCCTCATGAGGTAAAGTAATTTGAAATAATTATGCATAAGGTAAATCTGCACAATCAAACTATGGCTTGGTTCCTTCTATCATATTCTTGCCACATATATAGACCTATAGATTTCTGCTTGACTAATTTAAAAGCAAGAAAGAAGTTTTTTGCTTTATGTAAATATTTTATTTGAATAATTTTCAGGAAGCTGCAACATTTTCAAAAGAACAAAATTTTGATGTAAGTACAAAGCATATGTTACATAGCTGAGATTTTCATGCTTTAATTTTTTTCTGCGTGCATTTCCATTTCTCTAGAGTTAAGAGTATGTTGGAGTCAAATTTTAAGTATTCAAGGAGAAGTTTGGAGACCCAATGTAGTATGATGTTGCAGAAAATGTTTTTATTTTTAATAGTGTTGTGATAAAACTAGACTTGTGAATTATTTCATTACTAGATGGAAGATGTGAAAAAATTGCAGAGAATTATTTTGTTTTATATAGTGCTGCAGTAAAGCTTAATTTGTGTTTTATTTCACCACTAGACCGAAGATGTAAAAGAAATTGCCCTGAAGGCAGCAGCGTTAACCAAAGAAAACAAATCTCGCTCAAGAATGGTTGTTTTCACTCAGGGGGCATCGCCTGTGTTAATTGCACATGGTAGGATCTTCTTTAAGTTATAAAATAATTAACGTTCATTTTTACTTTGAAATAATCACCAGTATATAAGACATTATTTTCAAAAACAAGGCATTGGACAATTGTTGAACAAATTTATTTGTGTTTGTGGTATGAAATCAAATTTCATTTCGCAGTGTGAAAAGAAATGATAGTGTTACATGAGAAGTGGGTATGAAAATACTTTTTGAAAAAACTGCACTGTTTTTAAATTGTCAAGATATCACTTTTTTAAAGATTATTTTTCTTGGAGAATGTTTTTAGAATTTTAGTTTTTAAAAGATGTCACAAAGTGGTGGCGGATGCAGTTTACGGGAACTTTTTTTTTATTCTTCTCTGCACCTCATTGTTGATCCTATTTCAGAGGGGAAGGTGACTGAGTATCCTGTCATCCCTATAGCTGAGAAGGACATGGTGGACACCAATGGAGCTGGTGATGCTTTTGTTGGAGGTAGGGCGAACTTTCATAAATGATGATTTGTGATAACTACAAGCATCATTAGTTTATACCTTTAGTTTGTGAATGGTTTGGAAAAATTGTTTTCTAAATGATTCTGGATAAAAACAATTTATCTTAATTTTTTTTCTGCCAAGTGCAAGCATTCAACATTTACAATATTTCTAACCACTGACAGATCATTAAAAAAAACACAATGATGAAAAGACATAATATTCAGATATAATATGCAGCATTTGATTAGTATGATGTAAATTTTTTTTTGTTTGTTTAAGGTTTCTTGGCTCAGTATGTTCTTGGCAAGCCAGTAGAGGAGTGTGTACGTTGTGGACACTATGCAGCCAACATAGTGATAAAGCGGTCTGGCTGTACATATCCGGACAAACCAGATTTCAAGTGATAATAATGGTATTGGATCTTTAGTACATCTTTCACAACGAATGATGATAATGGTCATATATGTGCATTTGAAAGATGTGCAAACGAGTAACCTGTGGGAAGGTGTGACATAACAGATATTTTGATTGCATAAAACAATATTTTATATGTTCTGAAAACCAATTATTAGACTCTATGATATATATATATATATATATATATATATATATATATATATATATATATATATATACACACACACACACAAGATGTAAATAATCGTGTCTCAATAAAAACACCTCTGGTCAGTAATTTCATTGTATTTGCTGTCATATATTTTCTTGTTCTAGTTGTTTACAGCGACTGTAGTCGTGTAGTTTCATTTCTTATCTGGACTATGGTCTTTTGGCAGGCCTGTGTTCGCACGCACTTCTGTGTCATGTGGTATGTTTCTCCCAAGCGTCGTTACTTTCATACTTTTTCTCACAGCAAATTAAAAGCTAGGGGAAGTGTCAAGTATGTTGATTTGATAGTTCAGCCCGTTTTGCTTTTTTTCAGTGGCTCTTGCACAGAATTAACTGCGGTTCAGACCGTGCTTATTTCTCTCAACGTGCATCGTTAATGAATGATTTAGAAAATGCCAGGTCGTAATAAAGAAAGGCCTGAAATTCCCAACTGTTTAGTGATAGATTTTCAAAGGTCGCATCTGAAAGTCAAAAGGCCATAAAGCAAGAGGCACATATGCGTCACCCGTAACCAAAAAGTTTGGAAAAAAACTTGAAGTAAGATGCGTTTCGGGTATTGCCGCTTTTGTTTGTTTACATAGTTTGATAATGTTGTAGCTATTGCCGTGGGCCGCAAGCAGATGGAGCTGCTAGTCAGGCATAATATTCCTTCGACTGTTGCTGAAGTTTGTATGCACATTTGTCGCACGACCGCTCGAGGATAGTTATCGTAGCCCGGTCCTTTTTGCCATAATCTAGTAGCGGCGCTCCGCAGTCACAGAAGTTGATGTCTCTGGAACACACATAATAACATCCGGAGATCGAACATTGTACCAGTCCCAGAACCATCAGGCAGGCCGCCGCCACTATAATTGCATGATCTTGCCACTGCGAAAACGATGACCAGAAGAGAAGCACAGCGCCCACGACAAGCAGCAGAACTCCAGATATAAATAAGATTGGCGTTGCATGCTTTGTAAATCTTGCATCAGTCATGTTTGTTGTCTCCCTGATTCTTGTTTTCAAGGATGTGACGCGCAAATATAAGTGACGTCATTCTAGCGCGGCACGTGAAATGACACACGAGTACGCATGAACTGTTAGAGGATTCATTACCATGTTGGAAAACAGACAAAAAGACAATGCTCTAAAATGATGAACACTTTCATGTAAATATAGCGGCGAATCGTTTTTATGTCATAGAAATTGTCATATGAAATAACTGGATTCTAGATAACTAAATATTCTTGCATGCCGAAGCCACACTTCGTCTCTCACAATATGATATCAAATGTTGATATCCACGGCCTAGAATCTATTCGAATAATCAATCACCAACAAAGCAAACCCTAACATAGATCTATGAGATTTTATTATAGAGAAAATATCAATTTTTAGGTTTTTTGTATGCGCAGAGCTCTCTATCAAAACGTGCGTCCTTGTCCAAAACTAATGCTAGTTTAAAACTTCTGTAATTTAATCTAAAAGAATTGTAGATCTAAACTGGGAATTTCCTAGCGAGCCAGTATGAAGCCCGGAACAAATCGATAGACTAAATAGCCCCAAAAAAAAAACTAACTGAAAGGGATAACAGCTTCATTTGACCAAAAATGGATTTCCTTGGGTAGGCCTAAACGACAATTTTCCCATACGTAGGCCTACCAATTGTTAATGAATCCGTTCAGACATGCAAAGACAGTCCCTGTTTTTTTTTCTTTCTTTTTTTAAAGAGATCATTAGGCCTACAGAGGGCAAGCACAGATTCTAAAATAATTGTGCTAACCGCCGCTTTGGCGGTAAAATGGAATTTATCATAGCCCCTATCTCTATATGTGTTTGCAATGAATCTCATATGAAGAGTTATCATCCCTTTAAGATTTTTGTAAAACGATAGGTCACACTGTTTCAATTTTTGCCATTGTCAAATTTCAGATGATGGGATTATGCAAAACATTAACATAAATGTATATTAAATAGTATAAATAAATAGGTTTACCCCAGAATAAGGTAGTCTAATTGTAGAGTAGCCGTAGTCACAGTCGACTATCAATTCGTATAGAACTTAAATTGACATATATAAAGCGTTAAACTAACATTTAACATTTGCTAGTCCTGACATCAAAGTGAAAAGGAATTTTTCTCTCTCTTGCCTTGTTAAGCACTCGAAATCCTGTGCGAGTCCTAAAACTGATGTTTCCTTGTCACTAGTACAGGTGCTTCGTTCAGTGTAGAATATGGTTTGTGTTTCTTCGAAAATCCAATTAAGATTGTGTCAGTCCCATTTACCTGAGCTATGGGAAATACTCTGCTAGATAACCATGGGCATTTTTTTTTTTTTTTTTTTTTTTTTTTTTTGGTTTATTCAATAAAACATCTTGTTGGTTATCTTCTCCTACTGCGCATATCGCGACACGCCTTCATGGCAAAAGTGTGTTGGCGGATGCGATGATTCTAAACTCTGTCTTTGAACAGTTAATCTTTCACTTTTAAAAGCAGATGACTAAAATTGCTTCCTCGACCCACATACTTTAGCTCTTAATTTACTCGATCTTGCTGTTTGATGTGATGCAAAGTGATGCATTCTTGAAGTTACAGTTAAACAAATTTATAAAGACAAAGGGAGTTCCAATGAAGTAGTGCTACTGTGCTTAGGCTTACGGGGCCGAACTTCAGCCAAACCATTCGGTGTTCATCCAATGGTATGTAGATTACACCGAGCTCTTGTATTTCCACAAGGTCCGCCATTGGCAAACTAAAGGGTTCTAATGCAGTAGAACATTGTAAAATGGTCTTGAAGAGAAGGGTTTGTTTGACTTCAGTCGATACTGCTTTGAAAAATATATTCCCATTATTTGATTTTCGAAAATATAGGATAAAGTTCAAGTCATATCGACATCATGGGCCTTTTTTTCTCTCTCTCTTTTCACCGTTATAAACGACTTTTATAAATGTTGTCACAGAAAATATAGCCGATCTCTAAAATATACAAAGTACAACTGAGTTGTACATAATAGTTGCCTGGACGCAGTCTCTTCACAGATCAACTGCCGTGGCCATCAGCTCCGCGTGGAGAAAAAACACAGTGTCACAATCACTGAGAAGTACCACAGCCAAGTATTCCCCAAACTGCGAGCCCTGTTACAACCGTCTTCCGCACAGCTCTGATAACACACTTGGATTTCGATTTTCCGTCTCGGGGGACCTATTTCTGTGACCCCTTTTTGGCAGTATTCGAAACTGGACAAATAAAATGGGCTGCAACTCCTAGAGAACGTCAGTTGAGTGCCTGGAAATGTATGATGGGAACATTTTAAAACTTGATCGCAAAACTCTAAGAAAACCATTCATGATGGTGATAGGCACTTTGTAAACGATTTACATGGGGGTGCGTGGGGTGGGCAACCAAATTTTTGTAGCCATTGCTAGCTGACTTCTGCTGCATAAACTTTCATTATTACTCCTTTTCAATGCAGATGGTCATTTTTTTTAAAAAGTTGTTGTTGCCTAATTACTGCTGTGGATGTAAAATTCATGACTTCCATATGAAAAAATTAGGGAACTTCACTTTTAGCTATTATTACTGATACATTTCATAAACTAATGGCTTTGACACCATATTGCGAATATAATGTTGGGATATTATTTACAATCATGTTTGTTTGTTTGTGTATAGCATCGGCCACATCTCACGTGCGTGGGTCTTGTTTTTAACTGCTGAAGTAAAAATAATTTAATTAATTCATTGCGCTTGATTTGTTTTCAAAACACGACCCATTGCGCACCTTACCCGGTCGGAAGTTGAGCTCTTATGGCATACAATTACTGACGTAAGACGTTTGAAAAACAAAACTCAGTGAGCTTAAAGTGTATTTAAATGCAAATTGACGCCTCTTGGATCAGCAGTAGTTTTGCAATTTTGTGGGTCTTCATTAACCGTGCTCGGGTTTCTATCAAAATGGCTATATTTTGCTTAGAGGGAAAAGCATGAACTTCTGCTCAATTGCGCACGCTCTTAGGTGGTCTGAGAATGCTATTTTGTATGTGCCATGTCCAATTTATATGAAACGTAGTCAGTGAGAGAAAGAGAATTAGCATGCTTAAATGCCTTAAAAGGTCTTCACACTCTGGCATATGTACTGTATATATGCTCCAACTTTCAAACCAGGTCTTTTATAGTAAATATCTTACCTACATGTTTGTAAACAAATATATTCGTATGCAAAATATGGAAACACGAGGAAGAAAACCTCATCTATAGAAGAAATACATATTTGCAAAAGAATAGTTTTTCATATCGAATCTTACCATTTTCATCTATCTCCCTGACGATCATGCAGAACTTATTCTCCATTCCTGGGATACAGTTGCCCTGGATATCTCGCGCTATACACGTCGAGCAGTTGATGGGGGGCGGAGGCCGGGCCTCACAGAGAGGGTCCGTGGTACTGTCACAACTGACACACATTAAGGCAGCACCTGGGGATGGTAAAAAAAAAAAAATAGACGTTGGTGGTACTCTGGCGTTTTCTTAATGTTTTTTTTTTTCATCCGACGTTAAAATGCGCGCGTTTTCATGAGTCAAATGTCGGTGCAAATATCCCGAATATCTGCTCAGAATTATTGTCTTTGAAACAGCAATAGATAGCAGGTTGATTACACTGTACAGTATTGTGTTATATTGTATTTGATTAATTTCGAATATCATTATTTATTCAATGCCGCAATGAACACAGACATTGGTTGACAATTCTGTAATTTAGCTCACAATCTAAGTACACTGGTTCTTTTTGCATTGGTCAAAGAAAACTGAAAAGGACGAGAACAGTTAAATTATGTGAACTAATTTTTAAAATTCTTTTTTTTTTTTTTTTTTTTTTTTTTTTTTTTTTTTTTACATTGTACACATACTTTTGACAACAGAGGTTTTCAAAACACCCCAGAGACTAAATGAAACCCTCTCCACCCCCACCCCTCTCAGAAGCATATTTATGCTAAATCCCGCTTGAATAAAGCAATATAAGAAAAACACAATAAATAAATAAGGTAAATCTTCTTCTAATAAAATAGTTCAAAAGAATCTGATTCATTAAGAAGACATCAACCTTTTGCTTTACATCCTACTTTATTTCCTTCATTAAAGCATTTTTAAGAGCGTGGCAGGATTTCAGCCGTTGTTCACATATAAGAAAAAGAACGTTTTTATAGTATTAGACCAGCGGTTCACCTACGGAAGTTGGACAAAGCAGCCTTCTGTACGCCTAGCTTCAACTTATCGGACACGTAGACTCGAGACTCTATGAAAGTTTGTTTTTTCGTTTTTATCACCGGCTTCCAGAGACTAATATCATTAGTTTTAATTGAAATCCCCTGGTGGTAAATTCAAAGACAACAAATGACCACACTATTAGGTATCATCGTGTGGTGAGCGAGGAATACTGACCCTGCAGTAGACCTAATGGGATTTGAGAGAGAGAGAGAGAGAAAGAATAAATACTTAATGTAAAACACAAGCTAAATAGTGATGGCACGGGCAATGAAGGATTAATATACCAAATAGGCGTATACTAATTTAGTGTTTTAGATTAATACAGTGCATTTTGTCTTGCATTTTCCATATGCATCATTGGCAAGTGTTGTCAATAAGATAGACTCACTAAGTACACATTGACTTAGAAAATTATATCAGAATGCAACTTTGTCAATACGTACACATTGCGGGAAGCTACTACACGTAGGAAAGCATTGATTCTTGGTAAAATCTTTGTGCTTAATTTTTTCGGAAAACAGACCCGAACCAATGCTCTTTGTAAGGTCACGTTCAACCAGGATCAATACAAATCTTTGGCCTGAATGTTTTTTAGTTTTAAGATATAAAGAAAAACTGAAAGAATACATTTCAGAGGACTAAAAATCAACAGCCTTAAGATTCACATTCACAGCAAGCACTTACCTGTTCTTGTACAAACGAACAAATGGAAAAGCCACAACGAAACGCATGAACATCTCCAGTTGTAATTCATCGTTGTAGACGAATGTGCGTACACGCGCGTGCACACACACACACACACACACCGACGCACCAACACACGAAAGGAACTGGAACAATCTTACTGTCTCCAGCAGAAAAAGTGACAAGTTAACGTCGTCTGGTCGTCACTACCATCGCCTCTCTGGCAACTACCATCTCTCTTCAGAATCTGATCCTTAGATATGTTTGTTTCTTTTCATGCCATAGTATCGTTTTCGTTTGTTTTCTGCCACATTGCACGCCTCCCAGCCTCTCGTCGGTGCGTGTTCGCGTGCGTCAGCTGGCCTCTTGCTCTGGTAGGCCCTGGTTTGCCGTGGCTTACAGTAAAACAAAACAAAAATAATCTGAGTGGATGAGATTTAGGATGTAATTGACGGTGCCAAAGATCAGTCGGGTGAAATACTGCCGAAGAGACGAATCTGAAATATTTTGATGCTAATTGACAGCCTAATTGTTCCTGGTGTGCCCACGTTTTAATGGTTCGGCTGATGGTTTGACCCAAATTATGTGCACTTCTCGAGAACGTCGATAAGATGGATATGCGATATCACTAGAGCATTTTATCAATTCTTCGTTTCATTAAACGCCCACGATTTCATTTCGCACTTCCATATCGCCTTTCTGGTTCTTTTCCCCATATCAGCTGTTATTCTTTCAAACAGCTAGTCTTGTCACAGACACTTCTGGCGTGTTTGGTTAAGTCTCTACCAATTCTGCAGTTTTCCCACTACCCGCTGTGCTCGGTTCTGCTGGAAGATAGCGGAATGGTTTCATAATTTTTCCTCCCACAACCTTAGCCAGCAGTTGGTTCCGGGGACTGGTCGTTCTCCTGTCCGACTAATTTCTCAGTTTATCGACTCCAACTAAGAGCTTGTTTTTGTCTCGGCAAATCACAATTATTGAGAACTATTTACCGAAATGACGAATCAAGAAATTATAATTCCGACAGTTGTGTGCGGACCTTGTCTAAATATGCCGACAGTCTCAAAGTTAAGGGTACCCCACAAAATAATTACCCTTGGGTTTATTTAATGAGTTAATCAAAATAATTAAGTTTCCACTGAAGACACACAGTAACAAACTGATCGATTCCCACTGTTGTGGAAACACTGAAATTTAGTTATGATATAGACGGCTTAAAAATCCACAATGGTTACGACCTAATTACTGCCCAGTCTGTCTCTCTGTACTGCTCAGAATTCAGTGTATTTCTAACCACGTTACACTGTATGCAAAATATCTTACATCACCAACACTGTGGGGCTAGGAACTTGAACACTGTTTTCAACGTATGCAAAATATCTTACACCGCGAACACTGTGGTGCTAGGAACTTGAAAACTGTTTTCAACGTAACTCGACTTCCAAAATCTGCCAAAGCTGTCAAATTTTGGCGATTAACACTTTATCTTGATTGTTATTAATTGCAATGTTTTTACCTCTCTGAGGCGGATGGTTTTTAATGAGTATGCGGCTTTAAGGTATCATTTTGCCTACCGCTGTCGATACTGTCCAAATTAAATGTCACAGGTCGGTTAAGATTCAATCTTTTCAATAAATTACAGGGATTGTTTATTCGGTTTAACCTTTTCATCAAGTATTCTTTCATCAAGATTTTGTTTATTTCAACTATTTTAATTTTCGAAAACACAACCTTCGAAGATTTTGGAATTGATACGGGATCGACCAATAATCTTATTAATCTGATTTGATATCAAATAACTTTTTCATTCGGACTGGGATGTGATTACTTTAACAGTTTGAAAAAAAGCAGTTTTTGTGCATTCATCCTATCGTTATTTTCTTAAACAGCCCTGCTCTCAGTAAATAGTAAAACTGACATTTTGCATTTTAACTACAAAAATAACCTAATGCTTTGCAGGCTACAATAAAACCTTAAAACATTTGCAACGTCCAAAAATACACAATTCTGAACCATCGAATTATCAAAGTCCTCCCATTTCCCAATTTCATTTCACATCATCTAATCGGTCAAAAAAATCCTTTATTATTGCCTTATGATGCTGTATCGACTGCTATCGTCGTCTGGAGTCAAACCTTGCAGACTAGCATTGCCGCCAGAAGCACTAATCGTATTGACTCTATAACTAAAATAATGTTTTTAGAAACCATACCCATGTTTCTTTACGCACTGCTGTTTTTCTTGTCAGTTCCAAGACGGTCAGTTGGGAATAGGGCTTTTAAGCTTCTAATCATTTTCAACCATCGAGATTGGATTTGAAAGTCAATTGGACATTATTGACCTTAATACATTATTGGAAAATTTTAGTAATAATCAGCTTTTATTCACACACACATCAAATGTGAAAATGTTCCTTCAGAATTCATCATCAACGGATCGATGGCTTCCCATCGGTTGCAGAGACGGGGATAATCTTGAAGTTGAAAGAACCTAATTTTTGTCAATTAATTAAAAAAGGTAAAACACATCTGAAGACATTAATATGGCTTTTAACACGGAGTGGACGCGCTAACAAGCAGAATTAAAAGTTACGCGTGTGTAGTGTCATTGTTGGTAGTATTAGCTGGCCCAGAGGTCACGTGGTCGCCAACCTTTATTGCAAGCTTTATTTCTGTCGTCGTCTCTGCTGCCGAAATGGTCGTGTTTTCTTCAGCTGACGTCACTGCTTTTCCCGATGATGTCACGGCAGGTGGTGAAGTCATTGGTTTTGTAGTTGGTATTGTAGTTTTGACGGTAGTCGTACTAGTTGTGGTGGTGGGTATTTCTAAAAAAAAAGTGAATAAAGTTAAACATTAATGTTTACATTATTTTTATGATAAAACTTGTGAAATTTATATTTGGAAAACCAGAAACAAAATCCGATATATACGATCTGTCAGAAGATATGGAATGAATGAATAGCATTTCCAATTTCTCTAATTTAACGCAAAAAGAGGCTTGAAAAAAACATTACTTTGAATGTGTTAGATGAGATGAATGGTGACTCACCAGAACAATACATTTCTCCTGCAAGTGGTTTTCCCACATATCCCGCCGGGCACTTATATACGCAGCTTTTCTGCTCAAACACAAATCTCCCGGGCTCACACCCAAAACACTTGTCTCTCGCGCTAAGAGAGTAACATCTAGTGCATCCCTTAACGCCACATTCTGAAAATTAAAAAAGAAATAAAACTTTTTTGAAATACGTTCCAAATTTGCTGCTGGCATCGTTACATATGTACAACATATCAAAATGCATATGCATATGTACAACACATCAAAATACACTGTATCTATATACTCACAAGGGGTTACAGGAATAAATGCAAGGCGCGTTAGACATTTACAAGACGAATATGTATTTTTTTCTTGGTTAGGATTGCCGCTTAAGGGAAACATCTTGAAATTCCCCGGAAAAAAATGTATAAAGGTGTAAGGCTCATTTTGTAACTCTTTATGTGCATCTTTACTTACTTCGGCAAGTTCTATATCTATAATCCTTTGTGTATCCCACGGGGCAATCTCTCACGCAGTCAGCCGAAGCGCCAGCGTAGGCATAATACTTATAGTAACCGATATAACATTCATAACAGCCGTAGGAGTAGCATTTGGCGCAGTTTGGTTCTGAACATGCTGAGGAGAGAAGATGGAAAATTAATACTTTATGTCCCCTTGATTTAAACCGACTTAAATATCACGAATAAAAGAATAGGACAAACACAAATATGATGTTCGAAATTTGGCCGACGACGGCCGCATTTATTGAAGGTCCCTCCGATAAAAGAAGTGAATTAGTTTAGTGGTAAACACTGAGTAATGTTGAATGATATTTACGTAATGTTTACGACTGAAAAAAAAAACTCAGTTAATATATAATTTCCGAACAAAAAAGTGCACACATTTCAATTTGTTCGGTTGCAAAAGGCTGTCGATAAGAAAGTGGGAAATGGTAAAATGGATGAAAAGTACATGTATTAAAGAAATAAACCTCTGCTTACTTAGATAATCTGCTATTTGTACATCTGATTTAAAGAAAAAAATACTCACTGGTATCCAACCAGAATCCCCTGACCACTGCCACACCACAGAGCAGTACAAAAAGTGTGAGAAAACATGTCGCCTTCATGTTGACTGGCCCAATGATCAAATTTGCTCTGTGAAATGTTGAAGAAGGTAGAGATGCGATGTCCGTCTGTTCGTTCCGGCGTACAATGTCCCTTGCACTGCCTATCACGTATCCTTTTATAGCCCCGGGGGTACGTGTCTGGTAAAATTATTTATGTATTTCTTTTCATCAAGGAAGGTCTTATTCCAGTTAAATCGCCATCATAAGGAAAAGGAGCGTTCTGATATCACCGATTGTTTACGTGATCTGAAAAATAAATAAATGAATGAATAACTAACTAACTAACTAACTAACTAAATAAATAAATAAATAAATAAATAAATAAATAAATAAATAAATAAATAAGCCCGACGGAGAAAGTGGCATTTGTACCAAGTAGATGCAGGATCGTATGGACATTAGACTTTACGAAGTTGCTAAATAAAAAAAAAAGAATTTACTAAGTTGCTAAATAAAAAAAAAAATTAAGTTGCGCTTTGAGGTAGTGATTTGTTGGGAATTTTATTGATAAGTGGATCTGAAATTTATGCAAGTTACTAGAAGGGGAAGGTGTAATGGTGACATAATCAGAAATGTAACCATCAAATCTGCATTACACCATGTCCTTGGAGACAGCACCCGGTTTAAGGGCGAACCGGGGACACGTACTATTTTTGGCGAACATGTAATGCGCCAATAGCAGAGAGGTGGGTTTTTGTCATATATATATATATATATATATATATATATATATATATATATATATATATATATATATATATATATATATATATATATATAAGCCAAAAGAAGGAAAAATCATAACGAAAATTGGAGTTGTGTAAAAGAGGATGTTTTGTTGAATATCTTTATTCCTGTCACATGATATCATCTCTGTAACGTTAGGGTGTTTAATCACTTGAGCAGTTCATATGGACATGGGCAGAATAGCCCTTGTATTTTCTTATTTTATCGTATCACAGACTGTAACTTAATTTTTTTGTTCGCCTGTTATTAATATTACTCTGACTATCACGTATCATTTTATAGCCCAAGTGAACCGTGTACTGAAATTTATTTGCTATCAAGAAAGACCTTATTCTAGTTAAATCGGCATCACAAGGAAAAGGAGCGTTCTAAAATCAACAGTTGTCTACGTGATCTGAAATAAACAGATAATAAATAAGCCCTCGAGAGAGTGGCATATTTAACAAGTGAATATGTGACTACATAAACAAGGCAGCAAAGCTGTCGAATGTACAGACATAAACAGAAAATAGGGATGCACAAAAAGTAATTTTTTCAATTTTGATGCAGTAATACATTTTGCGCAACAATAAAATCAACACCAAATTTTAAATGTGCACAACTTGAAGCACAGATGTTAAGAATATGTAACTAGCATAAGGCTGCAGGCCCATGAGAGTTATTAGACACGTGACTTTTAACTAGCACATCTTGATGTTAATTGTGTTTAAATTTGTTTGATGACATTTGTTGGTGTCTTTTCAATTTAATGGACATTTCTTTACCTCTGCGGAAGTCAAAATTTGAGGGAGGAAAAATCTGATTTGAGGGGGGCCATTATATAAATTGGAATAAATGGTCGAAAATATGGGTATTTCACCGCTAGATATGATATCTGGAATAAAAACCATCGTTTAAAACAATTTACACCTGTGAGGTGATCATTTGTAAATAAAAGTAAATGGAATTGGAGGTGGGACAACCATTTGACCAATGTTGTATGCTTAATTCATAAAAAGCATAAAAAGGGATAACTTTCGGAAAAAAATAGTCCGCTCAAGCTGGATTTCCACTTATCGTGTTATCCCTCAAAGTGCAGGGGACTGCTACATGTACAGGCACTATATATATCTGCACTTAAAAGTCTACAGCAAGCTGTGGCATGTTGGGAATTATATTCAAACGTGGACCTTAAATTTATGCAAGTTACTTGTACGGTTTAGTTGTAATTGTGGCATTATCAGAAATGCAACCATCAAATCTGCATTACACCATGTCCTTGGAGACAGCACCCGGTTTAAGGGCAAACGTACATGTAGCACGTAGTATTTTTGGTGTACGTGTACCGCTCCGATAGCCGGAGGGAGAGGTGTTTTTTTTTTTTTATTTATATAATTTTTATTTGCAATTCGGTAGCTATTATCCCATGTTATAGCTACTTTGAAATGAGGAGAAATCCATGTGACTATATAAACATCCTTAGAGAAAGATATTATTGTACTAGTCTTTCTTTGACGGTTTTGTACACACGTTTTCACAGACAAATTAATCACATGGTGGGTAAATTAAATGTAAATGAATACAATTGTATATGTCAAAAATGTTTTCACACCTACACGCTTTTACGCAAAATATTAATAAAAGATGCCCTTGTATTATTATTATTATTATTATTTTTATTATTATTATTATTATTATTATTCCCTAGCTTTACGTTAATTTGCAAAATGGCAATGCAAAATCAATCACATAATGGTACTGCACCATTTATGTTTTATCATATTGTACATTGTCACAATTATGTATGTACCAGTACAGGAATAAATTAAATTGAAATTAAATAAACCTACATTCTTAAATAATGATCTTAAGTGGATTGTCGTATAAAAAAGACATTAAAAACCAAGGAGATTATCCAAGGGCTATAAACACGCTCATCTCACTGTTCTGAATCAAAATGTCGAAGGGTGGATTCACTAATGCAGAATCCCGAATGCAGAAGCAGGGCGGACGTTAAATCATCCCCGTACTTGACACGTTTTCTTTAACACGAGAAAAAATCCCATGATACCATGAAGTATCTTAACATCTAGCTGAGTTGTTAATCTTTACTATTTTTTCTATACTTTTTTATTGATGCAATTCTGACCTTAGCATACACTTCGATCCACTATAGTCTATAGTACTATAGTTCCTAAAACATTGAAAAACTTCGTACAACATCGTGTACAACTATATGGTCTTTCAAGAAGATGTCTGGCTCTTTTGTTTTTTAGTTTAATGGATGAAATGATGTTAAGAAGGCACACAGACCCATATTTTTTTTTTCATTTTTGAGAGAGAGAGAGAGGTGAAAAGGGACTTGGTCAAGCAAAATATATAACTGAAACAAACAAAAACACAAGTATATATTTCAAAAGAATTGTTTTTATTTCTGTCTTCTTTAGATTAAACATTCATTTCGAAAATAACATCTTCAAATTGATGGTATTTTCCACGGCTCCGTATACGATACTTAATTCTAACGTGAAAAATTGATCAGATGTGAATTCTCAACAAAAAAATACAATATCCGTACTAAGAGTTACTCCATGCCCCAGATAAGAGGCAAGTAAATAGTCGTCGCAGTTCCAAATATAGGTTAGATTTAACATGCTCTTAAAATTACTAGTACTTTCTTATTGTGTATGAGAGGTGTGGGGGGGGGGGGGGGAGAGAGGGGAGGATAAGGAGGTAATCTACATCCTTGCCCACAACCCAAGCCTGAACAGAGACGGGGGAAGACACCAATTGTTTCACATATGGGACAGCAATATCACCGAGACACTAGTGAATAGTGCTCAGTCTCAGAGGAATACACACTGAGGAAGGTCACAGTGGTGATCGAAAGCTTTGCTTAGGTTCAGCTCAAGTAAGTGTAGAAATTGAAACGTTTAAGCGTCTAAAATACTGTCTTTCTATGTTGATTTTACTGTGAAATATGGTTGAAGACGTGTCTGGTCAACAACTGTTTCTGGTAAAGCTGACAGCTTCTACGCTTGTTCTTCCGTGGTTGCCGATGACGGCGCTGCGGGCGTCGGGATTGTTGTGGTTGGAATTTCTGAGAAAGAAAAAAACGAGATTTTGAACACAAGGTTTTCGTCCTATATGTAGAGGTTCTCCGCTACATGCCTTGGCGTACGACCGTTCTTATATAAGCAATCGAAGCATGCAAATTTTTTACCGATATTTATAGGGTGAGGTCTTTCGTTCTCAGTCTAATTTTTTTGGTCTTGTTTTATTATTTTATTTTGGACTTACTCTTTAAACACTTCAATGTTGTATATGACTTCTTTAAGATGGCATTAAGTTCATAAACTGTTTTAACAGTTAAAATTTTAGTTAAGATGATGAAACTTTTTGTTGACTTGGGTTACTGGAAAGGCTCGTAGGAAGGGAATTTTTAAGTTGAAGGGGGTAACTGGGGCTAGTAAACCATATAAATGAATACTTACTAGAACAATACATTTCCCCTGACAATGGTTTCTCCTCGTATCCCTCTGGACAGCGAGACACACAGCTTGTCTGCTCAAGCACAAATTTCCCGGGCTCACACCCAAAACACTTGTCTCTCGCACTGCTGGAGTAACACCTCGTGCATCCCTCAACGCCGCATTCTAAAAAGGAAATAATAAGAATCTATATATATCGGCGAACCAGGGGGAGATTCCCACAGTGATGCTAGCACCACATTGGGTTATATACATGTACGACCGTTTTAAATTTTAACATGGTTGTTTAGTTCTCATAGACAGCATTCACAACGGTTTGAACAAAAACGTCTTTAAAAAGGACGCTTCATTCCACTCCCCACCCGTTCTTCTATAACTGTGCAATACATGAACAAAGCGTCCAGAAACATGCGCCGGGTTGGACTAGAACAAGTTATTTATCAAAGGAAGTGTTATAATCTTAAGTAAATAAAAACACTCACTCGTGCAAGAACGGGAACCATAACTGAAGTCCACAGTGTAGCCAACTGGGCACTCAGACACACACTGGACCTCGGCCAGCACTGAGGGGTAGTATTTGTAGAAGGCTGGTTTGCACTCCGAGCAACTGGTCGAGGAGTAACACTGGGCACAGTTTGGTGTAGAACATGCTGAAATAAGAAATATACTTTATGTCTCCTCCATCCCAGCGCGCATGTGCATAAAGAAGCTCTGCTCTGGAGATTGTTGTCGCCATAAAATGTCGTTTGACTGCGCCAAACTTTTCTTATCTCTTTTTATTGAGTTAGATTAATTAGGAAAATAAATTTATTGTTTTCTAAGAAACGTGTGTTTTAATAAAGCAAAACTTCTCCATATAGATCCGAGTAAAAAATCAATTTAGCTTAATGAGAAATCTAAAAGTTTTTAAACAAGCACATGAGTGTTGGCTCCAGTTTTAGAGAAAATGAGAGGGAAAGAAGATGTACTTCTTCTTTTTCACTTTCGTATGTTGTCGCTGGTAGGTTGTAGCGCGTAGAGGAGGCTGGACCTGTCCCTGATTAGTGTATGACGGAGAGAGAGAGATAGCTTATCTCTGTTAAGCAATGTGATCAAAATGAAAATGATCAATATCAGGCCTAACCAACTACCAGACTCGGCACCTAAGGATCCTGAATAAACCGGTATATCGGACCACGCTACCCGTTTTCAAGGTGTGTGTCAGATCGCATTTCGGATATCATACCCCAGAACAAATTTTGTAGCATGACTGCAGGCTCATCCACGCTCGGCTGAACATCCATAAACTGTACTCTTACTTTAGAGTACTCTATTTTATTGTCTCTATGGGGATATATGGGGACTTAACGACATTCGGTTTGAATGTTTTAACCACTTTTGATAGGGCGTTTTTTGCATTGTATTAGATTAATGTGGCAGTCTAAGTTTCATCTAGGTGGCTTTCAAATTTATGCACCTGGTTTTAAAATCATATAGCGAATTACGACAATCGTTTATTATCCAATCAAGGTAACAGCCGAGCATGCCAGGGCTCATCCTGTCGGTGTTCTGGCTGATACTCCGAAATGCGATCTGACACACACACCTTGAAAACGGGTAGTGTGGCCCGATATACCGGTTAATTCAGGATCCTTAGGTGCCGAGTCTGGTAGTTGGGTAGGCCTGAATATGCCATTTTCTGCCAAATATGAAGGCAACGAAAATAAGGAGTATTTGCAAGAAGTGAACTGATTGTGTGTGTGTGTGTGTGTGTGTGAGTGTGTGTGTGTGTGTGTGTGAGAGAGAGAGAGAGAGAGAGAGAGAGAGAGAGAGAGAAACTGAGAAAGACAGAGAGACCGTACCTATGCACCGTTTTCCACCGAAGGTACTCGATTTATACGTTCCTTTCGGGCAGGTGTAGCTACACATGGGACTACTTGACGTGGTGTCCAGGTAACCAGACGAGCATTCTAGGCAGTTATCCCTGGTAGTACACGTCCTACAGCCAGACACCCGGCATTCTGAGGGCGTGAAAAAGATGTGAATTAATGCTATGTGCTATTTTCTATTCACGCTGGTATGCATTCCAAAGGTCAGACACATCTGAGACTTATGCAAAAAAGCCTGTGACTTTAATGGCACCAATATCACTTCGACAGAAAAAATACAGATTTTGTGTTCATTTTAACTTATTACCGAGAACTGTGTCTTGAATATTTACAATAAGCATTGAGAAGTGGTATATTTGCAAGGTCCTTTTGTGCTGTAAGTATGTTAGTTACTGTCAGAAGGGAAAGAAGGGAATTTAGAATTAAAAATACCTGCGCAAATGCTGATCCCATACGCGGACAGGCCGAAATAACCGCTGGGACACTGACTCAGACATCTGAAAAATATATTATAGAATGTACTGACAGCTTTCCACGTGGCGTAGAAAATGAATGAGTCATTTATGTTGAATACGAAAAAAAACTTGTAATTAATTGAACACAAAAGTTTGATGTGCCGTGGTTATAACCTAGATTTCCAGGAAACAGTTATCGTTTGGATTAATTGCTTTCTGACAGAGAGAGAAAAAATGTGTCAGAACAGGATATGCAACATCAGAATGACTACACATGAATCCAGGTTGGACCAGTGTTGTTTGTAATTACACAATCAAAAAGTATTGATAAGCTTAGAGCAGGGATTCCTACTTCTGATTTCAATACGCCTCTACATGTCAGATATACATGCAAAATCTCCATTATACGCCTGCCATTTTTTTGACCAAGACAAGACAAAGTGACAAAATTAGAATAGTTTAGAAGGTAAGAAGATCCTAGTGCCAAAAGAATCTGTTTTTTTAATATTATCTCACTTCCATTCATTCACCCCCATTAACTTAATTCACCCCCATTATAATTCATAAAACTCTTACTATTATGAAGCTCCGCGCCTGAACTCTACTTTCAATGACTATTTTGTCAGTAATAAAGTTGTAGTGCTTTAAACAAAGCATATATATGTCACATATTGTTTATCAATTTTTAAAAAGTTCAATTTTGATATCTTTAGTTTAAATTGATAAATGTGTATTTCATACCAAAAGACAATAAGACCCTTCAGAAAAAAAACAATTACGAAATAACTCTGCCATTAAAAACGTCAATTAAAGCAACTAATAAATATATTTATAAAAAGGGAAAATGGTAACTCACGCTGTTTTGTGCAGAAAAAAACCTGACGAACATCTAAAGCACCTGCTGTAAGAGCATGAACTGCAACCATATGGGCATCCTGAAACGATTTAAAAAAAATAGGCATAAACTGACCCTCCTCACCAATTTGAGCGTTTTTTATGAACAGCAGTTCCGAAAACTACAGACACCACATACCACGCTTCACCTAGAAATATACATAGGCCTATACCAGAAATGCAATGTCAAAAATCTAAATTATGGCACTAGGCAGAATGTATTTAATATTGTGTTCTGAGCTTGTGATCGTTCCCCGTTCAATACCATTATATCATGTTAAGCCTCCCAGACCCACTTTCAACACACTTACTGCTTGGCATGAAGTAACCGCTAGCTCTGGCTATGGCAAAACATAGCAGGACAACTGTAATAGCCGCAGTCGTGGCCTTCATATCTACCTGTGACCGCACTGTAATATGTAAAAATCTTAAAGCTCTGAAATGTGATAAACACTCGAGAAAGTATTTTGTCAGCTGGCACTTCTTTATTTTGCACAAGAGTGGAGAACTTTATATACCTGTGAAAGATCCGGGTCCTGTTTTATCTCGACCATTCCAGTGACACTACACACCTCTTGCCACTTCAGGCTATCAGCTATAAATAGCACTTGATTTATTTAAATAATAAAAGAAAAAATTCCAATGAGACAATTTGCAAGAAACTTTTTGGACAAGATTTTGGGCATAATTCCTTTTTGTCATAGTGCAGTAGACCTTTATCACGGATGTTGTATTTCATGCATCTTATGTCACGCAATTGCGTAAGCTGTCATAATATCCAGGACCTGGGGTTTTACCTTTTTTTTTTTTTTTTTTTTTTTTGAGACCTAGATCCGCCTTTATCCGGTTATATGTGGTAAACAAGTTCTATCAGTTCCGTAAACAGTTGCGCGCGGTTACACACTAGTTCATATCTCCTTGCCAAATCATGTCCTTCAGTTAGAGACTAGAAGCTGAGAGCCTGCGTTTGCACTTTGTTAGGTCTAAAAGTTATTAAAAGTCACTTTGATCTTGGACAAGCTTTGATACAGGGAACTTGAAGTACCCATAGTTTGCCGGGTCTTACATGTAGATGCAGGGCCCTTGGTCATTGCCCTTTGGCCAAAAATCTGATTTTAAGGTCTGAAATCATTACTTCGTTTTTGTGTTCACTTATATGTTGCAGATGTAAATATTTGACATTTGAAATATAAAAGTTAAGCTATCTCGTTTAAATTCTAAAATCATATAAATAATTCAGCGTGAATTTGTGTTAACATATTTGTGAATAATATATGGGCGGTGTTTCAAATCAAGCCAAGTTGCCAGTTTAATTTTAACGGTGTCCCGCTCGAAGTCTTACTCGTTTATTTAACCCTTTTCAAAATTGGAAGGGTTCACGATTAGTGCCAATCGTTATTAGTTAGCCAGTTGTGAGAAATCTTGTTTTTTGTTAGCTATTGTTGGAGAACGGGTAAAAACTCATTTTGGTGATACCTTATGTTGTAAAGTTATGACGCAGTAATAAAATTGGCTGAACGATACTGGAATAGGAGTTTCAGACAAACAAAAGCCTACGGTAAACATGTTATCGTATTTCATTACTCATCTGTACCTGATAGTAATAGTTATTACCTGTCAAGATATATTCACTAGCTGACAGTGACAGTAATGACATGTCAAGATTACATCCGCTTAGCACACATCATAGCTATAAACAGTAGTGTAATTTTTTTGTAACCACTGGAAGCGACTTCAAAAGCATTCATAGTTGCTAATATGGAAGGAAAGGAAAATTTTATTTGCTGGGTTCAATAATTGTTTGGTGTTGGTGGCGAGAGCGGGAGTCACTTTGAGTTGCTCCAGCAGGAACACCTTGACAACCAAGCGGCGCGATACATTGAGAAAATACTAAGATACATGTAGATACTTGAGCGAGGTTAGCAATTATTGAAGGTGGGGTAAATGAAGACGCCAATAATTTTGTATTTAGAATCTCCCTTGCGTCAGCTTGTGCTAGGTCAGTTTTTTAATACTTAAAGGAAGTGCTTGACCTACACACACGATGCCAGATGAATTGGCAAAGCATCCGACAATGGCTGATTGCTTATTACTACTAAGCCCGATCCCTCTCATCTACCCCATAATACTACTATAATACGCTATAATTATTCCGTTCATTATTGATGGGGAAGGGGGGGTATAGTTTTGTCCTGGTACAGAAGTTTTACCATAACTTAACTTTAACAGAGTTCTTATACCATTGGTGAAAAGGAAGACACTATTTTTTGATAATTTTGCGCCAAATGGCGTTAATAAGTTTTCCAAAGCTTGGCTGCTATTTCTGCACTTCAGATTTTGTACGCGTCTACAACATTAACTAAGGAGTTCTGAATGAAACTTAAACAAAGCACTTGGCATTTCCTTCCCTTTGTTTTTTGTAAGTTTTGAAACTGAGAAGGTTAACCTAATTGTGTATTGATAGTGGCCCACATTTTGTGAATGAAAAGTCACCTAGCTGGGACAAAGCCTGAGTGATAACTGTGATAAGATTTATGAGAAAAAAAATGAAATAACCAATGACATCAGTGTCATTGAAAAAACACTAGTATAGGTCGATCCAGATAGGAAATATGTTTTGCTCAAAACACTGAAAACAGGCAGCTCAAACTGGTTACGACCGGCCGCGTGTACAGGCACGGACGTCTCAGAACACCCAACTCCACGTGTTGAGTAAACAAATATGGTTTCGTTCATTATTAAGATAGGTGCTTGTAACGAAATTTTAGGGAACATTTGTTTAAATATTGATCCTGTAGTGGTGCAGCGTGCCTAAAGCATCGTTTCATTGCGTGAATGTCGCAATGTCACAGTCAAGACGCAACACTGTACCAGTATAGACTACAGCTTTACGAACCAATTCCAAAAAATTGGAAAAATACATGAATTTTTTTTTTTTTTTTTTTGGGGGGGGGGGAGAGGGGGAAGTGGAAATTAGCTGGGGACAGGTGAAGCGTCGCAGCAGCAAGTTCGACCGGACAGGTGACCTGAAAAATAAGCTTCAAGCCCTGCTGTGGTCTAATAATCACTAATAATTATGTGTAAATGCATATTTATTTAATACTTCATCAATAGATATGCCTGTTCATTGTAGTTATGATATGCAAAGTAGATGCTGATTAAATTTTATGTAGATACAGATGAAAGTGGAATGCGCTTCTCGCAATTTGGATCAGTGCTTTTGTTCAGGGTTCAAGTGATGCAAATAAAACTGCTTTTTAAGCAATGTTTTTCTTTCATTTCACAATCATCGTTGGAATTGCCTACCTTTTACATGCACTACGGCTTTTCTGCACAGTAAAATTATTAATTTTGAGAGATAATTCCGTGCAGTGCAATTATTTCGCTCAGGACAATTATACATTTTTGAACATTTGCCCACACGGTACAATCATTTAGACAATACAATTATATGGAACTTCAGAGTAATCCATTTTTCTTGTTGTATTTGAATGCAGTAATTTCTTATTGTTTTAATGTGATATTTATTGTAGATCATGAAGTACAAAACATTTTGTCAATTAGGATGTTTCAAAAATTTTCAGCATGTTTTTTCATGTTTAAATTACTAACTTGGAAAACCAATTAAAAAAACACAAAGGTGTTGCGATAAAAGGTCCACTTTTTCAGAAAAAGAACCCCCCTCCCCCCATTGAAATTGCCGGGCCTGTACAGCGTCAGCGATAAGTGACTAAATTAGAACTCATTCAACATGGCTTATTGGACTGTACAGAGCTATCTTTTCATAGAATTGCAAACTAATCTCAACTAACGCAATGCCACTTTGTTTCACAGAGCACTGGAACAGAGCGATTCCAATTTCCTTTGTGTTTGTTTATAGAATGCAAAATAAAAAAAATCGCAGGTTTACTGGTCTGCTCGTTTGTTTGCTGGTGGTCAGTTTTTGCGACTTTGGCTTAAAAAATTCTTTAAATCACCAACATGCCTATCACAAGTATGAAGTGAGTACTCGCATTTTCGGCAAAATTTAAAATGCTGTTGTGAAAGTCCGATAGATTAGCTTGGTTTTATTTTCCCCAAAAAATCATATATTCAAACATTTTAGTAATTTTGTTCAACAATTTTGAATTCAGTGTTGCTCTTGTAGCAACCTAGCTGAAACAAAGAAAACTATTTATACATGCAGATCGTAATAATCTTGACATTCTTTGATAGGGTAAGCATTGCTGTTAAAGGGGAAATTGCTAAAGTTCACAGGAAAAGTCACCTCGCTTTATAAAGGTGTAACAACCATTATACACTGTACATGTATGTCTTCAAATTTCCATGATAATTAACAGAACAGTATATTCATAGTAATTTATGGTTTCTGCGGATCACCAGAAACTGAATCCCAAGAAGCGTAATTCTAAGCACTCGTCCTCTAGTGCGCCTTACCGCAGCATTAGTCAAACAACAACGTATTTTGATGTCTTTTATAGTCTTGTATCTTAGTTAACGGTATGGGCAGTGTCTAAATTGTTTCAGCTATGGTGAGGTAATGAGGAAATTTGCTGATGTACGTTTTTGTAACAGTTTTAGTAAACAAAGGGAGTATGAATACTGAGTAGATAGAATACTCTTATTTTCCGAAGGGTGCCAGTTTTGTGTAGCAATGGTTTAGTTAGGGTTAGAATAGCATCTTGGTAGAAAAGTCCCAAATAAAGAAAAGAAAAGAGATTAAGGACTGAGAAAACCATATATACTGATATAGACAGATGCTAGTAAAGCATTTTTGTACATTTTAATAATAGAATTTTCTAAAAATTCTCAAAAAAAGAAGCTTTTTATTCTTCAAAAGAGATTAGTAGACAGCGATGCAAAGACAGAATCCTGATTGATCGTACAGAGTAATACATAGATGCTTCTCATGGCCATGGAGAAAGCATCGTATTGCGCACATTCATAAAGCAACTTCAATTATTTTAAATGAAACATTTATGAAATATAAAAGAAAAATGAACAGCCCGACTGACATATCCAAAAATTAATGACTGTGATACTTGAATATTTTGAAAAAATAAGGGTATTGCCAAACTTAGGGGCGTCGGTGTAAGTTGGTGCCACGCACGCCAGAAATACTATACAACTACTATTGACAATGAGATGCCATAGTTCCATTATAGTTCTTTCTGGTTAAGTTTGATCGAAAGACGAAAAACGCCATCGATAATGATATGTGTGTACCGCATGTTATATAAACACTATCATCTCTCCACACGTAAATTATGTACAAGTTCTCTTTCCCTTCACTTATTTTCTGAAAATATTTCTCTTTCCTTTTCGTTAAAACTCCTTGGTTACAGCATATTCAGTCAATGATTAACATCAATTAACAATCAACATTACACAACCAGAGCTAGGGCATAGACTGTTTTTCCTGTGGCATGCACCACACTTACATATCGGTAAACTTAGTCAACATAACCTCCATTTGTTATTATTTAGTGCCGTTATTCATCTCCTGTTTAGCACTGTCGGTCTTTTCTATGTCACCTCTATAGACGATGCTAACAACGGCCAAAGAGAGGCTCTGAAGACAGAAACATACTTGTGCTGTCAGACAGAAGTCCTCGTTCTGAGTGTATACCGACAAGCCTACCAAGAGTATTCCTATTGTGCCAGCAATAGAACAAACCATGCTCACCGATAACAATTTGTAACAGCTCGGATTTACAGTGATGCGGCATTTGTGTGCGGTTACGTTGCCTCGCCTACCGCAACGTAAATATACCAAAAAACGAACGCACATGGGGAAATTAAATAGCATCGTCAAAATAGCTGGACCTGCTAAGAGAAAAATGTAACCATTAATGTCGCCAAAGAAGCAAGTACCTCGACAGTATTTAACTCTGAGCGGCGCTTGTTCTCTTAACTCTAAGATAAGCCCAACCGCAACCAAAAATAATGGCACCAAATAGGTAACGACCACGCCCATTGGTATGTGTCTCTTTGGGCTGCATGTCCACAATTGGCGAGATATGGCACTGTGGTAGGCAATGTAAGTTACACCTGGGAGCCACAAAAAACTCACTAACCAAAAGAAATGGGCGAACAACGAAAGGTACAAACACACGGTGGAAGTATGTGAGGTGGTAATCATGTTTGGTAGGGACAGGAAAAGCTGTGATAAAAAACAAGCCCCAAACTGGTGCAGAACTGCTCTATCTGCAATGCTTTTATACCGCGAAAAATGTGCACAAATCAAAAAGTTAAAAAAATAAATGCCTAGAGAAAAGGCAGGCAACGCCCACTTAACCAGTTCTGGTCTTGATAGAAAATTATGAAGGGGGTGAATTTGTTGGTTGTCATTATGTCTAGAAATGGAATGATCTGACAGGAGTTCCCCAATCAGATGCCAACAGACGAAAACAGACCCGTCCAAGAAGACTACATCACTCGAGTTGACAGTAGAGACTTTACCAGCATATTCAAAAGAGTATGCACCTGTCCCGTCCCTTTTAAAACCTATCTCACCCACTGCTATTCTAGCAATCAGACACGGTAGTTCGAAATCAACGTTAAAAGCAGCAGTAAGTTTCTCCCACTTAAACGTATATACACTGTCAGTGTTATCTATAATGATTGGGAGTAATTTGAAATGGCGTTCAGTGCTGTAAAAATCGCCCTTCAACAATGAGTCGGCGATTCTCTGTCGGTATACCTTTGCAGATTCATAGACAGAATCGTAGGTTGGGTGAACTCCACCTAGCGTAAACGGTATATGTAAAAGCAAGCCGAGGACAGAAACATGGGCCGGGGTAAAGACTGCATTGCACGCTAAATTTTCAGAAAAAGGGTTAAGCCCTAAGCCTGGAAGTGCGTGTAACATGCCCGTTACTGGTGCGCACAGTGTGCCTAGGGATATCTTCCCCAGAACGTTTTGGAAGTCTTCCAACTTAAAATAAACATCGATATAGAGTTGAACGCCCGTCAAGTCTTGGAGTAGGGCGACCGCTTCATGGCGACAAGTATCACTTTCAGCACCAAGTGGACAATCCTGTGCTTGTGTGGAGCATTTTTCCTGAAAGGATTAATTTTTTTTTGTCTCTGAACACTTTTAAATAAAAAATAAAGCTTTATTTTTTTTATTCCTCTAATCAAGTAATTCATATTTATTAGTAAACCTTTTTATTATACTATCACAAATGCCTACCCACCTTTCTCTGTTCGTTTTGTATGTTGGAGGTCATCGTGCAACGCGTGTTGTCTTCTCTTTTCACAGCTCGGTTGACATTCAGGAGTGCAGAAAACCCCTCTGCAAAGAAGCCGTAATGTCTCGTAGCTACATCTGAAATGTAAATAGTATCAATCATAGTCAATGCAGTTTTCATTCCACAGTCAGATCCATTATTTCAACATGCATAGCAACAGTTAATTGTTTTGGCATAAACTGGAGTACGGATTGGACGGTAGAAAAATGGTTGTCAAAACTTACCGGCTTTGTAGCAGTTATCTGTAGCTTTGTAGAAGAACTGGGAATTACAGGCAAGACAAAAGTAATTTCTGTACATATACGTGTTTTCTGTTAGATGGACAGCATTAGTTGGCCCATGTAGACACATACGTTTTAGAGCATCATATTCTATGTTCAGTAACGCCCATTCCGCCGATGCTGAAGTATTACTGGTTGGACAAGTGGTAATAAATGACTTGTCAATTTCTGCCCCACAGCGACGCATTGCAGATACATGGTTTGTGGAGAAGGCGATGAGACAATCCTCCAAACTTAGTACCTCAGTGATAATTTCGTCAGCTGTAGTCAAATTAAGGAAATAGGAAGGGCCGCGCTCTGTGCAACCTATTGAAGCGTTCCAGGGCTCATAAAGTGACATGTTGTGGCACTGGGCGCAGAACACGTTCTTGAAAGTCAAATCCTCGTTAGTTGTGTAAACTGGAGTTACGCGAGCAGCGACATCTGCTGTGAAGTCGTCATCTTTTTCACACTTTTCTCTGATAACGTTATCCGGCCAGTCCTTTGGGCAATTTGTGACAAACCAGAAATAACTAGTATCATATTGTGGAACCTTCAGAGGGCGTCGAACACAGCTAACGTGATCTAAAGTCAGGTTAGATTCCAGTTTAGCGGTTGTGGGTTTTGAGTTGCATTGCTGGTTGTACGGCCAACAACAGTCGCCGAACAATTCACAGTGAGTGTCGCAAGAACACTGATGTAAGACCGCTATTTCACCCGGCGCTTCATCCACTACGAGGCACTCGGGTTCATTGGGAGTTGGGACTGCTACTTTAGACATCATGAATGCTAAATCTGACAAATCTGTGACATTTTCGGAAATCGTCTCTGTGTCCGTGACATTTAAAGTGCCATTGCTGGATGTCTGTAACTCCGTGACAACAGAGTTCAGGTGCCTGCCTGTACGCGTGGGATGGGCCAGCTGCAAATCCCTCGTTATTGCCTTGCGTTGTCGAGTCCTTCTTGCCTGCCAAACATTAAAATGTGGTCCGTTCTTCAGCTCTGTTCGACTCTTTGTATCCTCTGCATTGACGGATTTGAGCACATTCCGTATCTTGATAAATCTTCCTTTTTTCGGTCGCACATTTTTATCTCCCCCAAACCTTTCTACTGCCATTAACGTAGAAGAAATAAGTAACACGGCAAGAAATATGCGCATGGTGTCTACTTAACCCTAAACCGTTTTATAGGAATATGAAAAATATTTCTCCTCAACCCTCGTAAACGAAGGTATAATATGACAAAAACGACTTATGAATCAGACTTTAAATAGGAAACCAATACCCACGAATACCCAGCGAATCGGGTGAAGGGAAGCTAGACAAACCTCATCTAGACCATACAAATGTCATTTGCCTGAGATTACGTACTTCCTGAAAGTATTATTGTTGACTTGTTTTGTACGGCTTTTTTTTTTTTTTTTTTTTTTGGCGAATGTCACATTTGATTAAGACATTGCCTTTAAGGTATGTGATTATGTCAGTAGCATGGGCAAGAAAGTCGTACACGGTAAATGCTGATAAATTTTTATGAGGCATTGAAAAAGGTGATCGCACATAAGTGAGCCAAAAGCCAAATGATCGCTCCATCATTGCTGCAAACTATGTATCTGGTCGTCGATTCGTCGACTTTAGCTAGACTGAAAAGATACCATAAATTTAACTACCATTCGACCAGTGATCATGATTGTTTGTTCACTCTGGGCATTGTAAATACACTTATGCTCGTGCATGTTCAATGGGCAAAAATGCACGTGCGTTTTCGTGAGCTTTGGAATAATTGCACTCACGTATTGTCAAGAATTGTTATTTAAAGAAGTGTATATTTACTGCTGGTAAAACATACGACGGCAATTTTGCAATCAACCTAATCAGCTGGCAGTGACCATTATCCCCCCAACTCATAGCTCTTACTTTATTCTCCTGGTGAAAAAAAACGTACTTTTTGTATAACTTACCACAAAGGACAAAGCTAGATCCCTAGATCACGTAATATGGCGGGTCCTGGTTTGTGATATCATCCGGTGGCGGTTATTATCCTATGCCTTTCAGTCACTTTTGATTTCTTGGTCGGTATCCGTAAGTTGGTTTCTGACACCATCGGTTAGCAATTGTTTTCCCGTGATCTTTACCTAAATGTCATCTTTGATTTCTTCGTCAGGATGAAGGGTGGTGTTTACGTAAGTTGGCTCCTTGCAGCGTCTGGTCGCAGATATTATTTTCATTGTATTATCGTTATTATAACTGTGACTTGTTCGTCACTTATCACAAGTATATATAGCGAGTGGTTTATACGTCAGACTATGTCTCGTTAACTCAGCAAGTTCGTCTTTTTCTGTAATAAATGTTCCCCATTTTATTTTCGTGAAGTTTTTAATGACATAGACTGGTTTTCTTGGCGACAGCGCATTAGTTCGCCTGCCCATTCACGAAGAATTTAGACGCGTATTCGGCCTTCTTGTTGACACGCTTATGTATAGCAGGCCTTAGATAGTCACCCTGCTGGTACATGTATCTCCCCGAATATTTCCCTATGGTGTGTGTATATGTGCGTATATGCTGTTTAAATGAATGTCATTATAAAATGCATTTAATACAAGTAAATAAAGGTATGGAAAAAAAGCGCTTTAAGTGCTCTTTCATTCAGTTTTCACCACCCGTCCCAATCATAAAAAGTTCTACAGACTGCTGTTGCTATATAGCGTTTTACTCGGGGAGTGCACGCACCGTGTCACCTTCCCCTTGACCCAACTGGACAGTTTTTACAGTCACACTTCCCCTGCTGACAGGTGCTCCTAGAACTGACTGACCGTATATTTTAAAAGATCATTATTTTCACTATTTCCGTTTAGTTTTACATGTGCGTTGTCCATTCTTTTATCAAAGAAGGCAGAAGTGTAGTTTTTATATCGTTTTCATGGTCAGCTCTTATGGGGACGATATGTTTTGCAAAGAGTAGTAAGCATAATCCAGGTAATTACTACAGAATTGATTGAATTCGCTGTCAACAAACGAGCAAAATTAATCTCCGCGAGGATTTAAGATATAGAGCCTCTTGTTGCATAACTAGACATTGCGTGACTTCAGTCTAAAGGTTTCCGATCATTTCCTGTTTTTACAGAAACATATGGACCATTCCCACAGATATTTGGATCGATCTATCTCCCTGAGCAGTCTCACTAAATTGCTATCAAACTAACTGGCTTAAACGTCTGTCACGCCTGGTAAAGCTGTGAGGGGGTAATTATCTTTACCCCTACCTGATTTTGTAGGCTTGACAGACATGTAAGCCTCTTGAGCTGATAGCAATTTAGCGTGAACCCCCAGGGAGTTAGGTCGATGTAGATGGATCGATCTAAGTATGGAAACCCAGTCATAGAGTAATGGTTCCTGGGTATTGCAGGGAAAGCATCTCAATAACGGTGAGCCTAAAGTAGCTTTAAAAGTGGCTATTTGTTGATACTGTACTAGGCACCTGCATTATATCCGCATACTTGTCCCTTGAACGTTGGTAAATACACCTTGTTAGACTATAAGCTTAATGATTGTAAACTGGATCTACACTAGATAGCGGACGTGTATATCCGGGATGAAAACCGTTTACCTATTTAGGATAGGCACTCAGGGCCGTGATTCAGCCCCCTAGATATCCGGGTTGGTTTGATGGCTTGAATTTAACTGGTTGACCTAGTAATCCAAACTATTAACACGCTGACATCGAGCACAAGTAGGAGCGAAAGCTGATTCTCAAAAACACACAATAATGGTTGTCTGCGATTTACGTTGTGCGTTTTACCTTTTATTTCTACTATACGCTGTGGGTCGAGGGCAAGTTGCTGAAAACCCCAATGGGCTGCTTTTGCCTTCAATCTGCTCGACGCAAGCATTTGAAGACCGAGATAAATGTGCAAGTGCAACAAGAACTTTGTCCACGGAGCTTCAAACTTTATCACGGGCCTTGAAGACATGGAAGAGAAGGAATGATTTGTTGTTTCAGAGCCTGGAAGCAAAGCTGACAGAACTCAAAGCCACTCTCGGTGCAGTAATGGATCAAGACTTGACCGCGCCTTCGACCACGCCTTCTACCACGCCCTCGACCACGCCCTCGACCACCACACCATCTCCCCCAACACCACTAACAGGTTGGTCCATGTTTAATTTGTAGTAGTAGTAGTTGATCGTGTGTCATGAATCAGGGACATGATTTTAAAGTTGTAAAGTTAACATAACAGAAGTAATAAGTAATTAATACAATTAAAATTCGGATGATAGTGCGGAGGATAGAACAATTTGACTTTTATTCACGTGTTACTCACTAGTTCGAAAACAAACAAAAGTAATTCAGGGGCGTTGGCAAGTCTAATCGAAATGTATTAATGGCGTTTCATATCCTGTTTTGTCTAAAGAACAAGCCAATACCAAATGACAAAGGAACTCATCGTCAATTTCCTCTATATATCAATTGTTACATAAAACACGTAGAAGGGATAAATTGCGTCCAACATATATGTCTGAATATAGATGCTGGATATTTATACTTATAATTATAATTTGACATTTAATGTCTTGATAAACACACAATTTTTTTTTCGAATTTCAGACTGCACTGCGTACCTGTTGTCTGGTGCCCGCGAAAGTGGAGTGTACAAGCTGCTGCCCCCTGGCGCCGCTAAACCTTTCGATGCTTTCTGCGAGATGACCGATAGCGGCGTTTACACCGTGATGCAAAGACGAATCAACGGCGAAGTGGACTTCTACAGAGACTGGGCATCTTATAGAAGAGGCTTCGGTGACCTGACCGGGGAGCATTGGCTCGGACTCGAGGCTATTCACTCCCTCACATCTAACCCCCAGGGTCTCCGCTATGAGTTGGTAGTGGACATATGGGACTGGAGAGGGAATCATGGCGTTCTTCGCGCTCCAAATTTCACTGTAGGGGACAGCTCTACTAACTACAAATTAGATGTTCCCACCGACTATTATGCCTATCCAAGAAATCCCGGGCTTGGGGGTGGGGCGTCTGGGTTTCGAATTCACCGGGGTCCTTTTAACACTTTCGACCATGGCCCTTTTCAAAATTGTGCAGTGAAGCTTCACTGCGGTTGGTGGTTTATCAACGGTGGCTGCTTCTCTAACGCCAATTTCAACGGTCGTTATTATAATGGCGGTTACAACGCATCGCGGCAGGAACCAAGGGACGGTCTGTTCTTTCCTAATGTTAACCAGTCTCTGAAGAAAATAACAATGAAATTACGAAGAATGTCCATTTCTGACCCAGATTCACAGCGTTCGGCTTAATGAATAGTGATACATGTATGATTGACATTATTTGGATTTTGGGGAAGATAACTGATTCTGTTTGTAAATTATGGAATAGTAATTATAAATGGGTTTCATTTTCTTTTTGAAATAAGAAGAAAAAATCCTACGACATGCAATAAAAATGTGTGCATAAAAGTCATTTCGGTTTTTGAAATTTTCTCACTCTTAAACAAATATCAATTCTATTTCTACCGGATCTAACAAAATGAGTACAATAGAATTTTTTTCAGTTTTTTTTTTTTTATAGAATTTTCATGAAGGTATAGTTTATTGATGAAAGTGTGCACAAAAGTGTTTTGTTAAAATTATGGGTCAGTGGAACTCCTTCCTTCCGAATATTGGTTTTAAATCAATTGTCAATATGTTGTTAGTATGTACTATATGTTGATAGGACACATTTGAAATCAGAATAGCAGTTAAATCTATCGACCCAATGGGATTTTTTTTCTCTAAAGAAGATGATGAAGACCTTATGATTATTGCCATTTGCAAAGAATGTAGGCTACGTATAATTTTGAGAAATAACAGCAGCCCGCGTTGTTGTAGAGTCTGCGCATTAAGAGTTGACGTCAACGCTGTCAAATGATGTACAGCTACTACGTTATACCGCAAGTGACAATGGCGTGTGCAACAGTGTATCTGCGTTACAAGATTGGATGAAGCTGTTAACAAGATAGTGCTACGTTGTTTTAATGGAGTGTTATTTTTGGTAATTAATAAAAAGATCCTTCAGTATTCTGCATGCTCATCACTTTACCTGTATACTCTTAGATCTGGGTAAATTTTTTTTAAGTTTTGTGCATGCAGACATGGAAATAAAGATAGGGCGTGCTTAATTACATGTGGCACAACCGCGATTCATCGGTCCAATTCACATCACTCAAAAATCGAAACACTCAATCATATCCTTTTAAAATAATAATAATAATAATATAGAGATCAATACCCATCATATTATCAATACCCATCATATTTTAAATTAAAAGCACAATTACGTCCAATTTATCTTTTTACATCTTAATATTTTTAATTTCTACCGTATAGAAGTGAACGAGGCAAAAGCCCTGACCAGATGATTGTTTGAATGGTATACTTCAAAGCAAAGGAAATCGATGGTGATTTCCCACCCATCACCAACTTGCTATTCTCGATGTGCAATGATTATGACTACTATATGTACATCTTTGTGTTATGACAAATATCAGGTATTACCAAGTCCCCCAATTTTACACTTTTGTCATTAATTTGCCATCATGCTCGACAACAGCAACGGTTTATCAAGGTGCAAGCGGATAATACAAATGCATGTAAAGACAATTTTGCCTTTGTTTCAAAAGTAGCCAACATTGGCATAATAGAACAGTGGTGAAATGAAGTAATGCTGGAGAAGTCTTTCTTCAAAAGATGATATCTGCAATGAAATGCTTTCCAATTTAATACTCTCTCTCTCTCTCTCTCTCTCTCTCTCTCTCTCAGCAACCACTTTTTATGATGGTAATTATTCAGACCGAAAATGTAATTCATGAAATATAAATGCTATATTTCTTTAATCATGTTATAATAAATTGTTAATAATAAATGTTAAGTTATTTAATGCTATTATTATTTTAATTATTTTTTTTATAATGAGGTCTCAAGTTATCACGTGCTCCTCTCTGAAGTTAACATTAATAAACCATTAGATCCACCCCTGTCCTGTTTACACGTGTGAGAGCGTAAAAGGTACATTAAGAAATAATTGGTGTCCTCACTTATCTATCCGAGGGGCCGTAAGTGTGCATTTGTATCCACAAATGTGACACCAAGCAAATTATCGGTGTCTGACGCCATCTACAAATACTTTAACGGACACGCTTACTGATCACGACTAATTCCCAAAGGTTTCCTTGTGAAAATATCTGTATGAGCACCATACAAGGTACGCGCATATCTGTCCTTGCTTAACGATATACTAGTATAGACATTTGTGTAGGTGATTCGGGACAAAAAATGAACAACTCTATCATCATCATCCTCACCGCCGTCTTCTCCTCGTATCACTATATCGCGCGGGCTGAAGTATATTCGTCCACAGCAGACGTAGTCCAACTCGCAAATAATGAACAGCTTCTTGTTGGCTTGTTGGAGACATATCTTGATAACGAACTCGCAAGAATAAAGGAGTTACAGACGTAAGTACACTTATTTTAAGTATCTTTTTATTTAACAAAGTTACTATGCGCATTACTTTGCAACAATATCCGTCAATAGTTCTTTGGACATATAGGGGAGACCGGGGCTAGTTGGACCCCGGGGTAAGTTGGACCCCCATCAAGTCTTTTTAATGAAGTTACTTTAAGATGCTAAATTATTTCATTTGGACTCACTGCCAACGCTTTCTTAGCACTATGGGATACGGTCACCTTACAAAATGATGTGATCAATTCTTTTACCCCATAGTTACTTTGTCATAAATTGATGGGGGGGGGGGGGG